TATTTTACCAACATTTTAATTCGTTAAAGGAAAGCTTTTTAGTTGGAATTAACAATGACGGTAACGGTATTGAAAATAAATTTTACAATCCAACATTTTTCAATGATACCTTAATTCGGTATATCGCGTATTTACCTTTGTGGACGAGCATCGTACACGGAGAAAGATCTTGCAACGCGCCAATAGAATCTTATTTCGGTATTTTAAAAACTAGTATTTTCGGAAATAATTTGCCTCAAAAATGTAGTAGAGTCATTAGATCCTTAAGAAATTATCAATTAAGTATTTTTAAAAGTCACAAATTTAATATCGGGAAAACAAATTGCGCATCTAAAAAACGAAAACGTGAAATCTGTGAGGAGGGCTGGAAGAAAAAGTCGAAAAAAATACATTCTTATTATAAAGCTCTTTGTTCGAGCAAATTAAAACTGAATAAACCTGATCAATTAACTAAATATATTTCTTTTAACTTTTATTCGAATGGGTTAATTAAAGACCAAAATTATTATTCTCAAAATAGAACCCATGAATATGTCGTGTGCTGTTTTGATAATACGGTTTCATTACAAAATAAATTATATTCTTCTTCCTTCCAAACTCTACAGAACTCCTGGATCAAAGAACCTAGTGATATTTGGCTTGATAATTTTGTTATTGAATTTTGTATTTCACTTTTTATTAATAATAATTCAGAATATGTTCTTTTATCTAGCGAAGTAAGCGGTTTAATCGAGAATCAAAAACGTCGAGTGCCAAATGAAATTCATGCATTAAATAATAATAACATATCAAAAATTTTTATGATTTTTAATTCGGGGGGCAATCACTGGGTACTTATATATGTTGATGTAAAAAAAAGTACTTTCGGTTATTTAGACCCGTTTAGTAATACTTGCGGTATAAATTATTTTAATAAATTCGTTTCTTTTTTTAATAAATATAATTTGATCTATAAAAATTCGGCAATTCTGACGGATTTAGAATTTATTGAATTACAATATCCGTTACAAAACGACAATTTTAATTGCGGTGTATTTTGTATTTATTACGCTAATTGTTTAATTAACAGCACACCATTTTCAAAAAGTTTTAATCCGGGAGAATATCGCTTAATTTTGCAAGACAAATTATTATCTGCGGCACGGGATATGCGTTCTATTTGCTTGTATTGCGGAAATGATGAAAGTTTTCGGGAAATGATTTTTTGCGAGATGTGTCAACGATTTATACATGTTCGATGTATCACAATTAGAAACATTTCCTTCAAAAAACCAGACAAAGAAGAATTTTTTGTTTGTCAAATTTGTGATGAATTTAAAAGTAATTAGTACAGCTTCTTTTATTTTTTTATACCTATATAGTAAGTATATTCGCGCCCGGAGGTAAGGGAAAGGCTAAAAGGGGAGATGAGGAGGCCTTCAATAAAATATACTTACTGTATTCTTTTATTCCCTAAAAATTCTTTTTCGTTTATTTCTCGCTAGATTAATCAATTAAATTTTCAGTTCTCCAGTTAGCAATTCATGCGGTACATATATTATTATATTTAATAATTTAATTTTCTTTTCGAATTTCGAAGTACATTTAAATTTAAACATAAAAATTCGGCAGTTCGGGCGTATTTGAAGTAATTAAAAAGACGGGATATATGCGGTGTAATATTTATTTAATTATAAGCAATTTAATTCGTCTAAATTTAACAGTTATTCAAATTTTTTATGGTTGTAAATTTATGCATTGTATTCTTTCTACGAATGATTTAAGCAAACTAATGTTTTTCTGCTTTGTTTACTAACAAGTGGATTATGCCTATCGGGGAAACCACTATAAAAAAACGCACTTAGTACCTCACCTCCGGGGTAGTGTGGAAGAGGGTGCATAATTGAAAGTTTCAACATCTACTTACCTATTTATTAAAAACGTTGAAAACCTTTTTTTGTTTTTTTCTACCCTCCGTAGGGGGTTTATTTGAAGGCAGCTATGAATTTGGCATTTGAAAAAAATAATTGCAATTAAATTATCTATTAAACGGTTTTTTTAAATTAAAAATCGGTTAATTTTTTAGTCCAGCCACCTTTTTTTGTTTTTTTCTACCCTCCGTAGGGGGTTTATTTGAAGGCAGCTATGAATTTGGCATTTGAAAAAAATAATTGCAATTAAATTATCTATTAAACGGTTTTTTTAAATTAAAAATCGGTTAATTTTTAATTCAGCCACCGTTTTTTGTTTTTTTCTACCCTCCGTAGGGGGTTTATTTGAAGGCAGCTATGAATTTGGCATTTGAAAAAAATTATTGCAATTAAATTATCTATTAAACGGTTTTTTTAATTAAAAATCGGTTAATTTTTTAGTCCAGCCACCGTTTTTTGTTTTTTTCTACCCTCCGTAGGGGGTTTATTTGAAGGCAGCTATGAATTTGGCATTTGAAAAAAATAATTGCAATTAAATTATCTATTAAACGGTTTTTTTTAATTAAAAATCGGTTAATTTTTTAGTCCAGCCACCTTTTTTTGTTTTTTTCTACCCTCCGTAGGGGGTTTATTTGAAGGCAGCTATGAATTTGGTATTTGAAAAAAACAATTGCAATTAAATTATCTATTAAACGGTTTTTTTAAATTAAAAATCGGTTAATTTTTTAGTCCAGCCACCTTTTTTTGTTTTTTTCTACCCTCCGTAGGGGGTTTATTTGAAGGCAGCTATGAATTTGGTATTTGAAAAAAATAATTGAAATTAAATTATCTATTAAACGGTTTTTTTAAATTAAAAATCGGTTAATTTTTTAGTCCAGCCACCTTTTTTTGTTTTTTTCTACCCTCCGTAGGGGGTTTATTTGAAGGCAGCTATGAATTTGGTATTTGAAAAAAATAATTGCAATTAAATTATCTATTAAACGGTTTTTTTAAATTAAAAATCGGTTAATTTTTTAGTCCAGCCACCGTTTTTTGTTTTTTTCTACCCTCCGTAGGGGGTTTATTTGAAGGCAGCTATGAATTTGGTATTTGAAAAAAATAATTGAAATTAAATTATCTATTAAACGGTTTTTTTAAATTAAAAATCGGTTAATTTTTTAGTTCAGCCACCGTTTTTGGTTTTTTTCTACCCTCCGTAGGGGGTTTATTTGAAGGCAGCTATGAATTTGGTATTTGAAAAAAATAATTGAAATTAAATTATCTATTAAACGGTTTTTTTAAATTAAAAATCGGTTAATTTTTTAGTCCAGCCACCTTTTTTTGTTTTTTTCTACCCTCCGTAGGGGGTTTATTTGAAGGCAGCTATGAATTTGGTATTTGAAAAAAATAATTGCAATTAAATTATCTATTAAACGGTTTTTTTAAATTAAAAATCGGTTAATTTTTTAGTCCAGCCACCTTTTTTTGTTTTTTTCTACCCTCCGTAGGGGGTTTATTTGAAGGCAGCTATGAATTTGGTATTTGAAAAAAATAATTGCAATTAAATTATCTATTAAACGGTTTTTTTAAATTAAAAATCGGTTAATTTTTTAGTCCAGCCACCTTTTTTTGTTTTTTTCTACCCTCCGTAGGGGGTTTATTTGAAGGCAGCTATGAATTTGGTATTTGAAAAAAATAATTGCAATTAAATTATCTATTAAACGGTTTTTTTAAATTAAAAATCGGTTAATTTTTTAGTCCAGCCACCTTTTTTTGTTTTTTTCTACCCTCCGTAGGGGGTTTATTTGAAGGCAGCTATGAATTTGGCATTTGAAAAAAATAATTGCAATTAAATTATCTATTAAACGGTTTTTTAAAATTAAAAATCGGTTAATTTTTTTAGTCCAGCCACCTTTTATTTAATTTTTACACCCTTCATATAGAGTTTGTTAGAAGGTGGATGTGAATTTTATAATTACAAAATTATTAAGTTAACTATTTTTTACCTCTATATACAATAGAGATAAAATTTTAAACCTTTTTAAAGAAAACGGATTAATTGTAACATCACCAGTTGTTTACCATGCGCCCGAATAGTTCGCTAGTTAGTTGGTGGCTAACATGACACGGGTGTTCAAACGTCGTCTATGGCTTCTGCGAGCTTGATTAAAAATTTGAAGACTGTTTTGAACTACTTCAAATCATAGAGAAATATAGAGTGGCAAAAGCATACGGATGCGCGTGAAAATAATGGAACAAATTGAATTTGACAGATTTGACAATTTTGACATTGTCATGTCATTTAAGGTAGAAAAGTCAACGAAAATAATGAGATAGCTAATTGAACTTTTGTTATGTAAGGAATAAAGAGAGCAAATGCCCGGTATTCGCACGAAGCGAAGCGAATAACCGATATACAAGTTCCTGTTCCTTACTATCTTATAGAATTGATTGAGATTCTAATTCTAATGCTTGCAGCGGAATAATTCGGTCATATGGTATATTTTTATTATGATTTAAAATTTTTGATACTTGTAGTAATAGAAAATTTCATTCATTTTGTTAACATTTATTTTATTTCGTATCGTTTATTTATTTAGTCTTTTATTTTAACCTTAGACCATATATACTATTATTATATAAGATTTTAACTATATAAGGCCTACACAAGATCGCATAAAAGTAGTGGATTTCCGTTACTTCTGGCAACGCTGTGTTAAAATTCCGCTACTTCTGGCAACACTGGTATCTACCTTAAATGACAAGTGACAGTATGCGCAAAATTCAATTTGTGCCATCTACGAATACACGCTTTTTCCACTCTATATTCTCTATGCTTCAAATGAAGTAGTAATTTGTGCAATCAGGTCTTCTTCTGTTTCCACTAATGTTTCATGTTATTTTACACAAGCAAATTAACACAAAATGTATTAAAACTCGGTAAAACAGATTTTTACTAATAGTGAGCTTAAAGAATCATAGGGTCGTACCGCCTTCGGAAGAAATTTCTGAACATGGGTACTTATACTCAAATGTCTTCTTTCGTTGCACTGAATAATATCCCTAGAAGCTTTATCCCGTACTTCTGAAACACCCTATACTAAAACTCACCGATGAGCCTATCTTGTAATTCGCTGCCGAAAACGTCCGTAGACACGTGAAATACCAACGTCGAATCGAGGATAGGTTGTTTTTTCGATTGCACCGTCCAAAGCCTGACGGTACCATCGTATCCGGAAGACGCCAATAATCCGCTCCGTTCGTGCCAGGCCAATACGGCAACTCTGTTGTCGTGTCCTTCTAAATACGCAGCGTTCTGTTTCGGCATGAAGCCCGACAGATCGGCGAAATTCGTCTGATCCACGCTCGGACCGGGCATCATTTGGATTTTGGTCGCCAATGACTTGAAGAAGAGAAAATTGTAGTATAAGAACGATCAATATTTTATCATTTAGGGCCGAATTCATAATAAAGCGTTAAAGTATCCTTTTAGAAATGGAAGGTTTAAGGTCGCCACTTCAGGGTATTTTTAAGTGGGAAAACATAGGTTCAGTAATTCTAGTAAGATTCAAATTTGGCTCCATCAATTGATTCGAATCTTTTTTTTACCTAATATAGAGACTCCAAGCAATGATCTCCTATTTTTAGTCTCACCCATAGACCAAACAATATAGATGCATAACTCAATGGCATAATTTTAAAGCTATAAAGCGACATCTACAAATTCGAAGGAAGTAAACACAACGTTGCCACATTGCCATTGATTACTTTTTTATTTGTTTTGTTTGTTTAAGTACAGGGTGTAAACAAATGGTTGAGAAAGAATTTAATGGATTATTCCTTGTCGAAAGATAAGGTCTTTTATATTAAAAAAAATGTTTGACTAGGGATCACCGCTTAAATTATTTCGCAAACATTTATTTAAACCATGTATTTTACCTAGGTATAGGAATAGGTCATAGGTCGTCCAAACGTTTTTAGAAAACTAGGACGACATGCCTAAGTATAAAATAGAAGAGAAGAGAAATAGAGAAGAGAATTGAATTTGAAAAATTCTGAAAAGGATTTCTTATTTTGCTTTGTTGTACGTTTGATTTTATGTCAAGTGTAATCAAACACGGATCATCTACTAGTTACTAGAATTGTGAATTTAATAGCGCGCTTTGATGGGTTGCAGAAGTGCAGGTAATTTAAATTAGAAATTCGGCATACTTTTTTGTCACAGTATATGTATGTATGTACCTTAAAAAGTTGCTGAGCTGCCCACTGTTTGCTGACGTGGTCGACTTTGCTGGACAAAACGAACGCCGCCAAGGCGTTGACCAACGTCAACGGTCCGATGTCCCTGCCGTCGGCCCGTGGACTTTGCGGCGCGTCCGACTCCATCAAGGAGCAACCGCCGTGCGTCGACAGGATGTTGACCAAAGCCTGCGTCACGGCGAATCCAGATTTCGAAACGACGAAACCCAAAGCGTACATAATGAGATCCTTGGTGCACATGTCGACGACCAGATTCGACGAGGTGATTTCGTTTCGCGCCAACGCCGCTATGCTGACGCTCAAGTAGCTCAAGCAGTTCTTCGCCGCACTGGAAAGGTTCGAGACCAATTGCGAGAAGCCTTTGGGCAACTGGAACGTCGGTATGTCTTGGTTGTTCTTGATGTTGTTGATCTCGATGCGATTCATGGCGGTCAGGGTCATCAGTCGTATGACTTTGGTGATGTCGGACAATCCGATCGATTCTAAGCACGTCACCAATGACGCGTAGTCCGTGTTTATCGACAACACCGACAATACGTTCAATATGATCGTCCGCGATAGAAGAATGTGCGAGGTAATCGTCAGGTGTTTCAACGCCATGATCCGTTCCAAAGAAGAGTTTAACGACATGGCCTGGCCGCCGACCGATCGATTTCTGGTTTTCGGTTTGTCTTCGCCGTCGTTCGCCGACTTCGGTACCGCATTCGTGCCGAGCGGATCGAATCTGAGCAAATTGAACGTCTCTACCGTCAGTTCGTTCGTTCCCAAGTAGGTTTTCGTCAATTCGGCGTCGTCGCAATTCGGCATGGTGAACTTGGCCAATTGGACGTCCACTTCGGTCGTGTCGTATTCGTTGAAGATGATGTCGGGAGCCTGCAACTAAAAATTAATATTTCGTAAGAGTGTTAGTAAAGAAGTGCTAGAGGTGATTCGATGCTGATAATAAGATCTAAGTATATTAAACATCCTGCATATGTACAGGGGGGTCCTCTAAGAATGGCTCTCGGCCATATCTTGCAAACTAATTGTCATAGAGACTTGCGGTAAAAAATCTCATGACTAAATCTGCCAAAAGAAAATGCTGGAAATAATTTTTAAGTCTCTAAAATGACCGCTAGGGGGAGTATCCGCCATCTTGATTTTTAAAAGTCATTTTTTTCAAAGATTTCCTGAATAAAGGTAGCAAAAATGTGTTTTATTTTGATAGTTGAGATAATTTCGATTATTTTTTGTTGTATGTTTTTGACTCTATCTTTTAAAATAAAGTGGTGGGGAGGTTTGAATAATAAATGTTAACTTAAACGGCTGAACGGATTTTCATAAAAATGAAATCGTTGAAAAGGACTCTCCTTGATCTATAATTTACACTATATAAGATATTATTTTAATTGCTTGCTTGGCCGCAGTGGGCGTTTTCCGACATAACCTCAAAAAACACCGATTTTCTCAAACAAAATTAAATACAACGATATAACTTTTTCTTTGGAGAAGAATAGTCAAATAATTGCCAAACAAGCCTGTGAAAACCGCATCTCGATATCCCCTTCCTAACCTAAAATATTTTACGTCGATTTGCCACTACATACGAAGCGTTTTCTTTAGAAAATACCTCTCTATCTACCATGATTATTCACACGACCACCAAAAATTCGCATGTATTCGCCACAAATCCCCAGCGCTACCTACCCAAAAACTTTTCAAACGGTTGCATAGGGCACGTTCGAAAATTGAAATCTATTCTGAGTCACCCTTGTATAATACTAACGTGCGTGTTGGTCAACTGTTGTTGCTTATCGACGCTTTCGTTGGAAGTCGGCGTGGCGTTATCGCTGCTGGAATCCTCCACCGATGGATTTCTCAAAAGCGGGTTGGCCTCGCCTCTGACGTGCTGCCTCTCCCTGAACCTTTCGTAGAACGCCCTGTCGACTCGTTCGAAAAAGTTCCGCAAATCGGAACCGCGCCTTCTCGTCGTCAAACCTGATGATAAAAACCGACAAATAAAACTCGGCGATCGCTCCGAAAACGAGCGCGAAATAAATTACCTCTTCTTTGGATCAGCTCGATGTCGGAGCCTTCCAAACTCTGCGGTCTGGTAGCGTCTTGAGGTCGATCGATTAAGGTCCTCAACCAATTGCCTCTGTTCGAAGTGCCTTCGTCCTCGCTGAGATCGAGGTAAGGATGTTCGAGCATCCAAGTGACCAAACTGTTGACCGTGTGGGCGTTGAGTTCGCCGGCGTATTTGGTCTCTCTCAACGCCTTTTGTATGTGTTTGATGGTGAATCCCATTTCTAATAGGGGCAGAACGATGGGCGGCGTATTCGTAGCCTGCGTATTCGACGTCATGCTGCGCGTGCCCGAAAAATTCTCCTCCGATTCCGAACTGAATATAAGCCGGGTTCTGATATTGGCCACGTTCGGATTGGGATCTGAGGGAAATTACATTAAGAAGGACGATAAAATTAAACTGCACTATAACTACAGCCTGGAAAGTATGCCAAATGCATGGAAAGTGCATGGATATTTCCATCAATAATTCAAAATGCATGAAATGAAAAATAAAATTTTGCATTTTTCAATATATTTTGCCAATAAATAATTAAAATACGTTAAATTTAATAACAAATAATAAAATAAAAACGTTAAAAATTACTTGCAAATTCGGGTAACTAAATAAAATACGAAATGATCATTCTGAGAACTCTTAGTTCTGTGTTCTAAACGTTTCTGGGGCATTCTAGTTGGTTCTAGACAGTTCTAAATGGTTATAGACAGTGTTCTAAATGACTCTGGAGCATTCTAAATCGTTTTAGATAGTTCTAAATGACACAGGAGTGTTCTAAATGATTCTATACAGTGCATATGTGTTATCTTTTTCTTTTAATAAAAATTTCAAAAAAAAAATATTTTATCTGGTTGTTCATGATTTTGTCATCCAGCATGAACGCATATATCGTTTGCTCCATTTCCGATTGCAACATGGTCATTTCTATGAGTGGAACAAAGAAAGATTAATAAAATAACAGTTGTCAGAGTGAAAAGTTGCAATGACACAAATGTCACTCTTTCCTTTTCCTTTATAAGTGTCTAATGGAAGTTGTCTTTATCGCACCTATAGCCTATATAACCTATGTTGCGATCAAAAATGGAGCAACCTGTATAAGTGCATATTTTGAAGGTTTTTAGTGCATATTTTGCCATATTTTAGTGCATATTTTCCAAGCTCTACCTATAACAAATTAATTGGTAACGAAATAATGGTTAAAATGTAGTAGTTCATTGCTTGATTAACTTACTCAATGAGGATGAATACGTCGAACTGTATGGAGCTATGCTAGTGTGAGCGCTTAACGAAGATGGCGGTTTCGGAACAAAAGGATCCCTTTTTTGAGGTTTCAACATTAAGTAGGATGTTTTTCTCGATTGATCGCTACCTATTTAACAAATGAACGAGAACAATACACAGTTAGCGCACACAATGAAAATGGACAATAATGAAAATGAAATATTTCTATAGTCCTCCTGTTTTTCTAAAACTATTTTATTGCTATTTATTGCATTATGCAGAGAACAAACATGACTTGATAAAGGGAATGGATGATAAAATTATAAGCTGTTTTAAAGAAAATAACCAAAGAAAGTAAAAAATGTACGTAAAAAAAAGAAAACTCTTCAACAAAACACAAAATAATAGTGATATGACTAAAGAGTGACTCAATTAATTGAGTGCCGATACTTTAGTATGTGAATATTTGGATAATTTTAAGAAGAAAAGTTTATATCAATATATGTCCTAAACCTCTTAGTTTTCGAGCTACAGGGTGTTACAGTTTTAGAAACAAAAATTACTTTTGTATCATAATTTTCTTATCACTCCTGATATTTTGATGAAATGCTGTACACACTTTTTAATTATTAGAGAGCATTTTTTGAGACAAATGATTTTTTACAATTTTTACCAGGGACGACCGTATGGGGTTTGAACTGAATATGTTTAAAGACAAAATTGTACTCCACTGCTGTTTCTAAAACCCAAAATTATTTTTCAAATCCTCATTTATTTTGTAGCAAATTCGGTCAGGTATAAAGGTCAAAAATAAAGACCTAAACAATTTTTTATCAAGTTCAATGGCCCGTATTCAGCGCCCCTGTTTAATTTTAGAGTGACTCTAAAGTCGCGTCTCGAGTCCCTAGTTACTCCATAACAACAATGTAAAACTGTCAAGTTAAACACGCGACTTTATCTTTTAGGGCCAAAATTAATTTTCTTCTATTACCAGTGACGTCCACGTCCGAAATTTCATAAAAATGTCTGGACTAATAAGATAATTATGATAGAAAAGTTATTTTTTTCTAAAAGTGTAACACCCTATAGCTCGAAAACTAAGAGGCTTAAGACATAAATTGATATAAACTTTTCTTCTCAAAATTATCCAAATATTCATATCTTGAAGTATCGGCACTCAATTAATTACCGCCCTGTACCTATAGTGTTTTTAAAAGTAACTGTTACATGTTTCAATATTCACTAATTAATATGCTTTTATAGGATACCCTTTTCATAACTACTTACTTTCAGCCACTACTGCCGAACTGGGTAGACTAATGACGGAATTATCTATTTTACTAGTACTGCTAGGCATTAGAGTTTTCTTCTCTTCCAAACAACGGCTTTTCACGTAATTCATGTGCAAAACGGTCTCCGCTCTTTCTGTGTCGGCCATATCAATTATATTTTCCAATTTACACTGTTCGATGCTTTTATCGACCAGAGCGTGCATTATTCTAGTCACGCAATCGACATCCTCAGATTTAGACTTGTTATTCGAAAGAAAGAGTTCGGCAAACGACGAAGACGTAATGAATACACCTAAATAAATAAAACACATTAATTAACACAATAAATAAAAGTCTTCGGCTCAAGCTTACCCAAAACTTTCATCGCTGAAAATTGCAAAATGGCCAATTTCAGTACCTCCTCTTCTCTGTCCAACATTTTTTTCTCCAACAAATTGCTTTGCATGCTATCGCACTCGTTTTCGGTTTTCGCATCGCCGCCGTCCTTGATTTTCGACTCGCTTTGCGAGCCGCCTATTTTCTCGGTGCCCATGTACGTTTTCACCTCGCCCAAGATACTGGAGACCATATCGTTCGTCAACGATTCCATGGTCCTAGGACGTTCGTTGGGATTTTGATTTACGATTTGGGAATCGGAACTGCATCTAAGCATTTATAAAAAGCTTTAATCTCAAGGAAATCGGCGAATGTACCCAAGTTGTTAAAGTGTGAGTAAGTTCGATTGAATGGAAAAGTAATCTAAATTCAGGGTGATTCAGATTTTTTCTAGGTAACTTCGGGAGTTGATAGAACAGGTAAAAATAATGTTAGTTCGTAACATAATTTTTTAAACCCCATAATTTCGAAAATGCATTGAAGTTTTCTGATTTAATTCAAATTTAACATAGAAACACTTCTTATCATTGCGCATAACGGCATAATAATTTATAACGGTAATAACTATTTAGGTCTATACTTTGATTGATTTTAAAACTATTTTTATTCATGTAATTTTTTTTGTAAATTTGCTTCGTTCTTGAGATATTTTCTAATAAGAAGTATTTCTGTGTTAAATTTTAAAAAATCTAAAAACTAAATCAAAACTTATGAATAAAAAAGAACAAAAAAAAGTGCAACTTCAATGTCCCGTATTTACGAAATTAAGGGTTTTTTTTTTAAATATCACGAACTAACATTATTTTAACAAGTTCCATCAACTCCCGAAGTTATCCAGATAAAATCTGAACCACCCTGTATACTGGATACTCGATCGATAGGATGAAATTAATTTACGATTAGGTACCTTAAATGTTCCGGAACGGCGAATCCTTGCCCTTTATTCGGATTTAACAGTATTTGCTCGTCTTCGGTGAGTTCGAAATTCGGCATAATTATTTCGTTGGTTACGCCGCTCAATCTGGCGATTTGCAGTAATATATGCGGCGTCATACGATTGAATTTGTTTACGGAAAACGGCGTCGGCTCGACGAAATCCAAATTCGAAATGGTGACGTCGGATACGCCGCCGTCGCATTCCCATTGAACGTTTACCGTCGTAATGCCCTTTTTCAATATGCCCAGAACGACGGCCTTCTTGCCCGTAATTTTGTGCTTGCAAATTCCCCCCATTCTCAAACCTCTATCCAAGCCTAGTCGGAATCAAAAGTTGTGTAAATTTTATTACGGGAGATAGAGGAAAAAAAACGATAAAATTTACCGGCTATGACTACGAGAGCGGCCCAAACGTTATTGCACAATTCCTCGCTTTCTATGTCGGATTTCAATTCGCCGATCTTTTCTTGGGTCAATTCGATGTTGTTGTCTATGTTGTGAGTACCGATAACAGGAAACAAACTTTCTATTTTATTCAGTCTTGTTATTAGAGCCTCATTGACGTCTTCTGTCCATGTACTGGCGTTGTGCAATTTCCTGATGAATAATCATAAATAATAATCTATAAAAGTTACGAAGCAAATCGAAGAAATTCTACCTTAGAAGCATCACGTAGGATTCAACCAAAACGGCATGCAGCGGCGCTAAATTCGGTTCACCCGGTAACAAATCCCTTTGCGTACAATGTACCTTCATATCAGTAATTTTCACTTTTTCGTCCGGATTCGAACTGTAAAACATAACGCACGGATACAGCTCGGAGGCGTTAATGTTTTCAAACGCGATCCTCGGTTCTTCTCCGTTTTTACCGAAACTCAACGTCTTCGCATCCATGTCTAATATTACGGTAATGTAGTCACCTAAAAAATAAAAGTGTACGCTATTAAAAAAAAAACGTTAAATTACCGCAAAATAAAGTTACCTTGAGTATAACTTTGGAAGCTCATGTCTCTTTCGCCGTTGTGATATAAACTTCCGCTGTACGCCCTATACAGCCACATGTCACTCGTGGAACGGTGGCTGAAATCTTTGACAGGATATTTAGATACGCCAATGCATGTGCCCTCGTTGCCTCTATTTTCCTTAACTATGAGTATTTTCCATTGGTAGCAGCCCGATCTTATAGGTTGCAACGCTAAACCGTAGCCCCTTCCGATGCTGCCGTGTACCAGAGTCAAATTACCTACAAATAAAAAAATCAAAAATATATATTCTTATATTACATGCATTTTAAAATTTGGGACAATCGGATAATGACAAATTTTATACTTCCAACAATATATCAGTTGACAAATAAACATAGAGTCGCTATCCAATTGCACTATTCCGATTTTAGTTCAACATTTTCCAGATTTTAGTGTACCTTCGATGGTGCAATTGTAACATTTTTCCGGGTCAAAACCCATATCGTGAACAGGGACGTTGCCACCCACGTCCTTATTAATTTTACTGTCTAAAAATTCGCTTTCCGTGATATCACAGCTGGCAGACGATGGAGCTTCAATAACACCTTTGGGCACGCTCCACATCTCTTGGCTTATCTGATTGAACAACTTGTTAATGATGTATTTTCTTAAATCGTCGTCGATGTGAACCGCTTGTAAACCTGGAAATTTTCCGTAAACATTTATAAGGAATTTGAAACGATTGTAATCATTATTATTAACACGAATTAGCAGCGCCACTGGTGGCACCCCGGTAAGAGTGATATTTTATAGAAAAGCTATGATCCGGTCCGATGCAATGTCGTGCTATTAATAAAAGTAAAACATGCTATTAATTACCCGGTAAAATAACTTGAAGTAGCTGCAAAATCAACAATTTTGGCCTCAACGTTTTCAGTAACGACGAGTAGTTGATGAACGCATTCGAAGCGTCCAATATGGTGAGCAACGAGTGAATCCATTTCTTTGAAGCGAGCAATTTCTGTATGGCGGCACTGGACGAAATGATCCTCAAAAAAAGCAAAAAATCGCCGAGGCTCCTCTCGTCGTCACCATTGAAATTCATACAAACGGCGCCGACGATGTTCTGGCAGCTTTCGTCGATGCTTTTGGTTTTCACGAACTGTTCATACAGCACATTAACGACGTTTTCCAACGTCGACGAGTCCGTTTTCTTGGAATGAACGCAGCAAGACATGGCGAGAATTCGGGTTAGCCTCAATGCGGCCAGGCTCAGCAATTCCGATTTATTAACGAATTTCGTCGGCATCAAATGGAAGTTGATGAGTTTCATTAGCAGTTGTAAGAGATCTTGGTTTATAACGATCGGCAGGTCGTTCGATAAGTATCTGCAAATTTTATTTACATTACTATATTAAGTTGTGAAAGGGATTAATTAACTCACCTGGTACTTAAAGAAAATATCGTGGTAATTAAAAGTTGTTTGTTATCGGAATTATTGAAAATCTGCCGCTTTAAAGATTGAGTTAGAAATTGATAAATGCAGTGTACGACATTTCGTATTTTTTCTTGGATTTCCAAAGGAGCCGCTTGTACACCCTCCAAATAATGATGAAGTTGAGTGCAGGAATCTTCGCTTTTTATATTGAAAAACCCGAAAGAACCTTCGAGCAGTTGTTGTTGTATGCAATTTAAAACGGTAAGAGAAGTTTCTCGGGTAACCAGCTGATATAAAAGTTGATCTAAACTTTCGAACCTGAAATAGAAATATACCCGTTCATTAGGTAATTTTTTAAGGGCAATTTTTCATAGGCTAACCTAGCGCGAGCTCTATTTTTCTGTTCCATCAACGCTCTGTACATAACCGATACGTCGGTACACCAACCGTTAGCATCGTTATTTTTCTTCTCTAACGGTTTCCTTACTTTCTCCAATGGTTCGTTTAAAACGAAGCTTTGAAAAGAATGGCAAATTTTTCTCAGATCGTTCAATGAAGCAGACTCTTTATTCGGCTTGTAAAATTCGATATACGGCTTCTCTATTTCGATATCCGATTCGTTGTTGGGACTCGTCGAAATATCCACTTCTATACCTAAATAATTATGATTTTTAAAACAAATGTGTTAAAAAATAAGGAAATAACTTACCTCTTACATACATTAGTAGAAACAAGCATCTCTCTATTATCTCCTGGCAAGAACTCTTAAAATTCTGCTCGTTGTTTTCGACCAACAGAAAATTTTCTTTAACGAAATTATCCGCCGGCTCGTTTTCAGCACCGACTACATCCACAATTTCGTCTTGGTATTCCTTGCAATAAATCATGCCGATCACTTTTTGCCTTAAAACAAGAACGCTTTTGAAAATCTCTTTGATCGCTACATGACTATCGGTCTTTTCCAAAAGCCCCAACTGCTTAAGCACCGTCATTAAAAAACACTTTGTCACCGTATCCAATAACTTTTTGACGTCGTCTTCGAATTCCCACGATTCCACTTCGATGTCTTCCATCAATCTAACGAAGAAATTGTCGTTGTCCGGGAACTCGTTGGGCGGAAAGGCGCAAGCCTCGTCGTATTGACACGGCAGGTTGAACGCCAATTTGCACAGACTTTCCACCGAATCCGGTAAATGTTCCAATTTGATTAGAAACCGTTCGGGCGTCGTGACTGTCGCCAAATACGACAGTTCGACTAAAACGTTTTCTTCGAAACTTGTATCGGTTATACCGTTGGAAAATAGTTCGTTCGAGAGCCAATTTCGGCAAGCCAGTTCGACTTCTGTGGGCGGCTCGCCTACTAGCAAACCCCCCAAACAATGACCTATTACTAACGAGCAAGTCTTTTGCAAGTCCACTATCCACACCCAAGATTGTTCAGCTAATTGGTCTAATGTAGGAGTCTCACTTCCTGTGGAAAAAATCGTTTTAGAACATACATAGATGCCAAAATAATAACTGAATAGAATTGTTTTGTTTGGACTGTTTAAGTTACACAATGTTACAGGGTGTTAATTAATTGAGTGCCGATACTTCAGGATGTGAATATTTGGATGATTTTAAGAAGAAAAGTTTATATCAATATATGTCCTACACCTCTTAGTTTTCGAGCTACAGGGTGTTACAGTTTTAGAAACAAAAATAGCTTTTCTATCTTAATTTTCTTATTACGCAGATACTACTAGAGATATTTTTTGAAATTTTGTACACATCTTTCAATTATTAACGAGCATTTTTGAGACAAAAGATTTTTTTAATTGTTACCATTAGCGTCTACGGGGCTTGAACTGAAAGAAAAGTTTATATCAATATATGTCCTAAACCTCTTAGTTTTCGAGCTACAGGGTGTTTAATTTTAGAAAAAAATATATCTAGAGTAATAAGAAAAATATTATAGAAAAGTTTTTTTTCAAAATCTGTAACACCCTATAGCTCAAAAACTAAGAGGTTAAGGACATATATTGATATACTCTTCTATTCTTAAAATTATTCAAATATTCACATACTAAAGTATTGGCACTCAATTAATTAACACCCTGTATTTTAATTTTCCCTTATGTAAATCTACAGGGTGATTCAGAACTTATCCGAAAAAATTAAACGGGATGTAGTATAGCATCATAGAAAACCAGTGGTGCGATTTTTAAGGAAAAATTTCGTAGTAAAAAACCAATTTAAAAATACTCCTGGCACGCCTTTCAAAACTGCACGACTGTACTACAATAGAAAACCCCGTCAAATTAATTGTGTTCGCTCTGTGTAAAACTTTATAATTTTTTTCCGGCGTAACTAAAGGGAATTTATTACAATTTTTTATTGTAATAAATATATTCCCTTAATTTTTTTCGGACCAGATCTGAATTACCCTCTATACGTACTGGAAGAATCCTTTTCACTGTTCAGCAATTCTCTGGGCAACAGCTGATTGAAGCGATCTATCGGATCAAGCAACTCCAATAGAGCGGGATACAAATCCTTGGAGTAGGAAACGGGCATAAGCAACAGGGAATTCAATATTTTGAATAGCATGGCTCCGGTTACGGACTCCAGTAGCACGTTATACAACAGCTCGAGGCTCGAAGGGTACATTATTAAAATGTTGGCGGCCCGATTTAAAATTTTCGCGGCGAATTTGAAAACGTCGTCGACGTGTGTCGAGAATATGTCACTTTCGGAGCCCGCGAACTGATTCGCCAATAAATTCGTATAATGAGCCAGCATGTGGTTTTGCAGCGAGGACAGTAGACGTTGTAGGTTGCAAATTTTAGAGTTACCCGGCGCTTGCCATTTGAATTTCGTAGTTATAGACATGTAGTTTAATATGCTGTCTAAAGTCTCTTCCTAAAATTAAGTAAATTCAGTTAATAATAATAAATTACAGCATAACGTGTATTACCAAATTGTTTCAATGGTAAAGAGCAACAGTAGTAAATTACCAATGAGTGGCATTGCTCTATTCTATACCCTATGGTGCATTTTAGTTCGCAATATGGTCATTTCTATGAGTTGAATAAGGAAATATTATTAAAATAACAATTGTTAGAGTGAAAAGTTGCAATCCCTAATGGTGTCTAATGGAAGTTGTCTTTATCGCACCTATAGCCTATATAACCCCAAAGCTTACATTGCAAACTAAAATAAATCAATCAACTTTCGATCTGTATAAGCTGGAGATACAGAGTTTACTTAATTTTCGTAATCACTCTACTATTTCTAGCGAATTCATCGAAATAACAAAAACTGAAAATCCGAAGTTTCTGACATTCCAAATTCCACTTTCCTGACACCACCAAAATGTAAATCTACCCTACACTGACCTATCCTACCACCGTGAGGAGGTGGGGACGTGGGGACGTCAAAAGGTAGGTGGTAGGCGTAGAGTATAAATAAAGGATAATGTAGGGGGTAGGGGATGTAGAATCGATGATTAAAATATTGCCCTTTGCCACCGAAACACTCCGCACAACTTACAGTGTTTTTAGTGAAAGACTTCAACAACGTATGCATTAAAGTACCGGTAAGTTGCAAGTTATCGATTTTCTCTGGAATACTGCTGTAACCCAGCATTGTGGCGATATGCATTGGATCTTCTAAGCTGTTCAAAATTATTCCCAAGAGCATCTGTTGACCCTGCGATAATTGGTTACCGCTCGATAAATGAACGTGCAGAAATTCCACTCTTTCGTTCAATTGGGGCAGCAGTAACGGGGCCCCGATATTTAGGACGTCTCTGGCGGTGTTGTGTATTTCAGAAGGTGCTTCTATGTCTATTAACCTACAAATATTTAGAAAAAAAAATATTACCGAATAAATCTAGTACCTAGCTAGTTCTTTTGTTTAAGTTTTAATATCAAGAGTGATATTTAAAGAGCTTTAAATTGTTTTACGTATACTTGCCTAAATAATGCAGTTCGCAATACTTTGGCGTGCGCATTCAAGGCGTTGGTATTCAAATTGCCGTTAATGCACAAATTCAAATGAGTACTAAGCAGTTTCAAGGTTAACAAAACGAACTTCGTGTGCTCTTCTGGCGTTTTGAACGGAAGCGGAGGACTCTTGTAATCGAAACTGACTGTATACTTTTCCAAAAATATTTTCAAAAATTCAAACGTTTTTTCGTGTAAATCCAAACAGAACGGCCTGTGTTTAGTGATGTGCGGGCTCTCAGACGGAATGGAAGTCCAAGCAACAGAATGAGATGTACCTACGAAATTAATACACAAATCAGAAACTAATTGGATCAAAATGTTCGTGATAATTAATTAATTTCTTTGAAAGGAACCTTTCAATATTAAATAAAAGTAATACCAGCGCTGATTTGTCGAATTGGTACACCTTCCAAACCAATGACTTTAAGAGGCCGGTTTATAGGACTCGATGAGTGGCCTTGACCGCATTGGCCCATGCTGTTGGTACCCCATGCAAAGACTAAATATTCATCGCTGAGTGCCAAACAATGTGTGTCACCGGCTGAAATGTCGATTATTCTGTATGATGTCAAATCCTCAACCAGAAGCGGTCTGAGACAAATTGCATCGGCAGAACCCATTCCTAGAATCGGTCCGCTGCCCCATGTGTAAACCTAAGAATTATTCGTTCGTTATGCAAAGTAAAAAATATATATTTACAATATTTACTTGACCCATAGTGGTAAGGGCCATCGAGAAGGATGTTCCGGCGCACACTTTTTGTATTATTAAACCTTGCAAGGCTTCGATAACCTTTGGCCTGTAAACCTTAGCAATTTCGCCGTGTCCTAATTTGCCATTCTCGCCGGATCCAAATGACCAAACGGTTTTTCCATCTTTCGACACGACAAGTGTATGAGAACTGCCACAGGCTACTGAACCCACTTCGACGTTAGCCAAGTCTTGCACCAAAGTAGGAACATGTCGACCGGTATTGTCTAAATGCCCTAATCTGCCGTGGTCCCCTTCACCCCAAGTATAAAGCTTACCATCGTCAGTTATTGCTGCGCTATGCCTATATCCTACAACATAATTGTATCACGAGAGTCACGACATATTAAAGGAACCTGAGCCAAAAAAAATATTTACCTGCGTTAATGAATTTAATAGTTTTTTCCAAAAACGGGCCCCCGATTCTTTCGGGTTGCTTGTGAGTAGCGGAATTTCCATGCCCCAATTTCCCGTAATCACCATCACCCCAACTGTACACCTGTCCATTTTCCATCAAGGCTAGAGTGTGCCCGTCGCTCCCTTTAGAACTAGAAAGCTTTTTGACGACGGCGTCCAATAATATCCGTTTGGGAAGACTTTGATTGGAGGATTCACCCAAACCTAAACGTCCATAGCTGCCCTTGCCGCATGCGCTTACGTAACCATCCCAATGAATAACAAACGTACAATATTGACCAGCTTCAATCTAATTAGGAATAACGCTTAGTACACGTTAAAAATATCCTCAACATGATAGAGATCAATTACCTGCTGTACTTTGTTGAAAACCTTTGATTTGATTGGAAGCAAAATTTTTTCTTGACTACTACCTTCGGCCAACTGATGGGAGGAATTGCTTCCCCAAACGTAAACGTCGCTCTTTTCGTAAACACCTAATTCTGAATCAGTTTCTACCGCGGAACACGCTCCCCCATAATCGACTGCCATGTTAACCAATACCTCCATTAGCGAAACAGCAGCTGTATGTATTACCATTTCATCGCTGTCTTGTTCCATTGGAATCTTTTCCTTGCTCTTGTACCGTTGTAGTTGCAATATCGCTTTTTTCACCATTTTACTGTAATTTCAAGATGAAATTAGTAAACGTTATCGTTTCAATAAGCATCATCAATACCTAGATAGTGCGGGTTCGTTACAAGACGCCTCCAATGCCATATCAATCCACTCCAACAGGTATCTCAATGATCCTCTTTGCATGGCTAAGCTCAAGAGAATTTCGCACGACAGTAATTTACCATTGTCGTCGGCAGAGTTTTTCGTTAACACTGCCGTTTTCAGGAAACTGCACGCTTGGTCTAAGCTGCTTATGCCAAGATTCGTCAGTTGGGAATCGTTGGAGAGACATAGAGGAGGCAATTTCTCGATTAAATCTACGGCAGTTTCTAAAACGGAATTGCACAGACAAGGAATACCAAGGATTCCGCTGACTTGCCAATTCTGCTTGAGGAGGGAGAACAGCAAACTTAAACCTGTTTTAACGCCGACTTCCAATAGGGCTTGAGAGCCAGAAACTATCTAAAAGAATATTTTTTTAATAGTTGAAAAACCTTAAGATGCCTTAAGTAATTTAAGATAAGTATTTTAATTTAAATACATATATCAATCACATTTTTTATAATTGAATCTAAAAATTGAAATTACCTCTCTTGGTTTTAATGGTACTACAGTAGTGCTAACTCCAGGCTCGCATGATCCGCTGTCCCCTTTTTCCTTATCGTGATATTTCATCAATAAGGCGTAGAAAATTCTTTTTAGTAGTAACAGCCTTTGTTTCAATATCACAGAAAACTGAGTGGACGAACAAATGTCTTTGGCTAGTTGTAATTGGGAAGTAAGCAATGTAGTAATGTAATGGTTCAAATCGTTGAAAGAAGGCGGGTCGTACTGAAAAGTAGGAAGTACCTGAAACATTACCAGTTTTGCTATTAACGAATTTTTGCGCTGAACAATGGACAATCCCGCGCCCTCATTTAAAGTTGGTATAAAAAATAGAGTACCTGAACATCGTTGTAAGATGATACGCTCGAAGGAATTACTCTTATTTCTTTGTTTTGTAACAAAACATCATACATCGATTGGACCAGATCCCTATTTGCGATGTTATCACAATTTTTTAAAGCCCATGTTGAATTTGTGTGTTCAACCCACTCCAGTTCAATATTAGATGCACTTTCCATAACGATGAATATTAAATTAAGGTGGAAAATTTATCACAATTTTTTTATCGTATTTTTTTCTTATTTTATTAAATCACAACATGGTTGTTGATAACTGCTAAACAATAGCTTTCACTAAAATTTGGTTCTTGAGAATAAACTTGACGAAATTGTCAGTGTCCGATATGAATGTAATATGAAATCTCATGTGAAAACTTGAAAAAAACACATTCAACTGGTAACTTTTTTCGTCGTTAAATCAGCTACATTAACATGTCGTACAATTATTGAATTAAGTTTCTTAAATATTATAACATTTAATTTGGAAATTTTATGAAATATTCAATATTCATTATTTATTAGAAACATTAAATGCATACTCTTCTTCTCTTCTTCTTTTATTTTATAACTAGTTTTTTTTCTAAAGATTATGGCCTTTGTTTAGCAGGTAATTAGTAAAAAACTTTTTTACAAGTGTCTAAATTATTTTTACTATTTAGCTATTCTTATTTAGTTCAAAAATATAAAAATTAATCAATTTATTTCAACATGAGAAATTGGTACATTTTAATTTTGTGATATTTTTAAGAGGGGCGTTGAGATTTGGTAACCCAATTTCAGTTGGCAGCAATGAAAATGAGCCCGATTTTTCGGTGTACAAATCTCAAATTTTACTTAATTTTGAGATATAATATGAATCGCATCTGATAGAGTGAACCTTCCTGTAGGTCATAAAGGTTTTTTTTACAGATCTATGCAAAAATAACGAAATTACAAGCGTTTGAAAGTGGACATTTTTCAGTTTTTTTTTCTATCGGACGATAACCAAAATCCTTTATGACCTAGCGAGGGGTAATAGAAATGTATTGTGAAAATTTGGAAACGATATTCTTTATATTTTTTGAGATTTGTACACCGAAAAATCTGGATTTTGGAAAAAACTTCATCGATTTGCCGCTAGGGGATACCGAAAATGATATGTTGGTAATGTGGGTTGCATACGCTCAACGAGATATGAGCTTAAGGAAGATAAAATAAGGGTTATTTATGAATATACGATATATGTGCACTTCACAGAGCACACTGTTTTTATTATAATAAACAAATTTAGGAGAATTCAGGAAATTCAAGTGAAAATTTATTGTAAGTGTCATTGCTGCCAACAAAATAGAGTATTTGACGTGATAGACATGACATAAGACATAAGACAAGATGTCAAATTGATTTTTAGGAGGTTATATTTACGTTACCATATTTACATTTGTTATATTATACTTTATCGAGTTATTACTTTGTAGTTGCAATTGAAATTGCAATATACAAACAATAATTAATTATGAAGATACGTTATTATATTTGGATATCATGCATTTATTAATTATTTTGTAAAACAATATTCGAAGATTGAGAAGACTAGAATGAAATCAAAATTTATCACAGCGTGCACTATTAGGTATATTTTTCATATTCATCATTGGCATACAAATTTAGTATTGTATTTTTTCTTTTCCAACTTTACACTTATCAGTTATTAGATATGATATGACTTACGTTTAATTCAACTATCATGCTAAACTTGTTGTACCTGTAAGGAAAAGAATTCAAACATTTCATTTGTGTAAATATGTTTATTTTAATACTACTTTAACAATTTTGATATACAAGTTGATATACAAGTTTCATCGGTCCACTTTTCTTCTCTTCTTCTATCTTCGGAATATAATGTTTTATCGGATATCTCATAGGGCAGGTTGATGATCATGGCAGGTAGCAGGTAGGAGGCAGGTATGAAATATATACTTGAAAATGGCCCTGCACAGGTCCCCACCCAAGTCCTACGACCCCAGGGTGGCTGTAGTAGAACTATTTCACTTACAAATTCATCAGTGCCATTGTCATTTTCGGAGTGTGTGTTCGGAGCACTTATTGTTGCATCGGGCATCCCATAGGGCAGGTTGTTGATTAAATTTATGCTTGAAAATAGTCCTGCACAGGTCCCCACCCAAGTTCTACGACCCAGAGTGGCTGTACTAGAACTATTTCATTTAGGTCCAGTTGCTCGTATGCGGATCAAAGTCGTATCAACTGATCTCGAATCAAAGTCGGATCAATAGTTAGTCCTGGAAAAGGGCGGCCATATTTAATCTCGGCTTAATCGCGGATCATAATTGATCCGCGTATGAGCAACCGGGCCTTACAATTTCATCGGAGGCATTGTCATTATCGTAGTGTGTGTTCGGAGTACTTATTGTATCGGGCATTTATCAATATATTCGATCGTAGAATCGCATCTCCCATTTTGTCGCCTGCACGTACTTTTGCAATATTACATAGGTACACAATACAATACAATACAGGGTGTTCCAATAAAAAGTACCCCCTTTAATTAGCTAATAATTTTTAAACGCCTAATCATAAAAACATGCGGTTTTCTCAAATATGTTTTATTTTATTATAAGTTTTGTTACAATGATACAGAAATTATGCATTAACAATACATGGTGTTTTATCAAAACCTCCTCTTTTAAATTCACAGTAACCAAATTAATTTAAATGGAACATCCCGTATATACAGAGGTATTTTAAAAGATACACTCTTCTACTTTTCAAAAATATATTATTTGTAGATATTATTCTACAAAAGAAGACGTCCTATTTCATAAAATTTAGTTATTGCGAATTTAAAAGAGGGGTTTTTTTATGAAACATCCTGTGCAGGCGATACAAAATTTTTGTCCCACTGCAACAAAAAGTTATAGAAAAATAAATAATATATTTGTCAAAACCGCATGTTTTATCATCATTAGGCGTTTAAAAAATATTAGCTCACTAAAGGGGCTACTTTTCATTGGGACACCCTGTATTTTAATGAACACTATCATAATTACATGATTTTTATATAAATAGTAATATAGGTACCACTCGACAAAGACTGGTCTTTCTAGCAATGATTGTACGTCTATTATTAATCTTTGTAATTAATTATAAAAATTAATTAATAAAATGTTTCAAATTTACATCCATTACATTACATTATATTTACATCATCGTTATATTCATTACATTATAGTTTACAAAGTTTGCAATAAGAAATTGAAATATAATTAACTAATAAACTATATAATATTTATATAGTCATTGATATTTGAATTAAAATTTGCAAATTAATATACCTTCTTATACATATATCAAAAATGAAATTTGCAAATTCTAAAAGCAAAAATGCATCTTCGCCGCTACAAAAATAGAGAGAATATTCGCCAGAGTGTTAGGGGTCGAAAACGATTAGACGGACAATCATAAACGGCTACCTGCTTATGCAAATTTACTTTATTTACAATGCGACGATAACAATACATTTACTTTGAAAATAGTCTCTTAGATCCACTGCACTTGCGCCACCTGTTAGAACATTTTCTGAAATATCACTGGTTAAAAACCTGGCTAAAAATTTAAATTTGAGACAGCTATCGCCATCTGGTTCAATTAATGAAACTACAAAAAATTACTAGATTCTAGGGGCGATTGGTACGACTGATTAAGTGCTCAACGCCCCTCTTAAATGTCAACAAACGAACAACGAAACACAGTTCACAGATTCACAGATTCTCAGTCCGTGACAGTTAATTTGACAGTTTTGTCATTGTTGACATTTGACATTGTTGTCATCATGAAGGTGTGTATGAATTTTATTGATTTTTGTTTATTGGTGTTTAAATGGTAATAAATAGTTAAAAATATAGCTGACTGTAGCCAAGAATTGTGTTCATTTAGTTATATAGAGGATATATTGCAATTTTAAATAGTAAGTACTTGTTTTGTAGCCGAAAAAATTCAATAATATAATTTCTTTTCTAATACATCGCCATATATTAATTTAAATTCTAAGCAATTGTTATTTATTTTATTGAAATATTTTACAGTTTAAGAATAATAATTCTGAAAATGTTGTAAACTAGTGTCTATTGTTTTTTCTAATTTCACTATTTTAATTTCTCTTGTATTCTTATTCTGATTTTTTTTAATTTTTAAACCCATCTTACTATTGATTGTCAAATTGGATCAATACCTCTTCGCTGTTTACTTTGTGTTGCTAATTTTAAAAGTAAAAAGATCGAATTTAAATCCCTAATCTATTCCAGAATATTTCACTGTACATACATATTTGTAGTTAAGTAAAAAATGTCTATTCCACCATCTGTGAACATAAATAAGCCTGTGGACATAATTGATTTAGGTAGGTACTGAAAATGCAAATGTTTAAAATATTATCATGATATTCATTTACAGATACTTATGTATGTAATGACGAAAAGATTCAAATTTGGCTAAAAAGAGTATTTGATAAAATAAAGGTTTCCTTTGGTTTTGAAAACCAAAACAATTTGGAAACTTTAATGAAATGGTACATTGAGTAAGTTAATAATTATTTATTGTTAGTAAAATAAATAAATTGTATTTTTTTCCTTTTTTTTAGCTCCCTGCACACTGATGTTATAGACATAGTCATAAGTCGAACTTTCTCTATAAAATTAGAAAAACACATATTTCTATTTCATAGAATCTTCAAAAGATTTAATTACTTCTCCTTTAATACCTATTTAGATTATATGGAAGATATTTTAGCTTTCTATTTGGATTGCGAAGTAAAGAGATTTATCAATGAGAAAAGAAGACAGAAAAAAAACAAACAGTTTATGCGCTCAAGAATTTTAAATTTATTAAATGTATATTTATTGGATCAAAAAGACAGATATCATCATGTCCTAATGAAAATGCGCGCGGATATTTCGTCAGATGAGGCAAAGAATTGCCTTGACAACATATATAGGTGATATTTTATATTTTTTGTCTAATTAAGTGATATTTTCATAGACTAGTACAGTAATAATTATGGAAATTGAATATTGTCAATGAAATTTCTGTTTGATTTAGGGTGCTATTTGCTCAAAAACCATCTAATAAATCTGATCAAGCATTTTGCACTGCATTTATATTAAGCGAGAGATGGAAAAAAACTCTACCAGCCGATTGTTGGCCAACTCTTGAGGAATTAATCAAAGAATTATATGGCAGACATCCCAATACCATACAAACAAATCCCGTTTGGAAAGAAATAACATCTTCTAATGAGTCATTCATCGAAACCATTGCTCAGTTCCATGTTAACGATAGAGCTGTGTGTGATGCTTATTTCAAATATGCCAAATCAAAAAGTATGGACGAGAGTGTTGTAATGGTAAACAAGGACACAAATCCTACAGAAGAACCAAGCACGTCAAGAATAGTAAGTATCTAATTGTCAATCTCTCGGTTTTTCATAAGATTCTACTGTATAATTATTCTCTTAAGGGAATAAATCAAGTCGATAGCGATGGCGATGGCGAAAGCGAACTGGAAAATATCTTGAAAAATTGCAAAGTTATTGAAGCATTAGAAAGAAAAAATGAAACTACTGATAATAAGAAAAATGTGAATAAAGCTGTTGAGGATGACGACGACGATGATGATGATTGTATTATTGTTTCGGATGGTCCTCTGTATGTTAACCCTGAAGATTTAGTCTTGGAAATTTTAGACGACGATGATGATGTTAATGAAGATATTAAAGATAATACAACACACAAAGAGGTACATTTTGGTAGGCTTTTCAATAATATTTCTTAAGAATATAGAGGGCGTTCCACATACACACGACTAGCTACAATACTTATCTATTTTTATACATATACTAATAATACTAATACAATCTATTAAAATTACAGGTTGGTCCACATTCCAGTCGAATGACGAATCGACATATATCATTTTTGGATTCAATTGACAATATTGCTGATATTTCATCTGTTACAAATGATAATTCAGCAGCAGAAGATGTTTCTTCGCCTTTATTAAAGTCACAGGGCCCTGATGAAGATGATTCTGTTAAGTTAAGAGATATTCTTTCTCCAGAAGTCGCACAAAAGAAAGATGATAAACAGAAAACTAACAACATATCAGAAACTGTCATCAACAATAAAGAGGAATTAGATACAAACGACAATAGTAATCCAAATTCAAGTGTTCCTGAAGATGTCGTTTGTTTGTCCACTTTGGTGCAAGAAAAGGGAACGGACGAACTCACAGATGATCTGTCTAATAGCGGGAGCACAAATAATAATAGTAAGCCAATCAAAGAGGAATGTAAAAAAAGGAAAAGATCTACTTCTTTCGAAAACAACACCGTTTGCACAGTGAACAATTCGGCTATCGTTAGCCCTCAATACATGCCAGATGTCCAAGAGATTCCGTTAAGCGAATTTTTGGACGATCCGTCACCTCAAATGAAACCATTTGTTATGCAGCAAAATGAAATAGAAGATAAGAAGAATCTATCGGAAGAGGGGCCGCAAACGAGAGTTCCTCTGAACAAACGCATTCGAGTCTAATCTCGGAAATGATCAGTTATCCGGCCAAACCGGCCAACATCATCGCCGAAATACAGGAGCAACTGGTTGAGCCTCAATCGCCATCTTTCAAAACGCCGGCTCAGAAAAAGGAAATGCCACCGGTGGCGCCCGTTCCGTCTATACCGCATTTAACGGACCAGCCTAGCATCATAACAAAGCAGTACAACAGTCACACTTATAATAATCCTACTATAGATTATCACATGAACAACGTTCCCTATCCGTTTTTCCCTTGTGGCAATTTAACCTATTTTCCTCCGATACTTTTGCCCGTAAATGGTGCGACTGCGTTCGACGTGAACATGATGAATGCCGGTCAACATCATCTTCACCATCAAGATGCGAACGTTCCTCAGGAAATGCCTCAAGATCTCAACGGAAGATGCAAGAAAGAAAAACGAAGCGGTAGAAGAAGAAGAAAGGAATGAGAATATTTACATTAAATAATCATTTAAAAAAAGAAACGAGCTTGTATGAAGTGATATTTTTTTCGAAGCCTATAACGCAACTAATTGTAAAATCTCGCTTCATATGAACGGTTCGTTTTTATTTAATTTATTATTTTAAACATTCAGTATTTGTATAACTAGTAATTTTCTAATTAGTTTCTAATTAGACCTATTTTCCTCCGATACTTTTGCCCGCTGGTCAGACTGAAGATAATTCGACGAAGAAAGAAGAAAATCGACGATGAGAAAAAAATAAAGGAATAGACCAAGAAGAAGGAAAGGAAAATATTTGGTTAAAAAAATGAAACGAAATTGCTTGTGTAAAGTGATAGTTTTACTAAAACTAAAAATCTTGCTTCATACACCATACAAATGATTCTTTTTATTTAATTAATATTTTTTTAATATTCACTATTTATATTTCAAGTTATTTTCAAGTAGCTGTTAATTTAACTTTTCAATTTTTAAACTTTTTATTTACATGTATGTTATACGGGGTTGGAAATAAATTCACGGATAATAGGGAAATCAATATAAACGAACCAAAGTACGGAGTGCGGTCCAGTTGAACAATTAAATTTGTTAGAATTTATCGCGACGTTCTATTGAAATGTACACTTATAGAGTGGATTTAGACTTTAGCCGGCTAAGAATTTAATGTTAATTTTCCCTATTATGCGAAATTAAATTTCCAACGGTGTAAATCTGCGTATTCAGTATCGTAGCTTGAAGATAGTTGAAGAAAGAAGAGAAACGAAGATGTGAAGAATATCGAAACAATTATTATTATTACAATTTACTTTTAAATTTAATCGCATTTTGCATTGTTTAAAAAACTATGAATAAGCACCCATAACAACTTTCAATATTTCTAGTTTTCTAATTAATGGCTGTGAATATCTCATTTTTAATATTTCTATTATATTAAACTTCGTTTGTTCAATATTAATTAGCCTTGGTCACTTGGAGGTAATTGACGAGCGGAAGAATGAAGATCGTTGATGAGAAGAATGAAGATGAGAAGAAAATAAAGAAGAGTAATACATAATTGATATTTTTTTAATTCCTATCCTTTTAGGTATTTATCATGAAAAAATTAAACTAATCGAATTAGTGTTGTTCAACCCGTTCTAATTCTTTAATACATACAATTTACATAAATTATTAATACTAAATTCAGGTGGAACGCTCTTTTGGTAAGTAAAATCTTCTTATTTTGTACCACCAGGAATCTAAAGTTGATCCATACTTTTAATACTTTTAATTTTTAAATGGATAAATAATAGCTTCAACGATAATCAAGTAACCAGTCCTCCAAATTCTTTAATTCAGTTACATGGCTACTTTCTTTCTCTATGACTAACATTCTATTAATCATAGGGGATAAGAGTGATTATAAATGATGTTTCATTTAGGCCGATCGCTTACGGAGCAACTGTTAAAAATAAAAAATAAAAATTGTAAACCAGTCGATCTTGCAACTATTTTGCAACCTCGGAAATGTATAGTAGTGTGGAACCGCACACAAGTCGATTCAAATAAAACTAGTTTAATATGTAACCAGTTTACAACTAATATTAAACTTCTGCACGCACACGGGTGCGACTATTATAAATAGTTTCAATCAGTTGCCATAGTAATTTATCGAATGTCGACTGAATCACACTAGAAATTGGCAAGAATTTAAAGCAACTTGAAACTGCAAAGCCACTGCGACCGCGGGAAATGGTCGAGTACAACGGGTTTATGACTCATTGCAAACTAGTTTCAATTGAATCGACTTGTGTGCGGTTCCACACTACTGTACATTGCCGAGGTTGCATAGTTAGTAGCAGGTAGTGTTGTCGACGAATGAGAGAGATGCAGCTAGGTTGGGTTTGGGCATATGGCAATAGTCTAAGAAAGCAAATGACCACGTGAGTTACGTTTGCAGAAATGCAAGATTTCATAGTTAAAGAACATCCTGTACAGAGGGTGGCGCAGAACTCACGCCCCACAGGGAAAGGCCTTAAGCCTTAATGTAGCCTTAATAAAAGCGACAATAGACATGCCAAAAATGCAGTGGAAAACATGAAAAAGTTATTCCTTTGGTAAATATGGTAAATAAAGAGTGAATTAGCTATACACCAATTTGGCATTATTGAAATATTCTATGTTCTATATATCTTATTTGGTCCCCCCTACCTCTTGCCCTAACTAGCTCCATTTCTCACGGACCTCTCTCTATCATTGGGAAGGGTGAATAACATTCAAAATATCAATAGTGCTGCGTCCATGATTAATAGCTCTATGATTTGAAATAACGAAGTTGACATCTACCTCCGGTATAACCGGAAGTCACATATGGTTGAAAATATTTTAGAAAAACCATAGATCATATACAGAGTGTTAGATCTAACGCGGAGCAATCTCGGTACGGGATAGCCAATACGAAATTCGTTAGCGAAACAAAAACAGAATTTCAAAGTAAAAGTTTCCCAATATCGAAAAACGAAGGTTGTGCTATACTTATGCTCCTCAGTATAGTATGTACTATTTTTTTCTTTTTGGCTTAAGTATTTTATGAAACGAAATTTTTAAACACTTGTAACTTGTCAACTGTCAGTTATATGAAACAGGCCCCTGGTCATAGAGAATATTTCTCTATGCCCCTGGTATGATTTACGGTTAAACTCAAGCTAAATTTGTTGTGATAATAATTCAATAATTCATTCATAATGACAACACAAACATTTCACATGAACAAAACAGGTTTATTTTGTATCTACGAACTTCGAATATCACATTACATATATCGAATATTTTTTTAAAAAGAGGAAAAATGCTATTACGCACACCCCGGCCTGGATGTTGGGCGACGGGGTAGTGTGGGACTCAGTCGACAATACCCACTAAAAAACCTCTTTTATCTTCTTGTGTCTGTGTACAATCCTGGTAGTATCGGAATAGTTTTAGGAATGCAGAATGTGTTCGGAAAGCTACGTTGTACCGGACTTCTCTTAGGTCAGGTTGCTAATGTCATCGTGCTTCCCCAATTCTGAAAATTGTATGCAGTATAATCATTATATTCACGTTATATTCTATGCAATTTATTCTACTTACTTTTGTTTGTAATATTATTTTGTATCACATCTCTCATAGGGCACGTTGCTAATGAAATCTACAAATTGAATTAGTTCTACACAGGTTCCCACCCAAGTCCTACGACCCCAGAGTGGCTGTATTAGAACATATTCATTAATAAATTTCATTATTCGTGGCATTGTTGTTCAGAGTGTGTTCGTAGAGTAGTATGTTGTATCTCATATCTCATAGGGCAGGTTGCTAATAAAATCTCCATATTGAATTAGTTCTGCACAGGTCCCCACCCAAGTCCTACGACCCCAGAGTGGCTGTACTAGAACTATTCCAAATAGAATTCAATTTTGTCCAAATTGCTATTTTCATTTGCTGAAAATAAATTTGTAATGCATGCTCCATTTGACCGTTTATTCTCCTGATAATTTTTTATTGCCCCCTGGCCAATTTCCCAGCTCTGCAACAAAAAAAATATTTACAAAACAGCCTTAGCCATTTTTGAATTATTATTATTATTAGTAGTATTTTATATGACGTCTTACCTTTCCTAAATTGTTTTCCATTTGATGGAATATATTTGAAGGCATAGTCGGTACATCCATGCTGGCAAGCATTTCACTCATATGTGAATATGTATTTCCGGTAGATAGGGTTCCCCGTACTGCTCCTATGTTTATCAGGGATTTTTCTCGGTTAGGATTCTCAGTATGATAAGCATATTCGTTTGGACAACTGGAACATTGGTATATGATAATACTCGTCAATCCCTGTCGGCGTTCTTCTTTAATGGAAAGCATTCCAAGTGTACAGGTTTTGGAATGATTATATTGCAGACGTGTTGCCCATTGTAGTACATATCCTAGTTCGACTATTCTGTTTCCAGTTATAGGATTTTCTGGTGCAGGTACAGTTTCATATTCCAATTTATAATTGCTAATTCTGTAACAAAGTTATTTGCCATTAGCAACTTCAGTACAATATACAAAATGATATATGTATATGGGACACATTTATCTAAACACATCTACCAATGGTATCAAAATATTTTTATCAGGAAACAAACTTTTCCCCCAAATAAAAAACGAACATAAAAATTAGTTACCGTTCATATTCATCAGAAGAAATTATCCCTAGTTTTTTATGCCGAAACACCTCTTCTTCTGGTCCCCTTTCTTCAATATGTGTTTCGGCATTTCCTTTTTCTTCCAGTTGCTGTTGGTTGTTGTCCTCTTGAATTTCCTGAATCTGTTGTTGAACTTCTTGTATATTCTGTTGATCTTCTTGGATTTCCTGTTGTTCTTCTTGTATTTCCGGTTGATCTTCTTGGATTTTCTGTTGAACTTCTTTTTCTGCCTGGATTCTAAAAGCGATACACATAAATTAAGCTACATCGATCCATACATTTATTATTGTTGTATTATTGTATATATTTTATAAAAAAATAAAAAAAGTCACTGATATTAATCCCGTGAACGCAATGTAAATTTACACTTATATAGTGAAAAAAAATATAAAACTTACATTTCTTCAATTTTCAATTTTTTTTCATTCTTTGCCTTCCAATAGAGTCGCAAGGATTTCGAAACCTTGCTTCTTTTCCTTCCTTTGTGGTAGGTACGGGGCATCTTTCCTAAATTACCTAATTATAAAATCTACTAATACTAAAAATAACCTAATTAATTATTAAAATTGTGTCCTTTTTCACAGTGGAGGGAAAATAATTAAAGTAGGGTCGATACTAAATTACAACTAGACACTTATAAAATAATTACAATATTAAAATTGAAATATGTATATAATCACAATAAATTTGCTACCCTAAATATTAATAAATTTTAATAATAATGTGGTATCACAAATAGTACCACACAGATAGCACAATTCGATGATAGCACGTCGCACAGCTAATTGTACTGAATACTAAAAATTCTGAAATGAAAGTTCAAGCCCGAAATTTAATAAGACTACCTAGATGGGGTAGAAGAACCCAAGCGAAGGAGACCCCAATAAATTTTATTGGGGTAACAATAAAAACAATTGCCTTACTTATGAAAATGTTACAAGTTTTCGGAAAGGCATAAAATATATGAAAAAAAAATACAAATATACTTATACAGTGTGTCTACTTAAGGCTAGAGTTCAGTACTCACCAAATATTTTTTCGGGAATAGGCAACTTGTACAGCAAGACCTGTCACTTTATTTCGGCAAATTTTCAGGTAGTAAGCTCACAGCGGGGTATGTCGTAAAACTGAGATAAGCGGTTGGGTTGGTTCTTTTATTAGAATTTGAATTTTAGAATATCCGAATTTCGATATTGTAGGAAAATATATTTTCGAATATTTAGAAATGCCGATGACGACAAATTATTTTAAATTAAATAATTCGTATATGGTTTACATTTTTAAAATCATAAAGACGAGCCGATTCCAACGATAGGTCATACTTAATACTTATTATCGATAATAAAGGAGTTACGGCCACTCGCGGGGCAGCCTAAAGTCAAAAAACATAATTTCAAATGGCTGTAGATCCTTTAATATCGACGATAAATAGCAAGTGTAACACATCATTGAAATCAGCTCATAATGGAGACACTAAAAATGTAAAAATATATATGATATTTCATTTTAAATAAAGAAGTTAGTGTCTAATATTTTGCTTCAGTTTATCGGAATTCTGTACAACTGTTTGCAAATTTTCATGCACAGAATTGCATAAGTTGTTCAGTTGTTTTCGAATTAACTCGTACTGTGACAAGTTAAAAACGCTATTTCTTACGATATTAGTATTAGAGAAGTAAAAACATTGAAAAACGGTTTGGTAAAACTTTAAAAATTATTGTCTACCTACTACAATCATTAGTACAGGGTGGTCCTCTAAGAACGGCTCTCGGCCATATCTCGCAGACTAATTGTCGTAGAGACTTGCGGTAAAAAATCTTATAACTAAATCGGCCAAAAGAAAATGCTGGAAATAATTTTTAAGTCTCTAAAATGGCCGCTAGGGGGAGTATCCGTCATCTTGATTTTTAAGTCATTTTTTTCAAAATTTTCCTTAATAAAGGTATCAAAAATGTTTTTTATTTTGATAATAAAATTTATTTTATAAATTAAAAATTATTTCCAGAATTTTCTTTTGGCCGATTTAGTCATAAGATTTTTTACCGCAAGTCTCTACGACAATTAGTTTGCGAGATATGGCCGAGAGCCGTTCTTAGAGGACCACCCTGTACATTATTAGGTTCGATTGTTCTGCATATAAATAATCGGACAGGTCCGAGTTGTCACCCAAATTTCAAAATTTTATTTGTGCGAAAAAAGGTCATGTCCGAGTTGTCACCCGTCCATTGTTATCCGTTCGATGCAGATTATAAGGGTCTAATTGCTTAATAATCGTGGGTTTTTTGATTTTGGGTTAGAAATAGTTGGTGGATGTTTTGCATTGTAACTTTTTGAGATAAAACCAAATTGCAATAAGGTTACAAAATTTTGTGATTATTTAGTGGAAACGTACATTGACAGCAATTTAAAATTTCCTTCTCAAGTATGGGTCGAACATTCTTCGTCCTTAATACGAACCACAAATGCATGTGAATAATCATTTCATGCGACAAGTAATCAATCGTTTTATACGGCCCACCCTAATGTACATAAACTTTTAAATGTTCGTTTAAATTTTCAAATTTGGGTTTGCGTTTGTTCATTAAATAAATTCTACATACATGTAAGTAAAAGGAAATTTGAGTTTATTTAAATTTATCGCATATCGATCAACAATCGAAGGGAACCAATAAAAACAACGTTTTTCTTTTTACCCCTACCGTTTTGATCGATATAGATTCACTCAGTTCCGAATTTTGACTTCATTGTCTTCGTGTTGTCTATATCCGAATATTCAATTTGTGTGTTATTTTTAAATTTCCACGTGTGTCCTTTGTATCAAAATTGTGATATTGTATTGATAACTTGGTTAAAAATGGTTTATTTAGTTGCGATGTATCTAATGTCGACATATTCAATGAAAGGGGTTTGGAGTAAAGAGTACAATTACTTGTTAATATAACATATGTGGTGTTACAAAATCATTTAATAGTACCAACAGTCAAAAAGAGCTTGACATAAATAATTTTTTAAAAATAACTAAGTACTTCCTGTACTTAATCAAATTTAGTCAAATCAAATTTAGTAACCGGACAATATTTTAAAAAAATTCTTGAGGTAAAATAAAAGTAGAATAAAAAATCAAGTATGTAGCAACACTAAATTAAATATTTGCAATTTTAAAATTTAACATCTTAACTGTAGGTAATCGGATTATCGGATTTGGATCGTAAAATTGAAGACGAAACCAACCCCTCATAAATCATTCTCGGACTGTATAACTAGTTGCCTAAAACTGATAATTTAGTGTTCTGAAACGTTGAATTTTTAAACACATTCATCCTAATTATTAACAAATGACAAGGAAAATCAAAAAAAGGGCTTCGTCGCGCGTTCGAAAAGAGTCAGCTCTTTCCATTGGTACAAAAATTGCATACAAAAAGTTAAAAATGTAGCCTGAAAATGGATTATACGATTTCAACATTTTCATTAATTAAGCGAAAACAAAAGCATTTTTCAAAAAAAGGGCTTCGTCGCGCATTACAACTAAATGGGTAGATCATATGTAGAGTGCGACCCACCTTTCAAATTTCAAAATACGCCCTGAAAACGACTCGGCGAATCGGGCATTTTACGCCTATTTTCAGAGTACTGAACTCTAGCCTTAAGTTCGCACCATATGGAACACTTTTTTTATTATTAATTTTACGAAAAAAAGTTATTCTTAATAAAAAGTTCTGCATGTTTTAAAACCTAAAATACAACCATCAGATAACAATTTTTTTAATCCGTATACGAGGTTATGATCCACCCTGTAAGCAGCATGATTAAAAAATTGACGAAAAATATTGATGTATATTTTCAGGATATTTGCAATGTTGTGAAACCTACAATTTATTTCCATTTGACCTCCCACGAAAAAACGGGACACTCTGTATAAATTGAACTAATTTTAAAATATGCAAATTTCTAAGGAAGTTTTTTTGTTATCTTCTAATTATCTTCTAAAATAACTGATATATTGAGCTTTTCCTTACTAATGTGCCACCCTGTATACTCATTGCACTATTATCTATCAACTATCAATACTTTAAAAATGAAGTAAAAAAAGGTCTCTATATAATCCCAACGAACATCTGTAAATTTGTCAGGCTGACCCGGGCAAAGCCATCCATGTGTAACCATGTGTTTCCAGTAATTCTAGGTATTCCGCTATTCTTTAGAATTTGGGTATTTTGAAATTTTTAAATTGTTCGAAAAGCTGTAATAAATAATTGAGTGAAAGAATTGTAAAAAAAACATATTATTTGTAGATAGCAAGTAAAAAAACCGAAACGAGCGAAATGTATAAACATGTAATAAAAAATCTATAAACATTTTTCTCCTGTAGGCAACGGAAAATGTATTGCTTACTTATTTATTTTATGTATTTATTTTTTTTTTATTATTTTCTAATTATTTAATTATTTCTTTTATTTCCTTTCAAAATTTGAAAATTTTTGGTACAATGATAGGTGAGAGGATATAATAACCGTATGTTTTTTTAAACAAGCATAAATTTTGAGCATATTTTTTTGCACTAAAAATTAATCTCTCCGCTGTGTCTGTACCAAATCCATGGCTGTTTCAAAAATTTTCCCCTTTTAGATAGAATAGCTATTGCGCATCCCTGTATTTACACTCTAAGGTGGGTACAGACTAGTGAAACGTAACATGAAATGTACCATAACTGTCATGGCGTCGTATTTGGATTTTTGATTATTGGATTGGTTTGTGTTTAGTATTTGCGGTTTATACATAACACTGCGGTAAACAACAAGCATCTTAAAATAGTTTTGAAGCATGAATATTTAAATTTGGCGCTAACTATATACGTCAAAATTGTCAAAGGCTCCAAGACAAAGACACACCGCTAGAAACTAGCGAGTGTCAAACAAGGACGGGTCATAAAAGTACGTCGTGAATATGTTGGCAACAAAGTTTACCGCTGTCGACTTATCCACGTTAGTATACAGATTGTACGAACTGATCCACTGCAAATATACAATGAGAATTATGAGATAGCTAATTGAACTTTTTCTATGTAAGGAATAAAGAGAGCGTACGAAATAATCACGCCCCCGCTATCCCCGCTATTTGCTAGTGGACGAAGCGAAGCGAATTGAATTCTAATATCGCCCGGCAACCGATAAACAAGTTTCTGTTCTTTACTATCTTATAGTATTGATTGAGATTATAATTCTAATGCTTGTAGCGGATCAGTTCGTATGACCTGTATATGATCTAAGGGGAAAGGGGAGTGAGCAGTATATACCGTATGTCCGAATTATTCCTTACATAGAAAAAGTTCAATTAGCTATCTCATAATTCTCATTGTATGCTTGCAGCGGATCAGTTCGTACGACCGTATATTTATGTGTATATGGGCTGGGTCCTATGGTTTATTTTGTCTATGGTGGCTGCACTCGCACCATAGACAAAATAAAAGAAATCTTTTTTTCTCTATGACTCGCACTGTCTTCGTTATTCTTTCTGTGAAATGCTCTGATCAATCAATCGAACGCACCGAATATGTCCTTTTACTTTACAGGTAATTAGTAACTATATAATTTTTATAAATGCTTATTGTTTAGCCTGATTGAAAAAGTATTTTGATTTTAAGAATAAAAATTTACTAAATAAAGCATTTTTATCAATTGACAATGAGTACATTTCGATTTTACGTTAAATTAAAATTTTTAAAATGTACAAACGAACAACGAAAACTTCGATCAGAAATTCAGGGTCGCTGGTGTAGGTCTGACAGTTGACTTGACAGACTAACATTGTCAAAAATTCTTTTGTAGAAGTGGATCGATTTCTTATCTTATGGTGTTTATATTTTGATAAATAGTTCAAAATCTACCTAGTTTTAGAAAAGAGTTATGTTAATTTAGTTACATATATAGTTAAGAATACATTGCAATATTAAAAAGTAAGTATTATTCCTATATACGAAAGAAATCAATGAAAAACTTTCGCTACAAATGCTTCTAGTATTCGCCATATTTATTTCTTATGAAAGCTAAGCATCTGTCATTTATTTTATTTTAACATTTTACAGTGTATGATAGATAAATAAATGGTTTCAAATATATTGAAAACTATTTTATATTGTTAATTGTAATGTTACTTTTTCTTCTCATATAGTATTTCTGCTTTTTATTTACTTATTGTTTATGTATTGTTTAATTGTATCATTATTTACTTTATGCAGCTAATTTCAAAAGTAAAAAGAATAAATACAGGGTGTAACAAAAAGGTGGCGTATAAATTATACCACGCATTCTGGTGTCAAAGTTAATCGATTGGATCATATTTTTCTATATACAAAATGCCATACAAAACAAGTTATATGTATAATATATAAAGTGCAAACTGAAATTCGATTTTTTACAATAACTCCAAAAATATTAAATGAAAATGAATCTTCATGGAATTTCCACCTTATTTTATCTTTGAGATTTATGTTATTTTTTCATCTCCAATAGATTAATAAATTCATTTAGCACGTTTTTTAACTCTTAATTTTTTTTCAAAGAATTTCAACCACAATAACTACAGTACAAGATAATAATGCTCAAATTGGATATTCGATATAACCATCGTTTTCTTGCAAACATATTCTGTACAATGTACATAACAATAAAAACGAGTATTTTGGAGCATTAAGGGTTTGTTTGAGAACGTCCGTACCTCTACCGTTATTATTTTTTCAAAACGTGGAATGTGGTTATTTGTGTTTTAATTCCAAACTCATTTTTCGTTTCTGTTATTGAATCGATACTATTTTATTTTGTTGTTTTGTAATTAAAATTATAAAATTTTGTTTTTCCAGGCCTACTTAACATTTTATTACTTAAAATTTATTACATGTACCTACTTGTTTGAATTCAATTAGTTCTTATCAAAAACTCGCATTTACTCGAAAATAAGAATTTTTTTGAAAAAAAAAATAAAAAGATAAAAAATGTGCTAAATGAATTCATTAACCTAGTTGAGTTAAACAAATAACACACATCTGAACGACAGAAGAAATAGGGGAGATTAAATGTACGTGACCCCCATAATAATGTTTGGAGGCATCCGTGTCTGTTTTGATTGCATGCTCCTTTTATAAAAATAATACAAGCCAAATTTCATAAAGATTGATTGAATATTTTTGGAGTTATTGAAAAAAATCGATATTCAGTTTGCCCCTTAAAAAGGCTATAACTTATATTGTATGGCATTTTGGATATAGGTAAATATAGCTCAATCGACTAAATTTTGACCCCAGAATATGTGGTATAATTTATGACCCACCTTTTTGATACATCCTGTATAGGCTATTTAATTATGCACCTTAACTATTCCAGAATATTTAATTGAATTTGTAGATTAGTAAAAATGGCTGTTCCACCACCTATTAATATAAAAACTGAAGAGTTCATTGATTTAGGTAAGTGTTGCGAATATGAGTTGTTGAAATATTCTCATGATATTCGTTTACAGATAATTATAAGTGTAACGACGAAAAGATTCAAAGTTGGCTAAAAAGTGTATTTGATAAAATAAAAGTTTCATTTGGCTTTGAATGCCAAACCAGTTTGGAAAGTTTAATGAAATGGTACATTGAGTAAGTAAATATTACAAGTAAAATTCGTTAATTTTTAAATTCTCATCTTTTTTAGCTCCTTAACACAGATGTTATAAATATAGACATAACTCGGAATTTCTCTATGAAATTAGAGAAACACCTGTTTCTATTCCATAGAAACTTTAAGAGGTTCAATTGCATCTCCAATGACACTTATCTGGAGTATATGGAAGATATTTTGGCATTCTATTTGGATTGCGAAGTAAAGAGATTTGTTAATGAGAAGAAAAGACAGAAAAAAAACAAACAGTTTATGCGCTCAAGAATTTTGAATTTATTAAATGTATATTTATTGAATCATAAATCCAGATATCATCATGTCCTAATGAAAATGCGCGCGGATGTTTCGTCTGATGAAGCAAAGAGTTGCCTCGACAATATATATAGGTAATATGTGTTTATTGTTATTTAATATGTTATAATATGAAGTAGTAGGTTTAATTAAAAATTGAGTCGATCAATAATTTTTGTTCTAGGGTGATTTTTTCTCGAAAACCGCACAGCAAATCTGATCAAGCATTTTGCACTGCATTTATATTATACCAGAGATGGAAAAAAACATTACCACCAGATTGTTGGCCAACTCTTGAGGACTTAATAAGTGAATTATATGGCAGACGTCCCAGTACCATAGAAACAAATTCCGTTTGGAAAGAAATAGCATCGTCTAATGAGTCATTCATCGAAACTATTGCTCAGTTCGGTAATAATGACAAAGCTGTGTGTGATGCTTATTTCAAATATGTAAAATCTAAAAGTATGGACGAGAGTGTTGAAATGGTAAATAAAGATGCAAATCCTTCAGAAGAGCCAAGTACTTCAGGATTGGTAAGGAATTATAAACTTTTATGTTTTTTTTATAATTGATTCTATTGTATTTACAATTTTCAAGGGAACAAACCAAGTCGATGGTGAAAGCGAAGTGGAAAATATTTTGAAAAATTGCCAGCGCAATGAGGCTGTAGAAGTGAAAACTGAGAATACCAAGAATAAAAATAATGTTAATAATGCTAATGACGATGATGATGATGACGATTGTATTATTGTGTCCGATGATCCCATGTATGTTAATCCTGAGGATTTAGTATTTGAGATTTTAGATGACGATGATGAAGAAGATAATTCGACAGACAAAAAGGTATACTCATATTTTATTTTGCTCTTTACTTTAATATAATTACAGAGGATATCCCACTTTATTAAAATTCTTTTCATCACTGAAGCATTACTAAACAATATGATATATTTGTATCTAACTTTGAAATATACTACACAAAACAACTTACATTTTTCATAAATAATTTTTTTCGCATTTGTTGCATTAATGGTTATATCCAGCTTTACACACTCATTCTTCCAATTTTGTATTATACGATTTTTTCCTTGAAATTTTAATATAGATCTACCACATAGTACTCCTAAAAATATTCATTAAATGTATTTCTTTGAAACTAATATTTGTGTCGATTTAATTTTCAGGATTGTCCAAGTTCCAGTAAGAAGTCCAATCGTGAAATATCATTTTTGGAGTCCATCGACATGACGGCTAAAGCTTCAACAGCACCAATAGATAATCCAACAATAGAACCTGTTTCATCTCCTTTGGTGAAACCCGAGAGTTCAGTTCAGGATGGTACTGACGAATCGAGAGATATTCTCTCCCGAAAAGTCACAAGGAAAAAAGATGCCGAACAGGAACCCAACATCACAAATGAAGCAAACAACATCACAGAAGAAGCTAACATTGTCTCTGAAAAAACTAACGATACATCTGAAGAAAATAACAGTATCCCAGAGGAACCCAACAATATCACCGATTTATCTCAAGTTTCCCAATCTCACAATACACAGAAACTAGATAAAAACGATAATTTAACTTTGCATTCGCCTCATTCCACTTTTATTAATTCTCCTGAATTGGTACCGACAAGCGAATCGTACACTTCGCCTACGTCACCGGATATTTCTAGTACAATTTTCGAAGATAATCCTAAGGAAGATTCAATGAAAGAAACCCAAAATGACATAGAAACGGAAAACGTAAGCAATGAAGCAGAATGTAATGAATATAATGAAGCTAATATACTGGAACAAGCAACCAGTATTCATATCGTCGACACTGGTATGGATGATATCGAGTCCACAGAACCGACTATTCAGTATGAACTTTCGGATACTACACCAGCAATTTCCTCCACCATTCTTTATACTCAAAAAGTTGACAACTTATGGTACGTTTGTGTAATTTTGACAATAATACAATGGACCTTTACGTAACTGTTATGAAATTGAGTAGTTTGATTAAAAGGAGTATTTGCTTGTCTTCAAGTAAGAACTTTTACTTCCTAGTATTTTGTGGAGAATAATCTTGTATATGAAGTAAAATAAACTATACTTGGCGCGTTTGGAAGACGGAGTAATAAAAATGTCAGGCGGTTCCAAAATATCCCTACCCCAGTAGGGCAAAATCCTGTACAATGATCGATTCGATCGATCGAAATTTCGCACATGGCCTACAATTACTCGAAACCATTCACAGAGTATCAACTTTTAGGCCCGCCAATGGGGAGTGAGTGATATCGGCGACTCGTTTACACCCCGGGTGGACTTCAGCTGATTAATGTGTTTATTACTCCGTCTTCCAAACGCGTCAAGTATAGTAGAAAATACTAAGACGCTTCCTGGCCAAGATGCATCCCCATGCGTGAATATTCCTTTAGAACTGCATGTAGCTTACACATTAATAATACAAAATCCTTTTGTGGTTGAAATATTCTTCCCCATGTAGTTTTGGTTTTATTATTCTAATATCTTTATCTAACATCTTTAGCTAATTCAATTTCTTGTGCATTTTGAGGAAAAGAAATCCATCAATTTTTTTTCGACACAATTTTGTATAACTTCTTTAATTGCCTTTGACACGGTTGTTTGATGTATCCCGATATCTATACCAACTCTCAATATGAGTTCTCAAAAATTCATCGAATTGGCTACCCATTTAACATTGTTTGGATTAAAGCTAAAAGCATAGTGCTTTATAGTAGAAAGTTGCCTAAAATAATTGACTTACCGAATTAATTTCCTATATTGTGCTTTTCCATACGTTCTACGTTCACACATTTCCCTACTTTTCCTACCATAATTTACAAAAAGTGCCATTTTTAACACCTTTTTAGGTGAAGTACTTGATAAGAAGTTACTTCGATAAGAAGTTACTCTCTGATCAGCTTTTTAAAAACTAGACCAAACACTCCCAAATTGAGGAAATGCTAGACAACATTTCTGTAGTATTTCTGTAGATGTATATCGAAGTAAATAAAGCAAAGTATGAAGTAATTACTCCTAGTACTTAAGTCTAACTTTAAGAATTATGTGGAGTAAATGCTATAATTTTTTTAAGTAAAAACTACGAAATTAAGCATTTACTTGAAGTACAACAAAGCAAATACTCCTTTTAAACATACCACTCGTTATGTCGGTGCAATCCACTTGATTTATTTTCGCAAATTTTTAAATGTTTGAATATTTGTTGCAGTTGGGGCGGTAACTTGAATGATGTCATCGAAGATGTTGCTACGTCGACACCGGCGCGGGAACAAAAACGAGCCGGGTCATCGTCGTCGTCGCATTTAAGCTCTACATCGAGCCCTTCGGATTTCGTATCGCCGACATTCGAAACTGGTATGGACGATTTCAAAAGTTACATGTCTAATTTCCGAACTGCAGACGACAAGAAGGCAATCGACCAGGGTCGAAAAGAGGGCGGTAAAAAACGAAAAAGGGTAGCTTTTTCCAACACTAACACCGTTCGCGTGGTGGACACATTCGCTTCCGTGAGCCCTCAATACAAGTCCGACCCCCAAGCGATTCCGTTGAACCAAGTCCTGAACGATCCGCAGCTTAAAAGAAAACCGGTGGTTATCGTAGAAAGGCTAAGCACAATGGAAATAGATGGATGGAATAACCTTTCGGAAAGAACAAGAAAGAAGCAACGTTTCGAAAATACCGGTTGTTTGAAACGTTTGAAGCAGCCAGAGATGAATATTTATCATGTTATTTACGATAAATCGACGGCCGTTCTCAATGACAACGACAAGCTATATTGCAAAGTGGCCGACGACTGTAACTGGAGAGAGACGCAAGAACCTAAACTTAAAAAAGAAGGTAACATAAAACTACTTTTAGACGATTCCAGTTCTGATATTTGTACGAATTTATGTTGCGGATATATTTCAAAGTACCTCGAAAACCTCACTATTTCCAAAAACCTTGGTAACCGTATTATATCTCCTGTATCCTTCAATCCCTTCTATTCAGACATATTACATCCATCAAGAATAATCGCCGCCAATTTTACCGGTTTTATTAATCAACCGGCTGCTATACCGAACGTAGAAGAATTTGAAAAAACATTAATATTGGAAGAAGTAACGAAAGTATCTCCTATACCATCCGATTTGAGTAACATTAATATTAGTAAATTTTCACCTAGTCCTATTTTGAATTGTTACAGTCCTCATTTTACAGATTATTACCCTAACGATCAGTTACATTCAAATTATAGTAGTAGTAGTAGTAGTATTAACGATTCTAAGGAAGCGGGCGTTCAAGAGCCGAAGATAACTACATACGAAGAACACAATGAAATAGAAGATAAGAAGAATCAGTCGGAGGATGGGCCGCAAACGAGGCTTCCTCTGAAGAAACGCAAACATTCCGTGTCGAATATCGCCGACGAATTCGAAGACGACGACGATTTCATTGGTCCGGAACTGATCGCGAGCCGAAGAAAACGAAACAGAGGAGGTCATCAGTTATCCGGCCAAACCGGCCATCAGCATCGCCGAAATACAGGAGCAACTGGTTGAGCCTCAATCGCGATCTTTCAAAACGCCGGCTCAGAAAAAGGAGATGCCACCGGTGGCGCCCGTTCCGTCTATACCGCATTTAACGGACCAGCCTAGCATCATAACAAAGCAGTACAACAGTCACACTTATAATAATCCTACTATAAATTATCACATGAACAACGTTCCCTATCCGTTTTTCCCTTGTGCCAATTTGACCTATTTTCCTCCGATACTTTTGCCCGTAAATGGTGCGACTGCGTTCGACGTGAACATGATGAATGCCGGTCAACATCATCTTCATCATCAAGATGCGAACGTTCCTCAGGAAATGCCTCAAGATCTCAACGGAAGATGCAAGAAAGAAAAACGAAGCGGTAGAAGAAGAAGAAAGGAATGAGAATATTTACATTAAATAATCATTTAAAAAAAAGAAACGAGCTTGTATGAAGTGATTTTTTTTCGAAGCCTATAACGCAACTAATTGTAAAATCTCGCTTCATATGAACGGTTCGTTTTTATTTAATTTATTATTTTAAACATTCAGTATTTGTATATCTAGTAATTTTCTAATTTGTGGCTGTGAATTTCACTATTTAATTTTTAAATATCCTATTTAACTTCATTTGTTTTATATATCAAATGACGAGCTTATTAGATGTCGTAACATGAAGATAATTCGACGAAGAAAGAAGAAAATCGATGATGAGAAGAAAATGATGAAGAACAGAAGAAAAACTTAATTAATTAAAATTTATTTTTAAATGTAATAATAGCATTTATCTTTGACAGAACTAAATATTTAAATTAATATTTATAACTACGCGTTCTAATATATGGGAATTAATGGCTAATACATGTATTTTTCTGTTTGAAGGTCGAAATATGAACAATGGACAAATCGTGGGAAAACGGAAGTATCAAAGTAAGTTTATTTATACCTATAACAAAAGTGTCTATTGTTGTACAATTTTCTTTTATAACTTGAATATGTACGTTATAAAAGAATACTACCTAATTAACATTTTTTGCTTTGCAGGGATGATTTTTTTAAACTTTTCACTTTTTTAAACTTCGCAAGTCTAGGTGGTGAAACTTTGGTTTTAATGACGGTTTTCCATTAAGCGGACAAAACAGAAACAAAACCTAAACTCATGTCGAAGAAAACAAAACTGAAATATTTCGCAAACTTTTTGAAGACTGTTGAGTTCTTCGACAGTTGGAGTTTTGTTTTTTGGGTCCCGTTCGAAAGCGGTAACATCAAAAGGTTTCGGCACTTTCAGCATGTTTTAAAACTCCAGTCTACTTAGTGGAACCACAGTCTTGTTGTATACAACCAGTGGAACAGACCAAAGCAACAACAAAGCATAGTCGGCTTTGTGGAAACAAGAGTTTTAGGTTTGTTTCAGTTTTATTTTTAAAAGTCTCCAGGTTCCAGAAAACTAAAATAAAGCCCAAACTCTGCTGTCTGTTTAATGGAAAACCGTCATAAGATACTTATTGTCGATATATTTTTTATACAGGTTGTTAAAATAGTGTCTCAAAATAAAAATGGGGCTGGTAGTATGGCCCAAAATATGCAGAAAAGTTGTAATTCACATGTTTCTGCAAATGTACTGTAAGAATATATAAAACTAAGACTTGTGAATGTAAAGCAACAATATTAATTTATTTAACAAAATACTATAAGTCTCGACCTATTCTTACGGGTGAATCTAACAGAGTGCCGTATTTCTGGCTCCGATCGACTTGTTTCCACAATGCTTATCTTAATATTTTGCCGAACCAACCCTTTTTACAAACTAATGGTTTTGTTAGAACAACTCGATCGTTTTACATTTTGGTTTCACTTAATTCACTAGTTTGAATTTATGACCTGGTAACGGATATTTCTTTAAGTATTTCTCATACTATTTCTAACCCTCTTTATAATAACTTACTAGTTATTACTTATTCCTCAATACATAATCTTATTAGTCGATAATCACAATCTTGTGCTTGGCATTAATTATACTTATGCCTATACAATACTGTATACTCAATTATGTCTAACAGTACCATTTGGGCAGTACCCACAGCAACAGAAAGGGTGACCGAGGAACAATACCAATATCATGAACTGTACTATTTAGTTTTTAGAAAGGACACTTTTTGGTCCTAATTGCACCAACAACCCTTACAATTTAAATAGGAAAGTACCAAGTGTGATTCATTTTTGAAAAGTATTCTTGAATTTTATGAAGAATTCACCAATACCAATATCATGTTGTCAAATTTCGATTTTTGCGCCTTTTTGGAGGATACATAATCGTTACGTAATTCAATGTGCAACACCTCATTAGGAAGCTATATTGATTAGTACGTCATTGCATTAAATAATATTACTCGGGTGTCGCATTTGTTATGTAAAATCAACAAATTCAAAACATCACACCCTTATGTATTATTAGATTTAACAGATAAATGTGATTAGAGGATGATCTTATTTTTATTGCATTTATTTCTGTTAAAAAAGGCTTTCAAATGAGGTGTCGCACCTTAAATTAGGTGACGATTTCTCCATAATATCCTTTTCAAAAATGTACTACACTTGGTACTTTCCCTATTTTTAATTTTATGGGTATATTGGGGAATTTTATGGGGATTATTGTATTCCCCGTACTGCGTGACGGTTGAAATGTCGATGCTGTAATTAGGAAAAAAAGTGTCCCCCTAAAAACTAAAATCGACTTGTCTGAGCTGAGCGTGTATTTTAAATGTCTACACAGCGTATGCATTGGCCTTTTTTCCATTTAAAATGACCACCCTTTCTATTGCTCTACAGCCCAAACAGCTCGTTTGCAGATACATATTTATTAAGACTTTCGTACATATTATGGGCCGTATTAGCCCCCTTTCATTGTGTGAAAATTTTTTAAACCCCCTGTACTTACGTTATTCAACTGTTTAATTTTGTTTTAGGAAAAACAACTTCTCAAAAGACGCCGGAAGTCAGGAAAAGAGGTACACCTACTGGGAATATTTATTTTTTATTATTTTATCTGTAAAGCAGTAATAGAGAATTTTTGTCCTCTGCATTTTTAACTGCTGGAATAATTTTTTAAGTTTTTTAACGTTCGTATTTTTTTTTGTAGGTCGGCCTAGAAAGAATACCTGATCATCCTTCTGTGTGTTTTTAAAATGTCCCCTTCAATGTACGTGTAATGTTTCGATGATGTCTACTTCTCGAAATAAATATATTTAATTATATGTCGACGTTGCATTGAGATATTTAATGTTAGAATATAATGCATGTGTAATTGTTATGGTTTTAAATTTTGTTTGCACCCGAGGTAGTAACTTCTTCAACTGCAAAGGTGTTTTTATCTGTGATTTATAAATAAGTTATAAAAAAGAATGTTTATTATTATATTGTGTAGAAATTCTGTATATTATATTTTCTTTCCGATTTAAATAGGGAGAAAATTGAATTAATTTTGTTCGTTTTTAGTATGTAAAACATAGTTGGTAAAGTTTCAGGTCATACATATTTGCGATTTTGTTTTGGAACAATGCCTGTTATTTATTTATTTTGTACATAAATAATAAAGTATCTAATTGTGCGAAATATATTATTTTAATGAAACATTCCCTTCCCTTTTTTCAACAATTATTACTTTCTATTTTACAAAATATTGGATTGTTATTAAGTTTTCTTTTATACAAAAGTACCAATTTCAGGTAAAACAGTCGGTTATAATACTTACATAGTTGTTTGTCAACAACTGCTTATTCTGGTGAAAAAAAACCATTTTAAACAATGCATGCATGTATGGATACCGTTAATTTGGAAGGATTAGCGCCGACATAAACATCAAAAATGCATCGGTAATTACCTGTGCTCAACATATTGCACCGGATGCGTTCTAATAACATGCCGGAAAGGTCGTTTCGAGAAAATTGGTTTTTATTAAACGTAATGATGCGTTATAAGGGCTCGCGTCTAGTTTCAGGATTTATTGTATCTCTACTTGCTAATAGAAACAATGTTTTCCGTTTATTCGTTCGTGCTTGTCCTGATGAGTATTGGCGCTAGCCAGGTAGGTACCAACAAACCGATTTTGTTAATCCAAGTATCTGATTTGGCTGCACACGATACTGTAGGTCAAAGCTGGATGCGAAAGACCGCTTGAAGTGAGAGGAGTAGAAGACTACTGTTGGTCGACGAGGGTGGAAATGAGCGAAAGAATACACGAAGTCGAGAAGAAGGTGGTAAATTTCGCAAGGAAGAAGCTAGGTATGGACGTTGACGAACCAGGTGAGCCACAGAAGGTGCTTTCACTCCTCTACCCGAGCCTGAAACCATATGCTAAGTTTTTTATTTCTAGTGCGATTACTATTACTGCGTGTTTCAAGAACTAAAATTGGTAAGCATTCATGACTGCGTATTGTATTTGTATATTTGCGTTGTAACGTATTTTGTTAGTTAAATCCACAATACGATGTTCCCTGTGTGGACAGAACGTCTACGTGGGTGAAGAAAAACGTCGTTTACAATCAGGCCGTCGTTTTATTGGATAGAATTCAAATGTGTACGGGCGAATTAGCAAATGCTACAGGTGATTTACATACAAGTTTTTACCTCCTCGGCGGCGCAGATTTTGAGAACTTTAATACAAACAACATACACTGGCAGAATCGACAAATAAATCATTTGTCGTCTTTTTTTTCCTCAAAAATCACCGCCACCACTCGGTATAGGTTACTCTTGCTTACTAGATTACTTGTTTTTGATTAGGTTCGAGCTTTTATTTCTATGCCGACAACGTAGACAAACAGCAAAACGGTGAGTACTAGTAGTAAAGGGACCCATGGGACTTTGAGATCAGTACCGATACCTGTCGCAAGTAGCAGTATCTCGATACAAATCTCATAATACACTTATAAGGGCCCCATTCACGTTGAGATCGGTATCGATATGTGTATCACGATGAACGGCGATACATATGTATCTGTATCATAACCGATCCTACATCCTACATTCATGAAACATTAGTCTACACTTTTTAAGGATTCTACAGGGTGACTCAGAGTAGAATTCGGTTTTCAAACGTGCCCTATGCAAACATTTGAAAAGTTTATGGGGGATAGCGAATAATCACAATATTCGGCGTATACGTAATGCTCCCTGTGACGACTAAGAATACGTCAAATTGCCACTACATACGAATCGTTCGCTTTAGAAACCGCCTCGACCGAAAATCCGCATGTATTCACCACAAATTGCTAGCCCTACCCTCTCAAAAACTTTTCAAACGGTTGCACAAGGCACGTTCTAAACCCCAATTTTACTCTGAATCATTCTGTATAACTTTTTTGAGTTCTCGTTGAAAGGCGCAACGGAAGCTATATATTTTCTTCATGATAAAATTGCTATCACTATTAGGATACCTTCCTTTGCATTAATGTATTAAAAACTGTCATTCAGGATTCCCTTAGTTGTCTACTTGCATATTCTTTGCATAACTTTGAATTCCATAAGCATGGATATAATTTATACAAATTGAGAAATTCTTGTCAAAACGTATGATCTGCTATGGTCAATATTAAAACTTCTATATTTTAACTACAGTCGTAAGGGACCGTGATTTTAAGAAGCTGGCTGTAGAAAAATCAAAATACACATTCGACAAGTCTCAGTCGCATGTGGAGGTATCGAAGTTACAGTACGGTGATACAATCTAATATCGATTACTGAGACAAATACACTATTAGATTTGTACCGAGATAGAGAATGAAGAGACCTTTCAAACGATATATCAAAAGCCCGTACTTCCCATTTAAAAAAAAATCGGAATAGTAACTGTCTTTCGAAGGGGGTTGAAGGTAGCGATCACATTTTCACTCTGAAGAATGTCAACTTATGATAAAAATTTGACGAGTTTCGGGATTTTCTATAAATATATACAATAAGCGAAATAATTTATTCCATTTGGCGTTTCCACCCTACATGTATCGCCGTTCACCGTGATACACATATCGATATGATCTCAAAGTTAATGGGACCTTCGAGAGATTTTTGATCCGACGGGAAACTTGCAGAAAAAAAATTGGAAAATCCGGGCGAACCGCAAAGTAAATGTGACGTATCCAAAGAGTACATGAAGTGTCTGGCCACAGCTGAAGCGGATCTTGAAGTATGTAATTATTTTTTTAACCTCTACATAATCCATAATTAACATGGATTATTATCATTATGATCATTTCTCAATTATTGATCTCTTTTTTTCAGTGTCCCATATTTTTGTACCCCTAAGGAAGCGACATCCTTATAAATCCTTAGTCGTTTTAGACAACAAATAAATACAATGTATGACTATTAAGTTATTTCGTAACTTCTCCTTTACTCCAACCTTACCTAACTCATTCAGCGTCATAAAATTCGAAAATTAACTTAGAAACCAAAATATATTTATAGAAGTAAGTTGATACAAATGTTTGGAAAGGAAACCTGCGTCACAACAGATGCTTTTATTGTATAACACATATTTAAAACCATTTTTTGGATCCTTTGATTGTAGATAGGTGCTACACAAACTTGGGCCTGTCCACGGTTTACTAAAAAAGAAAAATATCATATATCAGTAAAATGTAATAAAAACCGAAACAATAAAATGAACACTAGTATGCAATGAATGCTTGTGTAAAATTGTTAATTGTGAGTATCAACAAACTAAACCACATTAATGTAGGTATTAGGGAAATGTTATTTTTATCTCACCAAGACTCACACACTTATTTGTCGAGGCAACCAGCTAACACATTCAATTATTGTGTTAATTCGTTTTTATTAGAAAAACATTAGGTAATGTTTATCGAAAAAACGAGTAAACGAGTGATAAAATCTTCTAGTAGTTCAAAATTGAAAAAATATTTCGATAAACTTTTAAACCTCCAAATCATATCATTAATACATAATAAAATTACTAATCAATTATTTGGAATTTCTTAAAAAGTATATTATATTTTGGACAGGCAAAAAAACAAACTCAAAAGCAATTCAAACTCATCAAACCTTTACACTTATTACCATTTTTTTTATTTCTTGCCACCCTGTAAGTTCATAAAGAATATCAGTTTAACGTAAACGTAATTATACAGGATTTTGACTTTTTTTTTAATCAAAAAACGTTTAAACGTCTTCGATCCGATTATATTGATAGATATGCGAGTTGCTTAATTTACCTTTTTGGCAGTAGCACCAACTTTACTCTTCTTAGTTCCTCGGACCTTCTTCATCCTGTTCTTCCTTTCTTTGCGTTGCTTGCGGGTCTGTTGTTTCTTTTCATACAGACCGTGCCTGGCCAGCCTGTGTTTAGGTTCGAATTTTTTCGCAAAATCTAATGTATCGTAGATGAGTGCGAATCCGGTGGATTTCCCGCCACCGAAGTTTGTCCTGAATCCGAAAACGAAAACAACGTCCGGCAATACCTAAAAAAATAACCGTTTTAATACTGAATTATGTATAAATTTAGTGAAATACACATACTTTGTACATCTTCGCTAATTTCTCCCTGATTTCGGTTTTTTTCACCGAAGGCTGACCAGGGTGTAAAACATCTACGACCATTTGTTTGCGAGCCAACAGCCTGTTGGTCATGAACTTTCTAGTTCGGATTGTAGCAGTACCTTCCGTCTAAAAAATAGGATACGCATTTTTAAGGTTATAAATGATATTTTCATCCTAATAAATAAATCGCCGATTATTTCACAAAGCACCATTAATACGATTCAACATTCCAATTGTACGAAGTACATAAATCTTAACAATTCACTTAAATAATCGTTCTTTTGCTTCAATTCAACATTGAAAACAGTTCACTAATAACACCAACAAAATTAAACAAAACCGTTGTTATTCACAAAAATAAAAATATCAAACTATTAGACAAACGTAAATATAACTGAAAAACTGTAAAACTTTGTGAAATAATTAGAGATGATTTATATAAACTTAAAATAATTCGAACATACCATTTTGGTTAGGGTATAACTGCGAGAAAAGAAAGACCGATTTCAAATGCAGCTAACTTCAGATTGTTATAAAGGAATTTTTGTTGTCAAAAAATTGTAAAAAGAAGAATTTTTTTCTGTAAAAAAAGAAGAAATTTTTACTAAGAATAATTAAATTAGTTTGATTTACGTGCAATTAGTATAAAAATCAGATTTTAATTTTTTTAATTGCATTTTGCTTAAACTAAAACAAAATAAGCTTTAAATACGACTTGGTGGCTGAATAATATATTAGTTATAGGCGTATAAAGAAGTTATCATGAAAAAGTCACTATTGTCATAAGTCATTAGTGGCTATTTTTATTTATTTTTGACGTCAATTTTGAATGTTGGAATAATTTCCACATTATTTTTACTGTAATTTCAAAATATTGCCAGAAAAACACCTTATTTTCGGGTTAAAAAAGTTCTTAGTTATTATGTTAATAAATTAAATTAGCCAAATGTCTGCAGATCCAAAGGTAAACACCAAGCAGATTCAAAAAAATTCTGCACTCAAAAAATGTTTCCAAGCCATCGTTGATCGAAAGAAAGTAAATATCAACATGCTGACTCTAAAAAAAATGTTGGAGCACGAGCTTCGATTGGACATGAGATCCGTTCAAAAGGATCTAAAGAGCATCTTACCACTTATGCTTGTAATTTACATTCGCAACTGGCCCGGATGGCAGAGGAGCGTCGATTATTTCACAGGGAATTTAACTTTTCGCGATTGGTTCGTCAAATTCAGGCATTACGTTACGCTGAAGTTGCACTCAATTATATGCAACGGTTATAAAAAGGCGTTGGAAGAGATCGCAGCAGAGAAATTACAACAGCCAGATAAATCTACCCATATTGAAGAAATACCTTCCGATAGCATTGCTCCTTTCTGCTTGTCTGTGGAGTACTCACCGAATACTGTCGATTTAGTGTTTACCAGAAAGAGAGGTAAAATAAGCTGGTACTGGTTATACAGTGTGATACAGAACTCGCACTTCACCAGGAAAGGTCTTATGGAAACGACAATAGAGATGCAATAATGTTGAATTGTTAATGCTCATTCACATCATTTTTGTGAATTTGAAATATTACTGGGATTGGTCGATTTATACTGAGATTTGTCGATTAGTCAATAAACCTCTTTATTTACCAAATGAAAATATTTTTCATGTCTTTGGCTGAAGTTTTGGCATCTCTATTATCGTTTCCATAATCCCTTTCATTCCAACTCATTACTTACATCTTTTTAGATACTGTATTTTTGAAACTACATGCAAATGATACAGGTCACTTTAAGCCCAGTTTCAAACAACTTTTAAACTGGCCCTATGTAGGAGTGGAGTTTGTAACGCCTGATTTATCGTTTGTTCGGTTCAACGAATTTGAGATAGACCGGTTCATCCATTTAAATGCACCTAAAACAACATGTGATCGTCGCGAAGTAATCGAAGAATTGGAAATCATCAACACGTCAGCAGGCCAAACAACTTTCAGTTTAAACGTATTATGGGCATACATTTTTCAATACATGAGTCTCATGAGAAGTTATGTAATTATGGTAAATGGAAATTGATTTTAATAGATATTTAGAACCACTTAAATTTTTGTGGCCCGTACTCAGCGCGCCCCATTTTAACCTTAAACACGACTTTAAAGTGTCTCTAACTTGACAGTTGTACATTGTTGTTATGGAGTAACTAGGGACTTTGTTTACGTTAAAGTGACCCCCTAAAGCCATGTTTAAGTTACAAGTGGAGCGCTGAATACCCGCCATTATGATTTACTTATTGTTAAATAAGTTGTCTTTTAGGAGAACAAAGAGTATTTGGACAGGCTGGAATATTTGTTTGAGGAATTTTTAAAGGACATAGACGAATGGGATATGAATTATTCCATAGCTTCCAATACTTCAGTACTCTTCAATATAGGGAACCAAACGTACGAACGGAACAAAGTGCTACTAGACGAGTAAATTTGTAAAATTCATCATCTTCTTTTTAATAGTAACCAATGCGATTTTCACAGGGTCGGATGCCGTCCAAACGCATCCGAGATAACCTTTAAGGAAACGATCATTCCTAAAATAAAAACTCGATTATTATATTTTAAGGATACCATGGACGATTCAGTCGCTGAAGATATATCTTTCACGTTTCTGAACGATGCGAACAAGCGGCTCGAAAACAAAGAGATTAGTATCGCGAAGATTTTTCCCTATCTCACTTTCCATTGCTTGCTTTGCCACGTCAACTACAACAATTCCAACGAGTTAGCGGAACACATAGCAAGCCAACACGTTCGCGAATCTAATGTGACTTGCTCTGAGTGCCAAAAGCCCTTCGAAGTCGAAACGTTGGCGCTCAATCGTTGGAAACACGATTGCAATATTTCATCGACTAAAGACTGACAATGCTAACAACAAGAGATAAGGGCCCGTATTCAGCGCTCCACTTTAACCTTAAACACGGCTTTGGACGGTCACGTTAACGTAAACAAAAAATTCAAAAATTCATAGTTATTCCATAACAACAATGGACAAATGTTTTTAACTTTTAAAATGAGGGGCTGAATACGGGCCATTGTTACTAATACAAATTTTACCTAATTGATAAGTATTCAACTCAACAATAGGCGATAATTCAACACCGCTAAATTTCAATTAGCATTTTTTTAGAGAAAATAGACCTGATCTTAAAGAAGCTGACGCGTTGTAATATATCTTTGGAAACTTTATACCGAGCGGCCACCTTGGAGCCCTGCGTTCCTTCAGTCGATTCATCGCGTCGAAGCCACGCCTTTCCTCAGTTCGACTGATTCTCTCTTTCTAATGCTTGTACCGCTCGAACTGGGACGATCGGTATTATACATATATTTGTTTTTTATTGCCGGTATATTTAATGGCCCGTATTCAGCGCCTCAGTTTAACTTTAGAGTGACTCTAAAGTCGCAATTTTAACTTGACAGATTTACATTGTTGTTATGGAGTAACTATAGGGACTCGAGACGCGACTTAAGAATCACTCTAAGGTTAAATAGAGGCGCTGAATACGGGCCATTGTCAATAAATAATAAGTTAAATTCAGAATTTAGAGTATATTTATTTACCAAAACTGTTGACCTATTTACCTATTGAAAATTCATTTAACATTGTGTATTTCTGTGCATTGGAACCGTTTATGAGGTAAAATTTATGAATCGATCTTTACTAGTTACGTTTCTTATGAGTTCTTATTATCCAAACAAATTATATCGAGGTAATTCAAATGACAGCAATTTGAATTATTAAAATTTCAAATTTAAATTATTAAAATTCATGCTTGACGATTTGTTCTTCCAAATTGATCAAAAAATCGATCATTCAATTCAAACCACTTTTGAATCAATAAAAAATTCTGTAGGTTTGGTATAAGCACAACGGAGCTCCTGAATGATCGATTTGAAAATAAATCTTTGATCAATAGTCGCAGCCGATTTTGGCCACGGTTTGTAGAATAATAAAATAATAAATCTTATTCTACAAACCGTAGATTTTGGCAGCTTTTATTAACCTTCAAAGTGAAAAGGACGTAGAATCTTTCAATAATGTCAAATTGGTGTATAGCTCATTCACATCATTTTCGCGTTTGTGAACTGCTACTGGGATTGGTCAATTTTAAACCTTTTTATTTTCCAAAGGAATAACTTTTTCATGTATGTATTTGGCTGCAGTTTCGCGGCATCTCCATTGTCGGTTCCATAAAGCATTTCTCGGTGGGTCGTGAGTTCTGGGCCACTCTGTATAATACTGGATCACTTATTTGTATAACAGGCGCAAGGTTGTTTGCAATCTATTAATTTATATTTAGAGCATCATTTTGTAACAAAAAAATGGTGGTTTTTCCACACTGATAAAAATATTATTTTAACCACTAATAATATTAAAAATATCACAATTTAATACAATGTAAAGCAAAACGACATACAGTGTGTGTCACGACGATGGTGCCTTAGAAGTATCTGGAAAAGTAGTGGATCTATTCAATGAAAATATTTTCAACTTTTCCTTACTTCCGGATATACCGGAAGTAGACATCAACTTTGTTATTTCAAATGAAACACTCTGTATATTAATATATTTTCGAAATATACGTAAAATTTTAGGGTACTTTTGTCTAAAAAACTTTTTTCAAAAATGCATACTTTTTGTGTTATTAATTTTTTTTATTAACACAGTTGAAATAAATTGCGATGATAAGGAACATAAAACAAAAACTTTAATGAAATGCAAAAATAGAAAATATATTCTTTAAACGAAGAAATTCTACTATTCCACGAAACTAATTTAAAAACTAAGAATAACTATATTGGAATAATCACCGGTGAAAAAAAGTAATCAAAAGGCCAAATATCTGCGGCTCAGTTCCATGGTAATCCACCCTTTGATCTTTCTCGTGCTGACGTACACGCCGGGTATCCCTTTATTCCCCCATTGCACGCCCCAAGATACAATGCCCGCGTGATAATAACGATCTCCGTCGGGCGTTGGGCACATAAGGGCGCTTCCCCCGCCCCCTATGCAAGCGTCCATTTCATCCTCGCCTCCGGCGCATATGAAAAAATTGTTTAACTGGAAATAATTGCCTAATATCGTCTTCCTCAAGGAGGCCTGACACTTGTCGAAGGGGACTAAGGGTACATTCATTTTTTTGAGCATCGGAACACCTATAACGTAAAATAGATAAGTGCGTATAGTAATTGATATATTTGTTGATTACTTAGATAGTGTAACCAATTACCTTGAAATTCTGCTGTGGTACCCCAACCAGACACCAAGCATCGACCTGAATTCTCGTTAGTGTCATCAGAAGGCAAGCAAATGGTATTTATTGCATCAGACGAAAACTTCCTATCCAAAATCAGCAAAGCCGCGTCAAAACCTAAGTCATAGCTAGGATGCTTAATTATTTCGACTACGTTTCGTTGGTTTTCTGCATTTTTGCCTACTTTACGTCTAACGGCATCACCAGTCATAACAACTTTGTATTTGACCGGGGCCTTCCTGAAACTTAAGTACAATAAACATAATAGAATTATTAATCTACAGTTATTTGTTTGTCCAAGAGAGCCAGTTATGTGCCCTATAAAGGATCCTTCGCAAGACATAGTAAAGTAATTCATATACAGGGTGGCCCAGAACCCACGTCCCACCGGGAATAGCCTTATGGAAACGACAATGGAGATGCACTACACTTCCAACTATCAAATTGTGAAATCTTGCATCAAAAGCAAAATTTAATGACTTGAGGTATAGCCTCATAGAAAAAAATAAGGTGTCGTTAAGTCTGGTGATCTCTGTGACCACTCAATAGGACCTCTCCTTCCAATCCATTTGTTCGGATAATTAGTATCCAACCACTCCTTAACTGCAACTGCATAGTGAGAAGGTGCTTCATCTTGTTATTCATCAAGTGCAGCAAATCTTCGTCTAGAGTTAGATTGCCTTGGTCGTCCCTTTGGTTCTCTAATTCATGCACATCAATTAATGGTTCGATGATGTTCACAAACTTCATTAAATTTTACTTTTAAGGCAAGATTTCACAATTATTGATTCATTCACCCTATACAATTATTATTTATAACATTGGATACATTTTATAGGCTTTTCAATGATGTATGATGTAACAAGTTAAGGTACGTGGAGCCTAGGGGATTGATGGGACTGAAATATTTTTTACGCTCTTTTATATTCTTCCTTCATATCATAGAAACAATTTTAGGCATTTTTTGATATCATGTTTCGTTTGAGAGATATAACCATTGTATGTTTTCAAATTGTCATACTGTATAACTTACTGATTACATAAATGATAAGCTGTTAGTATCACACGAGGACTTATCAAAGCACCAGTGCCGCAGAATTTCCATTCATTTGCATTATTCTTCACATAAATTATCGCCGTCCATGGTAATTCTCCTTTGTTGGTGAAGTCCTCGACGGTCGACATAATTCTAGGAGTGACGAATGTAAGTTGTTGTCCGCAAGTTTTTTTTTTGGATGTTGTTATTGTTGTGGTTTCTTGTAAGTTTCCTGTAATATTGTTGTATTTTTCCAATTTGCAGCACACCAATTGTTGATTATAGGATCCTTTACAGCGAATATGTTCAGGTTGAATTTGCCTGAAATTATTGGATTATATACAGGGTGTCTCAGAACAACTATTCCTAATTTTCAGAAATGATGAAGGGCACTTAAATAAACATGCAAAATAGTTGTAAGATCAACTATTTTTTGTTTCAAAACAGTTGCTCCGTGAGTGGTCGGCCTAAGTAGTTTTAAAATAGGTGTAACTAACCTTGATGTTGCCAAATCGTCTGCATTTGTTATATTTTCGCACAAATAGTAAGGTAGACATTTGCACTTTTTCAATACTTCAATAAAATCGTTGTACTGTTTATCGGAATCGGTCATACAATGTATTGTCAAAATGCAATAACCAAACCACAAAAACAGCAAATAAATGAATTTTGATAAGTGCAGCATTTTTGCGCGCTTCTTGACGATTTGTTCTTCACCGATTAGCTTTAGAAATATGGTAATTGACGACGGGAGTTCATGGCTTATAAATGAATCAGTTTGTCGATGAGAGAGGTTAAAATGATAAGTGTTTATTTATTAAATTTAGATGAGAACACGACGAGGCTCGTGAACTCATGAACGTGAAAAGTACTTTAAAAAGTCCCATCATTTAATTGGAACAAATACAAAGACGGGGAAAAAAGTGGTTCAACAAATTTAGAAAAATCGAAATTTTCGGTCATATTTAGAAATCCTAAAAACCTCTTGAAATTAGTGTACCTACACAGGATGTTTCAGAACCATGGGATCAAACTTCTAGAGATTATTCAGTGCAACATTAGAGTATAGGGACCCAGTCCGGAAAAGTGCCACTACGGCCCTAAGACGCGTTAAAATTTAGAAAGACGATGGAATTGCCTAAATAGGATTTAATCAATTTAATATTTCCCTTTTCTACATGATACTATCACACCAATTGTTCAAAATGTCTTCCTCCAATCTGAATACACCGATTTAATCGTCGCACATGATTTCGGTGAACTTGACTAAAAATTTGATACTCGTTTTGAAATATTTTAAATGCTAATGTTATTCGTCCAATTAAGTCTTGCTCTGTTTCTACTGGAGTTTCGTAGATCAAACACATTACATGTTCCCATAGGAAAAAATCTAGCGGCCTTAAATTGGGTGACCTAGGAGGCCAAGAAACTGCTCCACCTCTGGCAATTCAGGTTGGAGGAAGACATTTTGAACAATTGTTGTAATGATATCATGTACAAAAGGCAAAAATTAAATGGATTAAATTCTATTTAGGCAGTTGATCGTCTCTCTAAATTTTAACGCGTCTTAGGGCCGTAGTGACACTTTTCCGGACATGGGTTCCTGTACTCAAATGTTTTCTACTGTTGCACTGAATAACCCCTCGAAGTTTGATCCCATAGTTCTGAAACACCCTTTGTAATACTGGATCACTTTGTACAACAAGCGCAAGATTGTTTGCAATCTATTATTTAGATTAATAACATCTTTTTAAAACAAATAAATGGTGGTTTTTCCACACTGATAAAAGTATTGTTGCAACCACTAATAATATCATTAAAAATATTGATACGCCGGGATTTAGTCAAAAATACTTTATTATCACACCAATAATCGCCATTATAATAGGTCGCCGATATTCGCCGACCGCCAAATTGTATTTCGCCACGCCAACGCCGGCTTGACACTGTCCTCACAATGTAACCCATTTTCATTTGGACCTTAATTTACCAGAAAATCGACCGTTTCCACATACTTTTTGGACATCCAGTATATGTACCGGGTGTCCCACCAGAAGAGGTAACCGAGTGTATATCAGAAACTAATTGTCATAGAGACTTGAAGTAAAAATCTTATGACTAAATTGGCAAAATATTTTTTAAGTCTCTAAAATGGACGCTAGGGGGATTATACCCCATCTTGATTTTAAAAAGTTATTTTTTTCAAAATTTTCCTTAATAAAGGTATAAAAATGTATTTTATTTTGATAGTTGAGATAATTTCGATTATTTTTTGATATATATTTTTAACTCTATCTTTGGCTCTATTCTATTGGCTTATGATACGTTGGATAAATTGGGCAATAGAATTTTAAGTTGAATTCAAAGGTACGAATATACAGGGTATTCCATTAAAATTACCATACAAAAAATTATTGATTGATCAATAACTCAAAAACGTGATGCTCAATTGTTTTTTTGTTTTCACCATTGAATCAGCGGAAAGAATACTATAATAGTTTGCTAATTTAACCGATGTCGTAATTTTAAAATTATAAAAGTTACCAATGACGAACATTTAATTTGGATAACCCTGTATATTTTAAAATGTAAGAATTTTCACATGAAAATTTACGGAAACCTTCAAAAAAATTACTATGACAACTTATTAGAAACTTCCTTTAAAACTTTGCATTAGAAAACTTGTAGCAATCTTCTACAATGTTAAAATTTGAAAATTTGCAATTGTAATCTTGCAATGAGCTTATTAAAAAAATTTCTGTACAAACTTGCCGACAAAAGTGTCCAGCAAACTTACTGTATATTGGTTCGTATATAATTTCAATTGCAAGTATCCATAAGGGAAGATATATTCAAGCTTACTTCAAGTTTGAGAAAACTTATAAATACATAAACTTGCACTTACAAATGTAAATTAACAGCAACTTTTCAGCAAGTCCTCGTTATTCCTAAACATAACAAAAGTTCAATTAGCTATCTCATTATTCTCATTGTATGCTTGCAGCGGATCAGTTCGTACGATCTGTATACTTTTGAATAGTATACATATAGGGAAGTTAGATTAAATCATCTTATTTTCGTCCCAGAAGTCTATATAGTTAAGCCATGTCCCAACCTTTTAGAGACACCCTGTATACTCTTTATTTCCCTTGCAATATTAGCTTTTTCAATAAAATTTTCCCCAGGCTGTCCGGGTTCCAGTGCTTCTTCGTCGAAGGCGGGCCGTGTTTGACTGGCCGATTTCGTTTGCCATCGTAGAGAACAACCGCCATTCGGAAAATAAAATAAATTTGCAAAGAATGGCCATTGGAAGCGGATGGTGTGTAATGGTGTGGTGAATTTTTTGTACGTCGACACACCAAACGGTAACATTGACGATATTATACCCGCGTTTGTGCAACATCCCAAAATTCGTAAAGCTATCCACACAGGAAACATGACTTTTAATATCAGAGATGAAGTGATTGAATATTTGCAAGACGACCTAATGGATACGATAATCTTTAATCCTTTGATAAGCCAGTTATTAAGCAGCATTAGAGTTATATTTTTTAACAACCCATTGGACTTGGTCGTGACATACGAAGGCCTAGACAATTTCTTGAGTAATTTTGAATTTCAGCCGTCCCGAGGAGTAGAAGATAGCACCCAAGGAAAAACGGTATCATAAAAATGATATTGCCGGTTACATAAAGAAGGCCGACAATTTATCTGAAGTATTGGTCAGGACCGCTGGTCATTTGGTGGCAGCCGATAAACCCGAATGGGCCATCGAGTTACTTTCAAAATTCACCAGATTAAACCTATTTATTCGTATTTATTATTTTCTGCGTGTTTTAATCGATAATTGGGGAGTCCGTGTGCTGTATCTTGTAATCACGACGGGGGTATTTCGAGTTTAAGTTCGGTTTACAACGATTACTGAAGTTTATGGGAATAGGAGAGAACAAGAAACATGTATTAAATTTCTTGTAAACCGAGCCGGAAAGCACCTTTTCTTAGTTTATTTAAAATATTTCTAAATGTACGATTATAAAAATACCTATTCCCGTCACCTCTAACTCTTCGTTTCTTCTGAATTTTGATTTACGATTTGACTATTGACATAATCTATAAAAAAAGTAATAAATAATATATCTACATGTCATACACGTTCCGAGGCTTCACCTTCGATAAATTCCTTCCTCTCGGGATTCCTATTCAACGCTTCTTTGATGTCCTTTTCATAATCCTGCATTTTGTTCTGTAAATAATGAACCTTCGCCAGCAACAGCCAACTTTTGAGTGAATCCTCGTTCAAATGCAGAGCCCACTCGACCAAGTCGTTCTCGGCTTTGTCATATAATTTCAGTTTAATGCACGTTAGAGCTCTGTTGTTGTACAACAGAGGACTGTCTTTGATCTGTTGTATTGCCTTAAAAATTAGTGCGATATAGTCTGCCTTATAATTGCTATGTTGTACTAACTTTGTTGTATAGGGTCAAAGCTTTTTCATATTCCCCTCGTCTAAAGGCTAGAGTTGCCTGTTTTTTCAACGTTTCCATCTTTTCTCTACGTACCAATTTTTCTTCGTATCTCTGATTCGCGTCTCTTTCCACTTCTCTCATAAAGGCCTCTAAAATAAAACCATCGTCCTTTTATTAGGTAGCCCAGTGACACAAGCCTTAAAGTGTACATATATTATGTGTGTCGTTGATTAAACGGAAGTATGAGGCCCAATTTTGCTCACCTTGAGACATAGTATTGGGATCTGAGCTAATTTCCTCGAATGCCTTCTTATTAATCACCGTTCTGTCGTTGCGAATTTTCAGCTCGATCGTTCCATCGTCAATTTTCTCGATGATCTTCTTCATTTCTTCGTTGGGTTCGTTTAAATACCGTTGCGCTTCGATGTCTCCCATCTCCGCTTCCGCTTTATCTTTCGATGCCATTTTTCCAACTATTCTATTCACCTCATTCACTTTCACCATGAAATTGTTGAATTCTTCGTCGTCTTGAAGAGCGTGGAGCTGCTTGTATTTCGGCAAGCCAGACATTTTTCGATTTCAAAAATTTTCTTTCGGTTTGTAGCCGTATGAAGATTGTATTGTCAATATTGTTATAGAAACGGGAAATACAGGGTGTCCCATTGAAAAGTAGCCCATTTTACCTATTTATTACTTTAGCGCCTAATCATAAAAAAACATGCGGTTTTCGCAGATATGTCTTATTTTGTTGTAAGTTTTGTTACAGCGACACAGAAATTATGTATTACCATAATATAGGGTAATGCATTACCAATATAATGTATTACCAATACAAGCCGTTTTATCAAAATCTCCAAACAACAGCCCGTATATTTAGAGGTTTTCTGAAAGATACTCTTCTATTTTTCAAAAATATATCATCATGTACATGTTATTCTACAAACGAAGGTGTCCCATTTGATAAAATACCCTGTACAGGTGATACAAAATTTCTTAACAAATTAGTACAAAATAGTTGTAATGTTTGGTGACAATTTAAAAACTTACAATGGCTATATTTCATAAACGAAAGATATTGTCAAAAAATGCTTAAAAACGTTTCTAGGATGTGAAGGGGGAACTAAAATGACGAAAAAATTCACCCCAAATCCTCATCAAATCTGCAGCAAATCTTCGTCTAGAGCTAGACTGCCTTGGTCGTCCCTTTGGTTGCCTAAATCATGCACAATTAAAGATTCGATGGTGTTCTCAAACTTCATTAAATTTTGCTTTTAAGGTAAGATTTCACATTATTGATTCACCCTGTACAATTATTATTTATAGTATTTTTATAGGCTTTTTAATGATGTATGTTTTAGAAGAGGCGTAATCTTGTCCAGCACTTTCAAATAACTTGTTCTAATGAAACTATGAACATTATAAAATTATAATGCTACTTATATATTAATATCTATTTGCCATATCATACAATAAAATTAATTTAGAAGAATTAACGACTGCTTTTAAGTGTTCCGGCACAGAGTAGAAAACGAAAAAAGAGTGTTGTCTACTCTGTGGTTCCGGGTTAAAAAACGAGATGTTTTAGTGTCAAGGATAAGAACAGTTTTGTTTGAATGTGTTTCTCAAAAAACAAACAAAAACAAGACATCAAATTCTTTTATTAGAACATCACGACACCTATAAATGCAATGAAATAAACATAAAAGCTGTGTTAAGTCACCAATATCAATGAAAAATACGTAATTTATGTATTATAATACATTAAGTAGAAATACAAAAAAAAATTGGTTTCTGGATAATTATAGAGAACTATTATTGATTGATTGGTTATTATTGGTACAGGCGGTTTTAGACGAAACATTTTCAAACACAATTTTATCAACGGTGTATTATTATTAAAAAACAATTTGTTCATTAAAAATGCAAAGTCTAAAATCGGTTTTGTTCTCTAAGGCAATCTACATCTCTATATCTAACAATTCTACATCAAAAATAAGTGTTGCGTTCGGAGGAATAACTCCAGGATGACCCCTAGATCCATACGCGTAATCCGGAGAACAAGTCAACTTGGCTCTTTGACCGATGCTCAACTAAAACCAAAAATTAAATCGTTAGATCCAACATACAAAAATACTTTATATGCTATTAAGCATTAAAATTACAAATCAGTTATATCAAAATTATCAGCATTTCATAATTCTATTCTAACAATAGCTAAGAGCGCAAGGATAAAACCATCATTTAGATTATAAGTTTATATCATAGAAACATGAACTTCAATAAAAAATGGTGTGGTCTTTTAACAAAGAAAATATTGATGTAATAGACTGTAAGGAGTAAATGAAAGTTTCACTAGATCTATGAGCTACTATAGTAGTTTCTTTTTATATCCATTTATGTATATCAAAGCCGCACGCCATTGCATCTTGTTTTATTTAGGTTTGTGTTTCTATGAAATAAACTATAGATTAAATATTTTAACTGATTTGTTTTGATACATACTTGAGCAACACCTTCGTCCCATCCTTTGATCACTTCGCCCCTTCCGATACGAAACTTGAAGGGATTTCCCCTGTCTCTAGATGAATCGAACTTCTGCCCGTTCTCAAGAGTACCCGTATAATGAACGACGACTGTTTGTCCCGTCTTAGGGAAAGTTTGACCTATTAAAAAAAAAAGTCAGAATTAATCTATAACTGATTATTATTTCCAGTAATTTAAATATAATTTCATAAGGACTATTCAGTAACAGCATAGAGGATATTGTACTGTTAAATGCTAATAGTATAAGTTCGTAAAACATTCAAAACAAACTATTCAAATTCAATCATAGATGTATAAGTAAAATAATTTAATAATTTAATTTTTGAATATGTAAGAAAAACATTTCTCTTCAACTTCAAGGTCACCTAGGTTTGCCGGTTAAATACTAAGATATTGATTAAAAAATTCAACTTATCTTACTGTGATTATCAACCCCATTTTTTTAACTTTTTGTTAACACACCAAAAGGTTAACATTAAAAGCAAACGAAAAATTCATAATGATACATACCATCGCCAGCCTTAGTAGTTTCAACTTGCACTCCCATGATTGCTGCAATCATTTACAAAAAATTAATTTTGATAAACGTAAAACAAAGCGTGTTTAATTACCTTAGAAAGACCCTTTGATTTTGCGTCCGAAATTAAGGAAAAGTTAAATTTTATGAAGTTTCACCGAACTAGATCAATCCCAAAATTTTAAAAATGGCGATAATCTATTGCCGTAGCAGTTGCCGCTTGCTGTGCCGCAATCTCACAACAGCAACATCTACTCGTCTTCGTCTTTTGTTCAGTGATGCTTATAGTACTTTCTTGCTTTTCGTACGCAAAGAACGAGCAACCTCGAGTGCGTATGTTCAAATTACCTCCACTTGTTCGAGCTGGCCAATAGCTTATTGGCACACTTTGTATGTTTTGTTTTAAATCTTTGGTATGTGCCTAAAAGATTAATTTATGTTGCAAATATTCAATTAACTATCACCTGGACAATTTCGTTATTCTGGATAATCGATAAAAAACAATTGATCTAATACACAACTATACGTTATTTGCACATTAGCATCGTTTAGTTGTTACTGTCAAATGTCATTCGTCAAGTCAATTGTCATCTCGAGTCGGACATTTTTTTTGTTGATTTTGCTGTAGAATCTAATTAATTGTGTTTGCCAAGAATTAACGATTTTTTACTTATATGAAATGTAAAGGTTTAACGAATTACTTTCGTTGTATTAGATAAATACGAGTATTGCTTTTAGAAGATGTCTTCGGGAGGCGGTGATACCGAAGGTGGATACATAGCCAAGCTTCGCGGCTTGCCTTGGTCCGCTACCCCTGAAGATGTCATGAATTTTTTCAACAAATGCCACATCTTGGGAGGAAAATCCGGAATACACATGACGTTTTCGAGGGAAGGCCGGCCCAGCGGAGAGGCATTCGTAGAATTCGAATGTACCCGGGACTTAGAAATAGCCCTCGAGAAAGATAGAGATCACATGGGAAATAGATATATTGAAGGTAATTGTTACTGAAAATTATATCAAACTGTTTTCTATTTGTTTCATCTTCAGTTTTCAAAGTAAACAAGGCAGAAATGGAATGGGTCGTTAAAAGATCAGGACCGACTTATGGTTTGAACGATGATGGTTGTGTAAGATTAAGAGGTTTACCTTTTGGTTGCTCGAAAGAAGAAATTGCACAATTCTTTACAGGTACTTATGTTACAAAAGAAACACGTTTTATTTAAACAGCCTGAGACATGTTAAAAAACCAACCTAATAATGATAGAAACATTCCATGTAGCAAAGTTTGTTCTGTTTTTAAAACGGGGTTTATATTATTTTACCGATTTCCTTTCTGTAAAAAACAAAGTCCTTGACATTTTGAACCCATAAGATATACATGTTTATAATGTGGGATTCTTAACCTCCAGGTATCGATCAATTGTTAACAATCATAAACAAAAATTATTTTTGAACTGTAAATTCAACATTGCTTTGCCATGTGGAATGGTTTATGTAGACTAATACAGTATCAGAAAAATAACTATTTATATTGTTTAAACTATCTGGAAATACTGAGGGTTAAGGCGAGAAAATGTATTAAGTATTTTCGGTATTTTAAATAAATTGTAGTAATCATTTCATTACTCCTGCGAATCTCAAAATTATCCGTAATTATACTAAACAATATTTCATTCGATCAATTATTTTGATAGCTAATTTACTGATCACTTAAAATTTCTTATATTTCATCACTACAAGTTTTGTAAATATTTAAAATCGAGTAACTTTCAATTTGGACAGTATAGACGTTTATAAAGTTAAGAACAATTTTAATTATTTTGGGATTTGATTTGTATTTGCTTTATATAAATTATTATTTTTCGAACGGTCAATATCAGGAGTAATAAATGGGCACATATATAATGCGTAAATGATTAATTTGAATTCGTATTTCTGGGATTTCTATTGAATTGAATTGTTGAAAACCATTTTGAGAGTATTCATATGTTGTGGAGTTTAAGGGCTTAACCGTTTTGGGTTATGTTTTTGGGTAGGGTTGGAGATTGTACCCAACGGAATTACTCTACTGACTGACTACTCGGGTCGAAGTTCTGGGGAGGCGTATGTTCAGTTTGTAAACAGAGAAGTGGCAGAGAAAGCTCTGCTGAAACATCGAGAAAAAATCGGACACAGGTGGGGTATATCAGCGGGATGGATAGGGAGGTCCTCCTATTTACTATATACTTTGATTTTTTTTAACAAGTACTACCAATTTAACCAAATTTGTTTTTATTAGAAATTTGCTTGTATTCATTTCCAATCGCATTTTATAAGAATTTGATTCTTATGCAGGGTACACTCATTCAGTTATTTTATACCACGTATTATAGTATACTTAAGTTTTTTAGAAAAATACTACATGCTTATATTTTTTAACAGATTTATTAATTCAAAAACCATTACTTTGTGAATCCATTGTGTAGGGTGTAGGTGACTTGAAAATCCCCCTGTATAAGATCTTATCAATCCAACGATTATTTTTTTTGTTAATTTCATTTAAAAACAATTTGGTAGTACAAATCAATTCGTAGTTGCAGTCTTTAAATAATTCTACAGAACACAAAAAAAATCAATTTATTTTCCAATTGGTATTTGACTATTAAAATGTTTGCTATTTCATTATACCTATTTTCCCAATTAGCATTTATCCGATTCAGAAATTGATACAAACCCAAACGTTTAAAAAAAACGTAAATCCATAATTAACTAGAATTTTTTTTACCAATTGCTCGTACACTATATGTTGATTGGCAAAATAACGAAATAAAGTTCTGTAGTTTACTTTAAAGTAAATTTGTCACCACGGTATCGGACGATAAAAATTCCAACTACAGGCCACGTGTGTATACGTTTGTTAGGTACATAGAAATATTTCGAAGCAGCCTCTCAGAAGTCGATAGCGTGTTGAGCTACCAAAATAATTCCTCAATGGGCATGGGCGGCGGAAGGAGAATGGGCGGCGGCGGTGGCGGCGGTCCCGGTATGTTCAATTCTCGGCCCAGTCCCTACGATCGTGATAATCGTTATGGAGGCAATGGAGGTCGATTTGGCGGCGCCCGCGGCGCTAGGAGCTTTAAAGGTGAGCTTCACGTTAATGGACCGTATTTATAAATAACAGCATAAACCTTTGCTTTGAAAAAATCAAGGAATTGCTTCTATGTATACCATATATCCGATTCCGAACCGGCGGACGAATGTAGCGCTCGACCTTGGACACATGGTATGGATAAAAAGAAATGAAGGAAGAGAGGTTTTACTTCGAGGACCCTGCTGTTGCTTCAAAGCGAAAGGATTTATGTTTTCCGTATTTATAAAAAAGTATTTGCTTAAAAAGAAAAGAAGTTGCTTGTAAAAATGGAAACTAGGTTCATAGCAACTTCTCACAATCTCTTTAGTGGTTATTAAGCCACCACACAGCTTGTAACGGAAAATGTTTGGGTATTTTGGCTGTTTTCCCATTTTGTTATGGTTGACCGGGTGAATTTACGTTAGAACTGTCTGGGTCAGTTCAGCACGCTCTAGAATTATTTAGAACCGTTTAAACTGGTTTCCTTGCAAGGAAAATGCGGAGATTGCGAATATGTATCGGAGCAAAACCTCTTTCTCTTTCCTTTTACTTCAAAGTAAATGCTTAATTTTTATAAATTTGAACTAATACATATTTGGTATTACTAACCCTAAACACCGAATTTCACGAGCCCGCGCAGTGAACGAAACCTTGCTTGTTTAGGTAACTAAACGTATAGTTTTTCAAAGGATGCTTCTAAAAATCTAGGTGTTTTTTTTGGAATTGTTACAAATGGCATTAATAAATGTTTTTCACAGATTACGGAAGTTACGATCGACCGGCACCTTGGGCGAATCAAAGAAACGGTAACGACGTTGGATACAGATATTGGGATTCGTCAAATAGCGGAGGGAACGGGCCCGGTCTCCATTGCATACATATGAGAGGATTACCATTTAAAGCCTCCGAAGGAGACATTGCTGATGTAATTATTTTAATAATACAGGGTGTCCCACGACGAGTTAAAACTATCTGTTTATGGAACACTACTTATCCGGTTTAATTAAAATTTGGTATACATAGGTTACGCACTAAGACGAACCTCTCGAAAATATTTTGTCAGTCGTAACACTTTCGGATATATCGGAAGTTGACATCAACTTGGTTATTTTAAATGGAACACCCTATTTATTAATATATTTTCGAAATCTACGTAAAATTTTAGGGTACTTCTGTCTAAAACACTTTTTTTTTCAAAAATGCATACTTTTTTGAGTTAATTTTTTTTGAAAAATTTGCCCGATGCAGACCCTTATAAATTATTTTTACGAGGATTTGAGCATGTACGACTGTCAAAATATTTTTAAGAGGTTCGCCTTATTGCATAACACACACATACCATATTTTAATTAAATCGGATAAGTAGTTTCCTATATAGAGATAGTTTTAACTCGTCGTGGTACACCCTGAATATCATACATGACTTCTCATTGCTCAATTCCACCTCCTGAGTATTACAAGATACTAGATAGCCATTTATCCTAACGCATATATATATTTTTTTTAGTTCTTTAAACCAGTAGTTCCGGTGAACATTCGGCTCATACAAGACGACAGCGGGAGAGCGTCTGGTGAAGCGGACGTCGAATTCGCGACGCACGACGACGCAGTAAGGGCCATGAGTAAAGATAAAGGGCACATGCAGCATCGGTACATTGAGTTGTTTTTGAATTCCGCTGGCGGACAGAACAACGGCGGTTTTGGATATGGCATTGGTCGAAGGCGTTTGTAAATAACGTGTAAACTATATAACACATATGTTTCAATGAATAAGGCGGCCAGTACAATGTCATTTGTTCGCAATTACAATTTTTGTTTCAGTGTGATAAAAAAAATAAGCCACAATGAACGCTTAAGACTGTTCATTGAAAAAAAAATACCTTTTTTTTCAAACTCGATATCACATTGTGGTTGTTTTTTTTCACTTATTCTGACACTAAAATTAATTTTAAATTTCGAAATATTATTGAAAAATTCCTTTGATCGGTAAATTATAGAGAAAGTAAATTTAATGTACCTTCAACATTGAATAAAACGATTTTTAAATCAATACATGTAATATATTTGATTTTCTATTACTAGTAATAGAAATACAATTGAATCGGTGAGTTTGTACGAGTCCAAAATTTTACATTTTAAAGTAAGATAGCCATTTTGTTTATTGAATTGAATCGGTGAGTTCGAAAACCGTTCATGTCCAAAATCAGCGTTCCGAGAAAATCAATAAAAACCGTTTTATTATGTAGGGACCGTACAGTTTTTTCCTCATTTCACAAACATAAGCAACTGTGTTACTTTAACGGCTAAGTATCTATCGTCATCGATTAAGCTTAAAAACCTTACTAGATCTAGGGTAGAAAACGGTTTATCTCGATTTCCGGAAAAACTACAAGTCTTATGGAAAATACCATAAATGGCAAAGTTGTAGGCAATAAAAAGATCTACAACTTTTGTATTTACACTTTTTTCACATAACTTCAACATTAATGTAAAAATAACCAAGTTATTGGTTTTTATTTTTATCTTTTACAAACAAAAAAATTTTTTTACGAAATTTGGTGAAAACTTACCTTTTTATGTCCCAAACACATTGTAATTTTTTTGATTTAAAATATTTTTTTTTCACTTATTTTGACTTAACATCGAAGAAGCTCCCTAATTTACAATTAAAAATTTTCGCGTTAAAATATCTGCTTTTTGAAAAAAGTTGGTGGCCTTTTTGTTCGTTGAAATCTCTATTTTTTGGTGGTGTAATAGAATATACATTACTATGGAAAATGTTCTAAAACCCTTAAAAACTCACCCACTCCTACCTCCCCACCTCGGATCGCCCGTAAATTATTTTTCCTTTCATTTGTTATATTCTCTTCCTCTTCCAATGGGTTTCATCCTATTATGTTTTTCTCTTTTTACCATTTGCAAAGGCTTCAACACTGGTCTATTTAGCAGTTAACGTAGCACAGTTGCTTATGTTTGTGAAATGAGGAAAAAAAAACGTACATATTAAAACAGTTTTTATTGATTTTCTCGGAACGCTGATTTTGGACATGTACGGTTTTCGAACTCACCGATTCAATTATTGTAGTCGATCAGAGGGTAAATAAGAAATTACTAATAGTTTACAAACACTTTATTGAACAAAACGAAAATACAGAAACAAAACTAGAAAATGAAAATACAAAAATGTGTATTTTTACAAATTATTAATATTCATTAATTAAATCAACAAATTCAAATTCTGAATCTACATCTATGGGAACATTTTTTTCGTCAATTCCATTTTGAGATTTACATGTATTATCGATTTTTTGAATTTTTATCGATGGTTCATAATCCACATTCGACTCGATTATGCTGCTGTTCATGTTGCTTTCCATAAAATCGCTTATATCACCTGCGATATCTGTATCATCACCGATTGGAATATTCGAAGACAACTCGACTTTTAGGTTGTCTTCAATGTTACTTTCTAAATTGTTCGCCAAGTTCGTTTCATTCGTAACGTGTATTGGATTTTCGTCCAAATTGTCCGAACTCAACTCGAGTTTTATGCACTCATCGAAGTTATTCTCTAAATTATCCGTTTCATTAGATGTATTTGGGTTGTCCTCGTTGGCAGGCTTAATCACTGTATCGGATAAAATTATAATTTCTTTCTTTATTTTCGTTTTTGTACCGGCTTGATCAACATCTGTAACGTCTAAATCTACTTCACAATCCAAAAGAAAGTCCTTATTTTCGGCGCCCGTAGACCTGATTATGCTGAACGGGAGCGATACAGGCTGACAGACCTTTTCTAAATAATTCAGTCCTCTTTTGCAAACATCAGCTATTTCGGTATTCTCACTCGAAGAATAATTGCTCAGAGTATTAATAGTAAGCGAAATAAATGGTAAATTGTATAAAGTGTCTTGTTCGTAAAAAGCTATCAGCAATTCAAAAAGGTTCAGGATGCATTTATGATTAGTGTAGGGATGAGGAAATTTAGAAGTGTTAATATAATTTAAAATCGTCATAGTTTGATGATAAATTTTTTTGAAAGTTGTAGAATTTATACGTATATAGCAATGCTTGAAGAAAGCTGCTAAAGTTTTCAGTGCTAGTTCACATCTCAATTCATCTCTCTTTATTGTATAATCGGATTTGTTAATGTCCCCTCGTATATTTCGATTGGAAAGCGTGCTATTGATGGGCTTCTGTTTATTCTTGTTGCCTTTTTTTGCGTTTGCATCAACTTCCACTTTTAAACTAATGGACGTTTTAGCGGGTGCAATGTCTTTTAAAATACACGTTATCAATTGTTCTTGAAAATTTGAGTTAAGTCCAGTTCTCGATGTTGATATCCAACAATCCAAAGTAAGATAAATTGATTCTTGAAATAAAACATCGACATCGAAGCATTTACAACTCTGGCTCCTCTTCAAGCAGTCTATTAAAATTTTACTTATAACGAAAGCATAAGGAAACGAATTGTTTTTCAGCCAATAAACGAAGATCCTCAATAAATGTATTAAGTGCACTTGAACTTGGTTAAGGTAGGAACAAAATTGGTAATCCTCTTGTGAAACGCCTTGTGAAGTAGTAATGCATTGGTGGGGCATGGTTCCTCTAATGACTACGTTAAATACATCCATTGGTTGTATATCCTTACAAACGGGAAAGCCTTTCTTTATCATCACAATGATAAATTTCAATACATTCTGAATACGCTTTGCAGTTACTCCGATCATCAAATTGGAGTCAAACGAATGGTCTACAAACTTAAAACTACCTTCGCTTGGTGTACGATCCACGTGGTGAATATCTACTCTGTTTTGAAAAAAATCCTCGTATAAAATGTGCACAGTCGTACAGAGCTTTTTGAACGAATCCTTAAAGCAATTCCTGTGATTAACGCTGTCGAGTCCTGCATTGCCGACTTGCTGCAACAGCAAAAATGCGACGGCAGCTTTTTCGACGATTTCATCGGAGGAATTTTCCATAAATGATGTTATGTAGGTTTCAACGTGCGATTTCTGACTAGCGAACCAACTTCCGTATCTTCTCATGGTTACCGTTAATACTTCCAATGCAGCAAGCACGTTGTGGTAATTCTTATTCTGCTTCAAACACAACGAGACGATTTTTGATAAATGATCGGATACTATTTTTTTAGTTACATCATGGTTGGTGTGTGATATTTCGACTAGTTTTCCTATCAATGTTAGTTTGTTTTCCATGTAACTTTCTGCAGATATTTTTAATATAGAGTCCATCCAATTGACGACATATTCGCTGATGGTATCGAAGGTGCAGTAATTAAGTACGCAGTGTAACAGTTCTAAACCTTTTCCAGTTGTTTTTGATGCCGAGAGAAGTTTGTTTATAGCCTTTAGGTCTGCTTCTTTGGGTCCATTTAGTAAATATAAACGAAAAACACTTGAATCAATATTAGACAATATTGATTCGTTTGATACCGTTGAATTCATTTTAAAAAGTACTTTACTTAAAAGATGTAAATATGCAGATGTAAAATATGAGGTTATGTTTTGGATTGCGATTGACAGCTGACATTATAAAACGTGTTTTACTTCTTTCTAATTTACCAAAATCGGTTCAAGTTCATTTGATCCCTTAATAATCAACTATTGTCGTTATTTTATATGATTCATAAGATTTTAATCTAGATTTAAATTCTTAGATAATTCATATACGGCTCTATTTTTTTCAATTTTCTCTTGATTTGTCAAATATCGTTACCGAATATCCCCAACAACAAAGGCCAAAAAACTAAGGCGGTTTTTTCTTTTTTAAATAGAAGTAAGGTTAAGGTACAATAATGTTATCATATTTTTTGACATATGTTTTTGTTTCTCCACTTCGGATGTAATTTTCTCAATTTCTTCCCAAGGGTCGTAATTTCCAAAAGCTTGAGCAATATGACACGACGAAAATGTTACCTTTTGCACCTCATCGACGGCAAGAAAATTCACCTGCCTCACGAGAAACTAGTTACCTTAGGCCGGCAAGTCGACACAAAAATAGAGGACATTTTTGTATCGAGGAACCAAATCGAGTGTATAGCTGACGTTAAGAATTGCGTAGTGAAGGTAAAACCCATTGGAAAATCAATCGCAGGAGTTGATGGCTATGCCATAGTGAAAGACAAAACGTACACTTTGGGCCCCGGACACATTATAGAGCTTCGACTGGGATTCCATCCATTTGAAATAGTATTCGAAACGGTTGAATTGGCTAGTAATTATCCGGTCGAATCAAAAAAGCAGAAAATAGAAGATAACGTTGCTAAAACTGAAAGCTGCTTATTTAGCGATAATGGTAAATGGGAAGAAATAGAAAAAGAATTGTTAATCTACACTCCTGATAACATCCAAAATCGCAGTAAAATTGCCGCGTTCGATATCGATGGTACTATTATAAAAACAAAGTCAGGAAGGAGATTTCCAACTAACTTCGATGACTGGATCCTAAATTACAACGATATACCTCAAACGTTACGAAAACTTCATCAGGACAATTACAAAATAGCTTTTTTCACGAACCAATTAGGAGTAGGAAAAGATGTAGCGAAAATTAAGGAGTACAAAAGAAAAATACAGAATGTTATGAAGAAATTGGGTCTGCCAGTTCAAATTTTCGCGGCCTTAGGAAGAACCAAATATAGAAAACCAATCACAGGGATGTGGGAGACTTTAAAAAACGATAAAAACGGTGATGTTGCTATCGATTTAAAAGGCTCTTTTTACGTAGGAGATGCCGCAGGAAGAGAAAAAAATTGGGCTCCTAAAAGGCCTAAAGATCATTCAATGGCCGACAGGCTATTCGCCCTTAACGTAGGTCTAAAATTTTTCACGCCTGAAGAGTATTTCTTGAAACAATCACCGGTACCTTTTTCTATGCCCGAGTTCGATCCTAGAAAATTCTCTTATTCGGAAATTCCAGATTTCAGCTACGCCTCGCCTAATGTCATCATAATGGTAGGAGGACCAGGTTCGGGAAAAAGTCATTTCTGCAAGTCGTTTCTTCTACCCAAAGATTATGTTCACATTAACAGAGACACCTTAGGCAGCTGGCAGAAATGTGTGAAGGCATTAGAGGAAAACTTGCAAGACAATAAAAACTGCGTCATAGACAATACTAATTGCGACAAAGAGTCGAGGAAAAGGTACGTTGATGTGGCTAAAAAATATCAAATTCCATGTAGATGCTTCGTTATGAGTACATCTTTTCAACATAGCAAGCACAATAACAGATTTAGAGAATTAACGGATAAATCGCACATACCGGTCAATGAAATCGTCATCAACAGTTTGAGAAAGACTTATCAAAAGCCCGAGCTCATCGAAGGATTTGAGGAAATTGTAGAAATTCCATTTGTACCCTCCTTCAGCAATGAAGAAATGGAAGAGCTATATAAACATTTTCTATTGGAAAACTAATCATTCAAGCGCTATCCTAAGAATTCCAGAATGATAATCTTTGAATAAAATTGATCGAGAAAGATTCAAGTAATATAAAATGTAAAGATCCATTGTACTGTACTATAATAGCCATTTAATGTCGGAAATAAAGATTTTTTGTATGGTTTCTATGTATGATTAATTTATAATTTTTGATGAAAGTAAGTGTAACCGGGAAATGATGGAATTAATTAATACTGCCGGTCATATTTATTTAAAACCCAAGAATTAATCATAATCGACCAAAATTTAACAAAATATTGCAGCAATAGTAAAATTAGGATGAACCTAATTTATCACTTATAAAATATAAATAGATAAGAGTTTAATAAATCTTAATCGTCGAGTCTCTATCACGAAATTAAATTTTAAAATTATTAAGTACATTTTACAATACACATATCAACTACCGTAGACTATTTGTAACTTAAGTATCGAATATTCAATAATAATTTGAATTATATAGAGTTAGGCAAAATTCCGGAATAAAATTATCTTTTGAACCAGTAATTTAAACAAAAAACGCTGAAACATTTGAATTGATTTTATATTGGACGGATTTGTTGCCAATAAAATGATATTTTTTCTTCAATCCCTCAGCTGCAACCCTACCCAACTTTTTCAACCCCTTAGCTGCAACCCTACCCAACTTTTTCAACCCCTTAGCTGCAACCCTATCCAACTTTTTCAACCCCTTAGCTGCAACCCTACCCAAGTTTTTTTTAAATGCAAAGGAATGTGTAGTGTGTAGGGTCATTGAAATGCCCGAGAAAAATGAAATCTGAAACTTACCTTTTTTTCTCATGTTGTTATTAGGAAATGAGCAAAAATTTACAAATACCTTTTTAATGTACCTTTTAACAGATGTTGAGAATGTCCTCCACCCTCTTTTAACAGGCTTCAAGGCGACGATAAAACCTAATATCGGTAGTTTTTTTTAATTCTGAATGAATTTATATTAAAAACAGGCGAGCCTGTACAGTCAGCATACCAAATTTTATTGATTTACCGTTTAAAAGTGGTAAGGCAACTTAGCATGAACATTCGTTGGAATTTACGGGCATTTTTTAGCATTTTTCACGGGCTTTTCAATGACCCTACACACACCTTTTCCATAGAAAAAGTTGAGTAGGGTTGCTGCTAAGGGGTTGAAGAAAAGAAATAATTTTATTGGCAACAAATCTGTCCAATATAAAATCAATTCACATGTTTCAGCGTTTTTTGTTCAAATTACTGGTTCAAAAGATAATAATTTTATTCCGGACTTTTGCCCAACTGTGTATACAGAACCAATAATGATATTCATCTATTGGAATGTCAGCGGTTAATTTTATATAAATTTAAAAAAATACTTCCGAAAGCAAAATTGTCAGGTGTTCTTCATTTTTAATTGCCTTCTTAAAACCGGTATTCTTTCTAAGAGAGCGTACAGTATATTGCCTGGTATACGTTGATGTTTCTTAACCAAATCTTCGATGGCTAATGCAACCTGTAAAAAATTAAACATTAATTGAAAACAAGCTAATGACACGTTTCCTACAATCAACAATGTTTACAACAGTTATAATTAATCAAGTAATTATGTTCCAATCAATTAACTACAAGGTACACAAGGTTTTAATGGGTAAATGCAAAATGTGCAATATTATCAATATAAATTCTTATATATGAGTTGAACAAAGAAAGGTTATTAAAATAATAATGATTAAAGCGAGAATGCTGCAATGACACAATATCACCCTTTCTTTTTCCTTTATATCAGACTAATGGAAGTTATCTTTGTTGCACTCATAGACCATATTTCAAACAGTTTTGCACCTACCTGAATACTCATATTACTGTTAATTATTACAGATATAATTATTTCGATGACTTACTTTCGATTGTAACTCTTCAGGAGTCAAATTATCTTCGTACGGAATAGGCTTGCCCAAATGGGTCACCATTTTGACGGGAAATCCTCCGTAAATCGGGGCGAAGGGAAACTTGAAGAGCGCGTACAATTTGAGAAATATCCTCCGTCCGAAACTCACCGTTCTAAATGCTTCCCTTAAATTTTCTGTGAACATGGGAATGATGGGCTGAAAATAATCTCTCGTTAATATAAATTTCCTCACAATTAATGTTTTAATTGATTCCACGGCATTCCATCACACGACTATTCATTACGGACATTTAATCACGGCGACAATATTCATCACTACGACTATTCATCACACCTACTTTAAAAAAATGTAAAATAAAGCAAGACCTCTGAGGTCAAAATTATCTCATGGTCGTGTTCCCATGACGGTAGAAATTAGTTTTTATTCGTTTTTTGGATTATTTATTAAGTTCTAAGTTACCTAATATTTACTTCCGGAATACAGGGTATTAATTAATTAATCGAGTGCCGATACTTCAGGATGTGAATATTAGGTTAATATTAAAAATAAAAGTTTATATCAATATACTCCTTGCTCCATTTCCGATTGCAACATGGTCATTTCTATGAGTGGAACAAAGAAAGATTAAGTCATTGAAAAGTTTCAATGACACAAATGTCACTCTTTCCTTTTCCTTTGTAAGTGTCTAATGAAAGTTGTCTTTATCGCACCCATGTCCAAAAATGGAGCATCCTGAATGTCCTAAACCTCTTAGTTTTCGAGCTACAGGGTGTTACAGTTTTAGAAAAAAAACTAATAATTTTCTTACTACTCCAGATATTTTTGGAAGAAGTGTGGAAGTGATTTTGCTAGAAGTGACAAAAAGTTGATAATATTTTAGTTAGGTTGGGCATCCTGACGAAGCTACAGCTATACTGAAAACCTGAAAGTAGATATTTCAATTGGGCATTAACTCAATTAACTCTTGCTTCTACACTCTCTCAACCGTGTGTAAATAAATGTGTGATGAAATAATTGTTAAAATTAAAATTTTTATTAAGAATGAATCCCAAAAACGAATAATTACTCATTTCTACTGTCATGGGAACACGACCATAAGATAATTTTGTCCTCAAAAGGCTTGTTTTACTTTACATAATGAAAAGTCGCCGTGATGAAATGTCCGCGATGGAATGTCGCGTGATGAACAGTGTGATGGAACGCCGGGATATGTTTTAACATACGGGGAGGTACTTCGTAAAAAACACCTCTTAACAATTAGATTAGAATATGAAAAAAGGCGTTTGCTTACAACTTTAGCTTCCAAAGCGACCTTGGCGAATCCGAGCCGTTTTTTCCACATTAAATTATAGTGCGAACTAAATTGGGCTTCGTAAACTCCTCCAGGAGATATAGCAAGAAGGTTGCCTTCTTTTAATATGGCCGCACAACTTTGTACGGTACCCGGCACCACGTTCATGCATTCTGCAATGACACTGAACCCTAAAAAATTAGATTATTACGAATCGTACGTGAAGCGCGTAATCTATTATAGAATCGAATGAAAATTAAATGTAAAATAATTATGTTTTACCTGGTACCTTAAATAAAAAGTGATCGGCCACGGTGTGGATTAGCCGGTTTTTTCCGAATATTACCTTTACGATAAAGTAATAAATATCTACGGGGATTGCTCCGTGATAATAGACTATCAAAGCAGAACCTTCCTTTGGGATATTCTCTAGGCCTGTCACCTCATAGCCTAAAAATTTAATATTTATTAAAAAACCATATTCCTTACGAATTTTATGTTTGTTACATAAATTAATGTAAAAAGAATTATTTCCCATAACAAAGTAAGAAAGACGTATTTAATTACAAAAAAAAAACTATGATTACGTAATAGTCGCGACGAGCTGTTTATATAGTTAATTATGTAAATTAATTAAGAGAAATTACAAACAATTTTTACACAAGTCAAGGCATGTGAGTTTTTTGATGTTGACTTCAATACGCAGCAAAATAATATCAAAAAATCAAACTTTTAAGAGTGCGGTTAGAAAAACAAGTAATTTCTTTTTTTTCTAACAATTTAGTCATTATAATAATTAAAATCTAAATTAAACGATATAAAAAAACCATTACATTTCCTCATTTTTTTACCATCAGGCGAAGTAGCTCAAAATCATCTCAAAATAATAAAAAAAAATTGAAATTACCGTGCCAAATCCAGCCGTGAGCGTCCCAAAGTGCCCCAACGGTTTTCCTAGCAGCGTCCCATCTATCACCGGTTTGCAAAGTTCTCTTTATCGTATTCCAATGTAACTTGTAAATATACAAAATAAACGCGCTCAAATAGAGAAACAAGGCAATAATTCCGGGCAAAAGAAATGTTACAATTAAAGGAGCTAAAAACCATGTTATCCACAGCGAGTAGTCGATGTCTATGTAATTAACTGAAACAAAAAAAAAACCAATTGGTAATAAATTAATTAAATAATACGTGTACGTAAAGATGTTAACGAATGTATTAATAAAAAAATGCTGTACATAGATAAAATCCGCAAATCAACACGCACAAGTTGAAAATGTACATCTTGGACTTTACTGTACGAATGCATTATGAGCGATTGCATTTTTTATTAGGAAAATTATTCGAACCACGCATATAAAATAAACTGCTTTCAAAGCAATTTTCGAAGAGGAATTGACATTTAATTTTCTATAATAGGCTAATATCGAGTTCATTATTGACATAACAATAATGTAAGGTTCACTTAAGAATTATAGAGCTGCTGTAATAATGAAAAGTAGGTACACGCGCAATTATATTTGAATAAAAAGTTTATAAAGTAAGACATTTTTAACAAAGAATAGTAAATGATTGTAGCTTAATTAAAATGAAAACGTTTCAAAAATTTAGATAAAATCGACCTAATTAATAATTTTAATTTAATTATGCAAGGTGTCCTGTGTAGGGTGTAATTCAAAGGGATCTTGAGAAGTTATAGGCCCTCAAAGTGGAGTTATAAATTAAAAAAAATTAATATCTCAGAGTAATACTCAAACTTAAAACATCTAAATTTGGTATAAGTTATTTGATTGCACTAAGAGCACTAATCGATAGTTAGGAGAGATCAATTGATCTTTTTTATAAAGTTCATTAGGGACGCTCCCTACAGATTTTTTTACCTGATGGACGATTTAAAAAAATATTAGTTCATTTCATTCGCAATTTAATTTTAAAACTTTTTTATTCTTTTTCAATTCATTTACTTTTGCGATTCACCAAATGAAAACAATGTAATACCTACAGATGTTTTATAATGCACATAAGAAGTAACAGTTATGTTACAATAACATTTAAGATAATAATTCCATAGTTCCACACATAATTAATAGTTCCACACAAACGTAAAGATAGAATAATATACGTTTTCAAACGAGATAATAGTCACATTCTAAAGAGTCATTTGTATTTTACCTATGCGAATCAACAACGGTATTTTCTATTTACTGGGTCGTTCACTTGCAAACCATTAATGGTATACAATAACGTCAACGAATCAAAAACCATTTGTTATTTTTTTGTGCTCGGACTTAACAATGAAAAATTATTATCATTATTCCTGATAGCATGTTAGCAAGAGCTTTCTTTTAGCCTCTTTTATTTAACGCACTTAATCAAGGAAAAGGAATTTGGATAATTGAAGAAAATATTGTAGATATAAAATCCTGAAAGAATATAATAAGAAGATATGTTGATCAATTAGTATAAATAAGTGAAAAAAATAAGAATAAAAGAATATGTTCTTACGCATTTCAGTAACACCTACCACTTTTCGATGTGTTTTGAATGGAAATGGTATACATGATAACAACCGAAATTTATAAGTTGTTAATGCAAATGAGGTAATTTTAATGTATAACTATTTAATTATTAATGAGTTATTATTATAGTAAGCGTATTACTTATCTTCATATAAATCAAGCGTTGAAATAATATAAAAAATGCAATTAAATTTTTATAATGTAATGTAGGTTTTTGATAACAACTATAATTTGAGGATGCAAAAATTAATTTAAATCGGATAATTAGCTAAAGCGTTAAGTAAATTTCTATTGTATTTATTCAAAGACAAGACCTTCATTTTATCACCTGATTTACTTAAGTGTTAAAGAATTTAGTAGCTTTAACACTTTAAGTTTAACCCTAACCTTATTATTTCTTTCATTAACATACTTATAAAAGCCACTTCTAACTCTTATGAATAAACAAGATCGTTAAATTAAATTAATTTAAATTATTTCATTTAATTGTAACCAAGGGTACATTATTTTATAATGAACTTTTGTTATATACCTACCTAGATACGGCAGGCATAATACTATTTAAAAATAAGAATTATTGGATAAATTTACCATAAATCCAACAATACTTATTAATCTCTTCAAATGCCCATAAAGGATAACTTAAACTATGACATTAAATTATGTATTACATTACATAGCACCTAATATTAAGCTAGTTTGTTTGTTATTTTTCACCTTGAAATTATAAAATGGCCTGTAATGCTTGCTGGCATTTAAAATTATCAATAATTTTGTAGAAATTATTAGAAATTAAAACTAAAAGAAATCAACAAATAATTAATTATTTTTAAAGTTGTAGACTTTGTTGAAGAAGGTTTGTAGATACTGTAGACCTATTAAGGTAATAGGCACTAATAAATTAATAGGTATTTGGTAGATACAGACTACATTCACACAATTTATTAAAATATATTACTAATGATATTATATAATTAAATTGAACTTACCTATTGAATTTCTTATAATCATTATGTAGTTTTGAAAATAATCCATATTTGTATAAAAAGTTAATAATCACAAATTCCTCATTTAAAATTGAATAAATCTTTATATTCATTTTCACTAACGTGAGCCATGTAAAAAAGTTATATCGAATGAATTAAATGCATTTTAACCCACAATAAGCTGTTCTTTCTTTAACCTAAATATTATTAATCTATCAGGTCTATTCCATAAATTCCATTGATGAAAACTTTAAAACTTTAGAACTTTATCGGCGATATGATAGTGACAGTGACACTCACTGACGCAAGTTGTGACAACACAACATTAAACATTTTTTCGTTCACATTGAATAGGAAATTGAAATGATATAACTTTTTAAGTTTTCACAAAAATATAAATCCCTTCCATTCGAACGTTTTGTTGTTCAATAATATTCCCCCACCTAATTCACGTTTCACTTCCTTGAAAAACTAACCAAAACAAAAGGTTGCTGATAATGACAAGTTTGACAGTTCTGTCTATTCTTCTTTACTCTTATTTTTATTGGCCTTCTTTGAATGGATTGTAAGCCACCTAAAATTATTAGCCACAATCTTAATTTCTTTATTGTTTTTAGATACGTAGAAGGGTAGTATAGTTTGTTAAGGAAGAATTAAGTCAGCAAATTAAAAAAATAAAAGAAACAAGAAAAAATCAAACAATTTTGTGTACAAACGAACAAACATTTAACGTTTTTTTTTGGATTTTTGACAATTGATATTTTGACCGATGACAGTTTGAAGTTTTTTTTAGGTTTGGTGATTGTGAATTTCGTGAGTAATGTCCGGAAAAAAGTAAAAAGTTAGTTACATTGCACAAAATTATTGAAAAAATTGAGTTACACCCTCATCGAATTGATACTGATTACAAATTAGGCATTCCTTTAATTGCTTTCCGCTTTTTTTGGTAAGTTTTTAACGCAGGTACACAGTTATTACAAAGAAATCGGGAGTTGTATGCGAATGTCTGCCCCTTTGTCGTTTCGGCGCTTTTGTATTTTAGTTTGTATTGCAGTTGCGTTTATATCAACTACTGCTTTTCGTTATTGTTACATTGCATTTAATAACTTTCACTTTAATTACATTAATTTGTTAAGGAGCAATAGCGTAATCAAAACTTTAAATGCCATTTTAGTTTCTTATGTAAATGTTGTTTTCATAATAATAAAAATTTTATATCTATGGGCCGGTCTTTCTTCCTTCATAAGGTTCTTCCAAAGGTATATTTAAAGGGAATTGTTACTTTTAACCTTATTTATGCTGAATACTTTATGTTATTTAAGTTTTTGTTAAAGTTAGCTAACTGTTAATTAAGGAAACTTGTTAGAGACATGAATGACTGGCCTATGCCTCATTTTACATTTTGTCAGTAGAATGATTACTGCAATTACTCATGTGATTGGTAGAGTGCATTCTTTACTTTATAATTAGAATTATTAATAATTAACAGATTAGGTAATAGCAATTCCAAGTTTAACACTTCGTAAATTTCACTTTAGCACGTATAGAAACTATTTTCATTTGAAAACGAAGTAGCATTCTATTTTTGATTGATTATTTGTGAAATAGTTTTGTTGTAAATAGGGAAATCATCAATATTTTTCAAATGAATGTTATTGCATTTCTCACTGTGTGATTTCTAAAAAAAAAATTGGTAATTTCTCTGAATCTACTTAAACATGGTTTAACTAATGTGTCAATTCATGCCACAGTTGATAAACATGGTGAATACACGCCGAAAGGAGTCGAATGGCTCATTGGAAGGCTCTGTAAACATTAAAAGGGTACGTTATTATAATAATATGCTAGTAATTGTTTTACTGCTCATTTTAAAATGGCACAATCCATTTAGATTACAACCAAATAGGCTTGTGCCTGATTAAAAGAGCCTTTTTTTGTCAGATCTACGCTGACTAGATGGGTTCGTATTGCCTTTAACTGTACAGCTTTACAAATTGGAGTCATTGCAAATTTATTCGGAATTAAAATTAATTCAGTATTCAAGTTTTGGTTGATTTCGCTACGTTTTAACAAGACCTCTGAGACTTAAAATTCACCTTCTGCAAACGTTTTAGGGGCGTCCTACATTAATTAAACAAGAAACGGAAGATAACAGTAGTTCGACTAGTGCTAATGAAAGTGACAGTCAATATTCCGGTGAAAAAAGGTTCATTCAACCATCTTCCCGACAATTGAGAAGTAAATTTAGTAGTTACGGAGCCGCAAAATACAGTTGTACGTAATTATTTATTGCAATCTGTTGCAAAATCATAAAATTGTAATTTCAGTTCGTCCGTTGAGAAGCAGCCACAAAAGGATTTCAGTCGATCAAAGAGAGCTGACGCTCTATTCACAGAAGATGTCTGAAGATTCGGATTTCGAACAAGGCAACGACTATGAGGGAGACATCTACTCAAACAGGTAAATAGATTATTAATTTACAATTTATTTCCTTAACAAAGGATTTGTTTCGTAGAAGCGACCGCTCGAGGCACTTATTGCACAAGCGCAGAATAAGAAGAAGGACGGCCCTATCGCTTAGACCAGTCAGCCAAAGTTACGTAGACACTCATGCGATACCTTTCGGTTCGGAGAGCGAAAGTAATTCAAATTCATCAACTCGCAATACGTACATTTAATACGTACATTTCGTTTTCATAGCCACATCTAAAAGGAGAAGGGGCAAGCAGAACGCCAACATGTCCTGGTTGGGCGACAGTCAAATGCACAAAGTCGGTTACCCGAATTTGCATACAGGCTATTCCGAAGAGGACAGCAGAGATGCCGTCGATGCTGATCACAGTAACATGGACATTACTCGACGCGTCACGAGACGAAATAATTTAAGATTGAGACACGAAGTGGAAACGCCGAAGTATCTCTTCGATTACGACGTGAATACGGCGACGAGGCGTTCGAGGAGGCACGATAAAAAGGACGTGGAAAACGAGTATGTTCTACTAAATATTAAAAAAAAAATACATGTTTCGATGTGTTGTTAAATTCGTAAGAGTATCGAGGAATGTTTGTTTTCAAGTTTGGAATCGACCAGGAGAACCTTGAACGATAAGGAAAATAAAGAGGAGGAGGATTTACTGGGCACCCGATTAAACGGAAGGCATAAAAAAAATCCGGTTATCGAAGATAACAGTAACGAAGAAGAAAAAAATGCCGATGAAGTTGCCGATGAGAAACAAGACAAAGAGGTCGAGGAAAACGACGAAGTTAATGGAAAATGTGGTACGTATTTAATAAACGAATCGAATTAATAAAGTAATTTGTATATTATTTATTAGATAAAGAGGAAGATCAGGAAGATGCGAAAAAGGAGGAATCGTCAGACAGCGATGATGAGGAGCAACAAAGAAAACTGCCCGTCACAAAACTTCGAACTACCAAAAATAGTTCGGGTATCAATAATGATTTATTGCTCAATTCAGTTCGATCGTTAAGAAAGAGAAGAGTAATCAAAAGACGAATAGGTACGTTTTGATGTCTTTTGAATCCCTACTTACATTACTCGAGATTTAAAAAAACACGTTCGATTTTAAATTCTATTATTTGTAGGTAGCAGTTCCGAGTCGGAGGAGGAAGAAAGTAGAACGTATTCACTGAGGAACCGAGGACCGAAACCGGCACCTAAAACGAGTAAGTAAATGTATAGTAAATTATGAAAACGAGAAGCTCCTTGAACTGGCCTAAGATTCCGAAAAAAATTGCCTACAATTGAAAAAGTCATCAAACGTGGTAAAAAGAATACCGTTCAGATAAGAGAAGTAAATATTCATATGCATACAAAAATTTGTGTTCATTCCTTAACTGTTGTGTTGCAGTTATATCTACATCTACATAATTATTTTTTATATACATACATATTTGTTTTTTCTCGATTTTTAGATATTTATTTTAATTTCACTTGATATTAAATTTGTTTTCTTATTTATTATTTGTTAAATTTTTCAGTACAAGAATTTGTATTGCGGAAACGAGCAATTCGAGGAAAGGGATTTAATAGAAGGAGAAATTCGTCTTCCAGCTCCAGCGATTCTTCATCGACATCGTCAAATGTACACCGAAGGTTTGTATTACATCATTATTAGATAAACTATTTAGTGCTAATATTCACGATCGATAATTTAATTAATAGCAAGCCGCCGAAATCTTCGCATTATTCTAAAAATTCCAAAAATGATATGATGAAAACCGCCGCCGGCGGTAGTACGAAGATAGTGCCGATACAACCTGAAACGTTGGACAGGAGCATCCGTTTTGGCAGCATAGGTGGCCTGGATGGTCACATTCAATGCTTGAAGGAGATGATACTATTGCCGATGATGTATCCGGAGGTATTCAAACAATTCCACATCCAACCGCCCAGGGGAGTGCTGTTCCACGGTCCTCCGGGTACCGGGAAAACGTTAATAGCAAGGGCGCTTGCTAACGAATGCAGTTTCGGAACGAAGAAAGTGTCGTTCTTCCTGCGCAAAGGCGCCGATCTTTTGAGCAAATGGATTGGAGAATCGGAGAGACAGTTGAGAGTTTTGTTCGAGCAAGTAGGTTCATACACTTTTAAACTATCTTATTTTTATTATGCTAGGTGTCTATTTGAGAGAAAAAAATCTCGAGAGTGGCTCTCGCCAGTGGACAATGTTTTAAGAGTAACTATTTGAGTGTAACTGTAAGTAACTGTCGAGTCGACACATCGTTTTTAGTACTATCGAAAGTAACTAGAAAAATTCAAATGAAATCAGTATTCTGAGAGGGCTCTCTGAGAGTAAAGGTACATAAATAATAAGTGAGAGCCCAGCCACATATTATCTATCGTTTATTTAATCATCCTAGTTCCTTTACTACTCTTGAAGGGATATTTAAATACGTATTTGTTAAAAATTACAAGGTTTTAAAGTTATAAATAAAAAGGAGGTTTTTTTTGATGTTGGATCAGAATCACTCTTTTTCGTGAAAAAAATTACAGAATATCATTGTTTGTCAGAATATCATGTTGTTTACCTAATTTTTGAATCGAAACTAGATTTATCGGCTTATTTATAATTTTATACTCTTTGTAATTTTCTATAAAACCCACATTTTTGAAGAGAAATCTCCATTTTTGCCATTTATACAATTTTTAAATCTTTAAAATTAGGAACATTTTTAGCCATTGATAATAAAATTAATTTCATAGCACCTTAGTAACAGATCCAATTCTTTCAACAAAAATATTTTAATTAGTCATTATACTGGTACAAAATGTTAAAGTAAAAAATATATTTCAGTAATTTATAAAAACTGTTTAATGTGGCGTTCATTATGATTTGTAAATAGATTTTTAATAAAAGTAACTTAATCTGTTAAAAAGGTGCTAACATGCTAAAAATGTTCCAAACTGTAGTTCACAAAACTCGCAGCACAAACCTAGTGGACCGACTCTGAGAGTAGTAATTTTATAAAACTCGCAATTAGCATTTTGGACACTCTCAGAGAGTAAAAATTCGCGGGTTTCCTCTCAAATGGACAAAGACCTAAAGTAACTTTCGAGAGTTGCTCTCAGGAAAACTCTCAAATGGACAGGTAGCATTACATTTCGTATTTACCGTTGTATTTTAGGCGGCGAAAATGAAACCTTCCATCATCTTCTTCGACGAGTTGGATGGTCTAGCGCCCGTTCGATCGTCCCGACAGGATTTAGTCCACGTTTGCATTGTTTCCACGCTGTTAGCCCTGATGGACGGGTTGTCTGATAGAGGCGAAGTCATCGTCATTGGCGCGACCAATCGTATAGACTCGATCGATCCGGCTCTACGAAGACCCGGCAGATTCGATAGGGAATTGTTCTTTCCGTTACCATCCAAACAAGTAAGCCGTTGTTACAGTTCAAGTGTTAGGCTTTATAGCCTGTTACGGTACCCTTTTTCTTGGTCATTTTAATATGTACTTACAATACAAATGATATTAAAACTGGAAATATCTAATTTTGGATATTAATATGAAATGGGACGTGCTGATACTACACCAGCCTTATAAAACTCACCAGCCTTATAGAAGGTGTTACACTCTAATTCCAAAATAGTAGGCACTAAATTTTCGGAAATATTATCGCTTTAAAACAAAAACATTGTTGTCAGGTTGTGATTCTAGATGTTTAAGCATTCTAACAACCTTGTAGTCTACGATATTTCCTATGAGGAAAAAAAACTATCCAAGTTTTTTTTTCTAAAACTGTAACACCCTGTAGCTCGAAAACTAAGAGGTGGGAACACCCTGTATATTAATATATTTTCTAATTTTTTTTTTCAAAAATACATACTTTTTGATTTATTATTTTTTTTTGATATATATAAATATATATATATTATATAATAATATCATAATATATAATAAATTATTTTTTAACAACGACTGTCAAAATATTTTTAAGAGGATCGTCTTATTGCATAACATACACTGTGCTTCATTCGCGATTGCAACATGGGCATTTCTATGAGTTGAACAAAGAAATATTTCTTTTTCCTTTATAAGTGTCTAATTGCAGTTGTCTTTGTTGCACCAAAGCCTATGTTGCAATGAAAAATGGAGCAATCTGTATACATACCAAATAATATTGAAATTGGATAAGTAGTTTCCTATGTACAGATAGTTTTAACTCGTCGTGGGATACCCTGTATAGGTAATTTAAATTACCTCAATAGGAAACGCATGTATATGTATACTGTTTGTACTTGTACGCCACGTACTTACAATATGTATTTATTCTAGTTAAATGAATAATTTTAATACTTATTGTAATATTTGTAATTTTGCAGGAACGAGAGGAGATTCTTAACGTGCATACGTCTCGATGGGCGAGTCCACCGAGTAAACAACTGTTGGAGTATCTCGCGGAACATACAGTAGGATATTGCGGCTCGGATTTGAAAGGATTGTGTTCGGAAGCCGTAATACAAAGTTTCAGGAGAACTTATCCGCAAGTGTACAACTCGGAGCACAAGTTGTTGTTGCAACCGGAAAACGTCAAGGTAACGAGTAACGAGTATGATAATATTGTCGTACTTTATCGAATGTATCGCAGGTGGAAAAAGTGGATTTCATGCGCGCTAAATCGTTGATGGTGGCTGCTGCGCACAGGATTACTCAGGGATTAGGTAGAAAATTGTTTCCGCTTCTGGAGCCTCTCTTGCAGGAGTCGTTGAACAAATCCTTGAAATTACTCGAAAAAACTTTTCCGCATGGATTGAGCTCAACATTAGCAAAGTAAGTATTGTGTGTACAGAGCGAATGGTATTTAATTGACAAAAAACAGTGTGTAGAGTGTCTTACGTATTTTGAGCTTTGGGATTAATTTTAGACCAAAACAAATGGGGCTATGCTTAAGTTGGTTTATACGGTTTATACCTGTTTGGTAACTAGCTATTGGTATTTGAAAGTACAAAAATTGTATCCTTTTTGCACTCAAAATCCACAAAATGCATAAAAAAGCAGTTTTTTTTTCAACATCCTTGCCAGTTTTTTCAAGTATTGGGGCCACCAGCTTTTAAAATCAAGTATATCGGTAAAATATTACTTAGCCGTTCTACTTGAAACTTTGGGTTTAGTTTCTTAGGAAAAATTTCTTTTACACGGTAATAAAATATGACCTCGGATAGAAAAACATCGATGAATATACCTCAAATCTGCTATTCATGGTCAGCGCAGTTAACAACCTAGTTAAAATTCCAGGAATATTATCATTTTTCCACTCACCAATATAAATCATAATGTGAACGATTTCGGTAATATTAGTTTTTTTGCGCCCAGTGGGAAGATCAGAGAAATTAGAACAAAATGGCTATCTCCCTTCAATTCGCCATATTTTCGGATTCTTATCCTTTTTCCATTCACCCATTCAATTATTATTAACTGATAAAATTGACAACGTAGCAAACGCTAAGCGACCATTTATGAGTATTTTCGAGTGCCTCTGACGTGGTCTTTTACAAACCAGCTGCTGCTACAATTTTTGATTTCTATTTTTTAAACAAAAATACCAATTTTCAGAGTGAAACTGTCCCCTAACATAAGACCTGCGCAATTCCTTATAACAGGCGATGGCCCTGGACACGGGCAAACGTCCCACGTAGCTCCTGCCATACTTAATAAGATGGAACACATCCATGCCTACATGTTGAATTTAGTGATGCTTTATCAAGATACGAACAGATCGACTGAAGAAGCTTGCATTCAGGTAATTCATAGCGATTCATAACGGATTAGTAGTTACTACAAAACCGGTGTTTGAATTTTTACAGGTTTTCAACGAGGCCAGGAAAAACGTACCAAGTATCGTTTACGTACCGAGCATCGACAAGTGGTGGTCGCTGGTGTCCGAAACAGTCCGGGCCATCTTCAAATCGCAATTGACTCTACTAGAACCTAACATTCCCATTTTGTTTTTGGCCACGTCCGAAAGTCTTTACGTGGATTTAACCAGCGAGGTGAGCGCGATTTTCGCATCGCCGGATGTTCCGATAATCAAACGACTCGTTCTTTGCAGATACAACAGTTGTTTTCTTACTATCGAAACGAAGTGTTGGAATTGAAACCTGCTACCTCCGAGTTACGGAAGGACTTCTTCCGGCCTCTCATCATCGAGAACAGCTTGAAGCCGGTGCGGAGAGTTCGCGAACGGCCCCGAACGCCGCCCCCGCTACCCAGGGCGCCTACGCCTCCACCGACTCCTTTGAACGAAGAGGAGTCTCGCAAGCTGTTCGAACAGGAAGAGCACACCCTGCGGGAGCTTAGGATCTTCCTGCGGGATATGTGTAAAAAATTAGCTAATAATAAATTGTAAGTATCGTTAAAGGCGAATACGGTTAGGTGTTAATTTTATTTTTGTAGATTTTTTATGTTTACCAAGCCTGTAGATACCGAGGAGGTGCCGGATTACCCCAATATTATTAAACAGCCGATGGATTTGGAAACGATGATGACTAAGGTTGATTTTCATCGATACGAGTGCGCTAGAGATTTTCTCAACGACATAGAATTAATATGCCAAAACGCTTTGGAATACAATCCTGCCAAGTAAGAATTGTTCACATACTGTATATTGTAGAGTAGATTACATTGATTGATCAATTTCCAGAACGTCCGCAGATAAACAAATAAGACACAGGGCTTGTTCGCTGCGCGATTATGCCTATACGCTGATAAAAACCGAAATGGATACAGATTTCGAGGATAAATGCCAGGAAATATCGCACAAAAGGCGTCAGCGCAAACACTGCCCGTCCAAATACCTGCCGCCTTACATTAATACGGGTAAGGAATATTCTGTTTTCATAAATAAAAATTTTAACAAATGAATATAAATTGGGCACAAAAGGAATATTATTAAGTTTAACTCGATAGGTACAATTTAGGCGCAGAGTCCTCAGAAAATAACCAAAAATAATTTTTTTCCGATGGAGAATTTTTGTTTTACAGCAAAGTATTTTCGGGCACATTTAATATACAACTTGCTCCAAGAAAGATTATTAAAATTACAGTTGGAAGAGTAAAAAGTTACATTGACACAATTTCACTCGTACTTTTTTCTTTCTAAATGGAAGTTGTCTTTATCGAACAGTAGCCTATTCATCGGTATACAGGAGAAAGTGACCAATTCCAAAATTCTAGATTTTTGATTTGTAATATTCGTGTACTTGAAATTCAATATTCTTTTGAAAATTTTTAATTTTAGAATCCATTTTCTAAAAACTACATTGTTTATAAAAATCATTATACATTGGACAGATGATCAAATAATTGCGTTTATAATCGGAATCAAAGATTAAAATGCTAGTAACTCAAGTGAACGTGGGTCACTTTCTCTTCTATACCAACATAACTTATATTGCATTAAAAATGAATCAACCTTTATGTATAATATAATTTCAAATTCAATTAATATATTTCGACGTCCAATTTACTACCTCCAGTTTTAACAAATGCGTGAAATATTATTTTGTAGAAATGAAGAATTCGAATATAAATAAGGAATGCCTAATCGTGTCGAAAGAGAATGATACCCCGACGGTTCAAAGTGTTCAAAATTCGAATTCTAAATGCGGAAAAACGGAGAAGAGAAAAAGAAAAAGGATCTGGCAGAAAGGACAAATCAGAAAGAAGATAAAGAAACCCGATAACTCGCAACAGGTATGTAAAATCGTATGGAATTGTTACGAGTTTTTAACCTAAACACGTTTGAATTTTATAGAACGATAGAGTTTCTTCTAACTCCGAATCAAAAGACGAAGACTCAATAAAAGCGAGCACTTCTCAAACTTCAAAAACGAATTCAGTAAACGCGATTAAGCAAGAAGAAGAAGAAGAAAAAGATAATTGTATCGTCGATGCCACTTCTCCACTTACTGTTAACTGTGATTCACAAATTAATTCACAGGCTAACATTGCGAGCCCTTTACAGTAAGTTTTATTTTTTACACTCGTGTGCTAATTAAATGATTGATTTCTTATTTGTACAGATCTCCAAAAAGAAGACTGAGTGATATTTTTAGCCCCTCCGATTTGCTGGATAATCCTTTAGATTTTGATGACGTTGATGAGGCTTTAAATGAAACTGGTAACTTTTTGCTTGATTCGGTGGAAAGAGTTTGAAATTAATCGTATTTCTTTTTTAGCAACAGATAATGTTCCAACGGTTAAGACTATAGAATGTTCTGCTATGGAATTAGAGACTGTTCTAGACACTGCCGTTATGATAACCGATGGGTTTTCGCTGGTTACTTTATTGGATTTGTATAATAACTTGAATAGGATAATTAAGCAATTCTCAAAATCTCACGAAAGAACTAATCTACCGAAAGTAAGTTCGATTTGATTTTATCGAATTTCGATTAATTACCAGCTCGTTTTTGTTTCAGGAATTGGCAAAGGAACTTTTAAGGTTTAAAAAAGATAGAACCCCCGATCATATTCAAAAGCATAAAGTTATTAGCCAAGTTTATTGGTTTTTAGTTTCCAGCAATATTCTTTTAATTACAAATATGTTGATGGTTCATGTATTTCCATTTAGGTTTTATGTATTTTTATTTTCTTAAGTCGGTTATTCATTTAACTAATTAACGTTTTATTTATTTTATATTTAATGTAACGAATTATACAACAAATTATCACTACCAAAGACATTTTCAAGAGACACTGCCGTAGAAGTTGTATTGTTGTTTGTATATATGTGCCTTTCTCTTCGCTCTAAATGGTATTGCGTATATGTACGAGTATGTATGTCTTTTAAAAATTAAATGAATTTAAGAATTTCTTATTAATAAAATTATGGTTTTTATCCGTTATTTAATTACTGTATTACAAATTTATGTACTTAATAAGTTGAATATTAAATTCTCCAAACAATTTACCTGATTTTTGAACCACTTGAAGTGCAACTTTGAAATCGAATTCGCAATAATTAAGGGAAATAAAAGTTCTATTAAAAATGAAAATAAAAAGATAACTTAAATTTATTTTAATCTATAACATTTATTTTTAATACTTTATTCACTTAGCCAAAACTCGTCAAGATAGGATAATTACATTTAACCTACTTGTAAAAACGTTTGATCATTTGAAGGTAAAAAAATTGGAATGGAGTTGCTTGGTTAGGCAAAAGTATATTAGTTATTAATTGTTAATTTATAAATGCCGACAGTTGCAAAATGCACGAGGTTAATGCCTCTAACCCGACATGATGGCTTTGACAAACTCTTCATAATTTACGTTACCATGTGAATCTTCATGTCCTAAAAGTAGTTGTTCAACCTAAAACAAAAAAAATATTAAGTTAAGGAAAATTATTATAACAAAGTGACCTTCTACCTCATCATCCATTAGTTTTTCACCCAACGTTGTCAAAAGGTGTCGAAGCTCAGCAGAACTTATGTAACCGTTTCCGTCTTTATCGAAGTGTCGCAAACCTTCTATAAAATCTTCTGCCGTGTCTGCACTTCTGGTTTTAGAAATTTGCTAAATATAAATCAAAACCCATTGAATTTCCGTATAAAGTGAAAATGATTACATTGTTTAAATAAAAAACTGGTTCGTAAAATTTACTTAAGTATTGTCATTTTAAAAACATTACTAATGTTTTATAAATGACACTTGGGTATTCCACACTGATAAAGCATGGAAATTACACTGATAAAGAATTTAAACAGTAATGAATATTTTGTATATTTTTAAATGGTATTTAATTACGTTAATAAATAGAAACTGTACCTGATAAATGGGTAAAAACACCTCAAAAGAAACCCTTTCATCTGACTTGTATTGATGCGTAAACTTTTTCACATCGGACTCCGTTGGGTTCTGTCCCAAAGCTCTGAGGGCGTCTCCAATTCGGGCGACTTGAATTTTCCCATCACCTCGATTATCAAACAGTTGAAAAGCCTCTTGGAACTCTGCAAGGCAAATGAATAATGAAACAATAATTTAAACAATAAAATCTACCTTCAACTGAAGTTAGAGTAAGTTTGCTAGGAACATCATAAAGATACATCTTTGTAGCACAGCTGCTCGGAACGAATTCTTAGCGATTCGTTCATTACATTAATTACAAGCTTACATACTTTCAAAATAATTCCATATAAGGATAAAACATTCGAGATGATTCACTACTCGTTTTAGTTGTTTTTACGACCTACTTCATATCATTTTGCAGACGACAACTGTTGAGTTGTATATTCGAAAAATTTATGAACAAATGGCTTTCAATGGTACGTAAAATGCACAAAAATTAATTAAGCTAATACAAAATTATAAATATAGGAAATCGACAAAAAACAGAAAGTAAAAGATAAAAAGTGAGGTAGGTAAGGTGGGGCTGTCTAACCTACATTTTGAAATGCTCAACACTTAGTCACTTACCAGCCATCTGATCTTCGGAATAATTTGCCTGGAACAAAGGAAAGTTGGTTATTTATTGGATCTTAAATTTCGCTTATTGCGAATATAATATTTGTAAAAAACATTATTTTACTTACCATTGTTTTTATTTGTCGAGTAACTGTCAAAAAAAAAATAGTGAAGAAAAATACGTAAGTATATGACGTTTACAAATTTGAAATAGTTCAAGTCTCTAACGCTAGGACCGGCGGTAAATTTAAAATGTTTTGAATTATATTCTGTTTTTAATACTCAATAGTCGTTTTATTGTGTAAAAATTATCGAATCATCATAAATACAGATATTAAAATAAACGTACATATTTTTCACAATTTATTTCGATTTTTTTATTCTATCCGTCGACTTTTATGTGAGCTCGGCCCATAGACAAAATACACATATAGACCGGACACTCTGTCAAAAAAGTGGTTGGCCTGAATGTGCTGCCATCCATTGGGGTCCAACAAAACCTATTACAGGAACCTATGAGATTTTAGCATTTATTGGCGGGAATTCTCACACATTTAAATGTAGCAGGTGAGATTGTAGCTAGGAATTAAAAATACATATATTTGCTGTATACTTATATTGAACTGTTACTAAATAATACACTCAAATATATAATAAAAATAAAATAAATAAAGGATAATAATATACAATACATAAATGACATACATTTTAATTTAAGAACAATTTTACTACTTACTTTATAAAAATAAACGCGTAATGTCATAATGGCGTAATGGCGTACTGTAAACAATAACAATTCGTTTAGGAATTCTTCTTTTCCATTATTTAGATTTGACTTAGCTGCCAATGCTCTTCGGCAACAGAAAATGTTGTTGGGCCCCTATAGATGGCATTGCAAATCGTTCTCCAAAATTTTCAAGAGTAAGTGCCACCCCCCTAGCTCGGCCTAACAACAGACGCTCACTTGACATCTACATTGACATTGACAGCCTGTCAAACGTCTATTTCATACGTCATATGTCAATGTTTGTGTTTATTTTACAAAGTACCGCATTTTATTTTACCTTTTGAGATATAGTGTTACAGATTGATTGAAATTGCTAGACTTTTTCCAGTAAATATTGACCATGGCTATGACGTCCTCACAGGTGAAACGAGAACAACAAAATAATCTAACGACCGGCACGGGATGGCCACGTAGAAACAGCCAAAACACCGCTAACACTCCGGCACAAACAAACACATTCACACCGACCACGATCAACAGGATAATAAACCTGTATCCTTTAACGAACTACATATTCGGCACGAAGGAGCCGCTCTTCGAGAAGGACCCCAGCGTTCCTGCTAGGTTCCAAAGAATGAGAGATGAATTCGAAAGGATCGGAATGAGGCGAAGCGTAGAAGGTGTGCTGTTGGTGCACGAGCACGGCCTGCCGCACGTGTTGCTATTGCAACTCGGAACGACGTTCTTCAAACTTCCAGGAGGCGAACTGAACCCGGGCGAGGACGAGGTGGAGGGCCTCAAGAGGCTCCTAACGGAAACCTTGGGCAGATTGGACGGAGTCAAGCAGGAATGGGTAATAGAAGATATCATCGGTAATTGGTGGAGACCGAATTTCGAACCTCCCCAATACCCGTATATTGCTTCTCACATAACTAAACCCAAAGAGCACAAACGCTTGTTTTTGGTTCAGCTGCAGGAGAAGGCTCTATTCGCTGTGCCCAAGAATTACAAATTGGTGGCCGCTCCACTGTTTGAACTCTTCGACAATTCTCAAGGATACGGGCCGATCATTTCTTCTTTACCTCAGGCTTTATGCAGATTTCAGTTTATATACATGTGACCTGTGGAATTGGGACCCAATGAAAGTGTAAAACCCTTAAAATAAGTAAAACTGTTTGTCGACGTTTGTTTTGATTTTAGTGAGATTGATTGGAATTAGTTTTTTTTTTTTTCGTTAATTATATATTTTTCAAGAACTAGTGTTATTTCGAATCGGCTAATTATGTTGTGTTAATTAGTTGCGTAGACCGGAGTAAAGATGAAATAGTTATCTAGATTTAGTTTATTTAGTAAATGTAAAGATCTTACTTTTAATTTGGATTCATGAGTAATGTACGTAAATTACAGAAATGAACTTGCGTTGTTACAAATAACAATAAATTACATATTAGGGATTTATTTTATAATGTTAATTTTTCGCATATTGTGTTGTTAATCTTATAGATTTTCCCTATAATCATTGGAAATTTTAAATGAAAATACATTATTACTGATATAGCTTGTAATATGTGTGAATGTTAATAAAATCATATAAGGTGAAATTACAATTTTGTAGATTTAGTAGGTACTTTTTTATAAGTAAAAATTTACTACTTTCATAGTTCTTGATAAGTATTTAATTAAGGTTTGTGAAAACCAACAATATTTTATATTTGTAATGAACTATCCACATTCTCTCGACATTTTCCAATTACTTTATAAGCGGCTATTTAATAAAAAAATGTAAGTAAATAAACTATGTTTATATTTAATAAACCTTATTCGCAACATTTTTATATGTATCTTTTCAAATTATTCACGTATATTTTAAAATTGATATAAATGTATATAATTTATTACGAAATACAAGTATTAAGAGCGAGAAAAGTTGTTGCTTCGTATACTATTCATCTGGCTGTTCCTTGATTGTGTTCGACTCTTTTACTCGACTCTAAATGTTTCCTTTGACTCCTTCGACTTTTTAAATGGGTGGCTCTTTAAAAGACTCCTTCGATTCGTTTACTCGACTCCAAACGGCTCATTTAACTTCTTCGACTCTTTTACTCGACTTTAAACGGCTCCTTTGACTCCTTCGACTCTTTATAAGTCTCATTTGACTTTTTAAACGACTCCTTTTACTCGACTCTAAACGTTTTACCCTTCTTTTACTCGATTCTAAACGTCTCCTTTGACTCTCTAAACATTTCCTTCGATTAATTTATTCGACTCTAAACGGTTCCTTTGGCTCCTTCGAATCCTACTAGTATAAGAATCTACATAAATACATTAGAATAAATCAAATACAATTTCCTGTACAGGTATCCACAGTGTCCAAAAAATTAAACAAAATAGCCGGTACATTTTAATTGAATAAGCTAATTATTTTATTCGCATTTTTACAAGTGCATTGCGCGTTAACAAGAACAGCAACAATATAACATATTGGCAGTAGGTAGGGCAGGAGAGATATTAATTTACGAAGTAGGAGTGTCCAGTTGAAGGTTTGTGTGAATTGTTGAACCTCTGTTTGAAAGAGATGAGAAGATAGTGCTCGATAATTGGAAGAAAGCAATAATTATTTCACTTTTCAAGACGGTACCTAAATTAAAAAAGAACATAGAGGCATACATAAATAAGAAACGGGTTCTGCGCATTGTCTAAACAGCCAGGAAGATTTATTTAAAAGATATTGTAGTAGTTCGGATGATGCGAATTGAAAATTAAAATTGAAGAAGAGATAAGTAAAATCCTGCTGGATCAATTAAGTTTCCTCGTTTTAGAGATACAAAGTATAACCCCTCCAAAAATAGAGTTCATAGTGTCCAGGAAACTAGATTTTCGATTTTTATAACCCATCAGACACCTATTTCACCAATAAAGTATTATAAGTATTAGAGGTGGGTGTTATGAAAGTTTAGAATTTGAATAAATTATATTAAATTGGTCGGATACTAGGATATTGAGCATTATCAAAACCCGCCCATACAGGATAGAGTAGGTACATATATCCCCATAGCATATTGTAATATGTAAACTAGAGAAAATATTGAACGATTTGCTATCCAATTGGCGGACGCCCTAAGAGAAAAAGGCCGTGTTGAATGGCCACCCAACCTCCGGCTAATAATTTTAAGTACCTACCTCGCAATCAAAATGAATAGGATAAAAAAGTGTAAAAGTTCGAGTCGAGTTCCTAGAAGCCATATGCTGTGTTTTACTCCTCAGGGGGCATTCTCACTAACAACATCTTGTTAGGCACCTTATTTATCACCTAGCCGTCTCTTTCCGACTGGCGACCGGGCGCGCTCGCGATCTTCCTTTAATATCGAGCCCCACACCCCGATAACAAGCGGTTATTTATTTAATTATTTATTTATTCCGTAATGGGTTCGTTTTACCCACCTTTTGGATTTATTTATGGAGCCACACGCAGTCAGGCATTCCGATTGAAAATCACCAAGGAAAGTATTTATTGTGCAATAACCAATATCTATGCTGATTGGATAAGTAACGAACGGTTTTGTATATGTATAGGTATGTATAGGTAATCACACGATATGAATTATTTCGAACTTATGAATCTTTTCGATTCGATGGATTCGACATGTTCATGTATGTATGAGGTAAGTATAGGTGGGTTTGTTGTATTTTATCTGTATAAAGTGTTAATTGAATGCAGATACTTCAGGATGTGAATATTTGGATGGTTTTAAGAATAAAAGATTATATCAATGTATGTCCTAAACCTTTTAGTTTTCGAGCTACAGGGTGTTAAAATTTTAGAAAAAAATTAACTTTTCTATCATAATTTTCTTATTACTCCAGTTATTTTTAAGAAATTTTGTAGGGGCACTTTTTAAGGAGCATTTTTGGAGGCATAAGATTTTTTTAAATATTCACCAGTGACGTCCGTACGGGGTTTGAACTGAATATGTTTAAAAAAAAATGGTACACCACTGCTTTTTCTAAAAACTAAAATTATTTTTTAAATCCTCATTTATTTTGCAGCAAATTCGGTCGGAAGACTTATTTTCGTACGACACACCATTTTTGCCTAAAAAAATAAAAACCAAAACCATTTTTCCCAAGTTCATTTTGAGACTGCTTTTGATATTTTGATGAAATTTTGTGGGCGCCCACCATGCATGGAAACACTTTTTTTGGGATAAAAATTAATTTTCTACTATTATCAGTGACGTCCACGTCCGAAATTTTATAAAAATATCTGCCGTAATAAAAAAAATTATGATAGAAAATTTATTTTTTTTTTTTTTTTCTAAAAACTGTAACACCCTGTAGTTCGAAAACTAAAAGATTTAGGACATATATAAACTTTTCTTCTTAAAATCATCCAAATATTCACATCCTGAAGTATCGACATACAATTAATTAACACCCTGTATATGGGTAAGTGCAAATTTGATTGCGATATGGTCAATTCTATAAGTTGAATAAAGAAAGTTTATTCAAATAATAGTTGTTAAAGTGAGAAAGTTGTAATGCTTCAAAAGCCACAATATCACCAAATTTGCACTTAACTGTGTTATATCCAATATGATTCTTAAATAATCAACGAAATTATTTAGATATAGTACTTTCATTGTGAATTCAATATTATTCAATTCGAAATTATAAAAGTACCTAGTAATTGTATAAAGCTTTATGCCTTTATTATCCTGTAACATTCACTAAAAAAAACTGATTATTAAAGATAGGTGGGTCTTACAATAGGTGTAAGGTAGAGCGTCGAGCATCATGCTTTGTATTATCCAAAAATCTCGTTATCTGGCACGTGCGATACCTCTAACGATGTATGTTCACGTGGCTTTCACCGTTCTCCCAAATATTCCATGTAATTGCGGAGCAGGAGTATATTTTTATAAACAGGAGCAGGAGTCGCTGTTATCGAATATACAAAAATGATATCAACTAGTTTTTCCGGCGCACCGGAATTCCGCACCAAAATAATAATCCCTCTTTGGGTCGTACTGTCGTACTTTTACCCTTAATCCCTTGCAGAAATTCCCCACCCAAAAAGTAACAATACCTAATTGACTACTTCAAAATCTTAATTGAATTTTTACAAAGTGGGAAATTTTGAAATATGTTTATTTAGATATTATTTTTTCTGAACGTGGAAAACTAAATTTTGGTCATTTCATTTCTGTTTTTATTCTTAAATAACCAAAAGTGCCAAAATTAACAATCAATTATTTAAGAGCAATTTACATGGCCAACTTATTAAACCTATTTAATTTTATTGAGAATAAGACAGAAATTTAAGCGTTATGTAAAATTTTTAATATCCTCAAAACTATTAGGTTTAGGTATAGGAAAATAAACATGAACTTCCTTTATTTTTGACCGCTGATTTTATTAAAATAGAAAAAAATGTGTGGTTCTATTCTACTTAAAAAATGAAGAAATTTGATATTTTTGAAGTTTAACTTGAAGTTTGAAGTTTAACAAATAACAAGATTTTTAACAGAAATTCAAATACCATTGATCTTGCTAGTAGCCCCCTACAGAAACCGTTTCCATCGGTCAAATTTTCCAAAAAAAATTATATCTCAGAGTGTGTATATTTTTGAAAAAAAGGGTTTTAGACAAAAGTACCCTAAAACGTTACGTAGATTTCGAAAATATTATTATAAAATTTATTAATACACTGGTTGTCCATTTGATATAACAAATATTCCAGGACAAAGTATTTTCCTACATACAGATATTTTTAACTTGGTAGAAGGAATAGAATAGAGAGAACAGATAGTAGAGAATAGAGAGTAGAAAGTGGATAATAGAGTAAAGATTAGAGAATAGAGAGAAGGGAATGGAGAGAATAGAGTATAGATTATAGAGAGTGGAGGAGAGTAGTGTGGGCAATTCCTGCGTGGGATTAGCACAGCATGCAGGTAACAAAATTTTTATTTTCAGTGTTTCGAGACCTAAGTAAATTATGCGCATCTATAGTAAGAAATGGTGTTAAATCAAATTATTAAGAAACCCGTTGCGCGACCTCGTCTTCGCGGGCCATAATTGGCTTGAAATTCGATTTTTCAAAATGCGTTTTTTCGCAACGCAATTTTCACAGTTTAACTTTAGATTAGCAATTCGTGTTATTGGCACTTACGAAATGCGCAGACTTCGTAATGGCCCGCCTGGTGTATAATTTCATGCAATATAAGGTTTAAAATTTTGTGTGTTCTTCGTCCATTATCGGGATTCTCGTATAAAGTTATAAATGTTTGTTAAAAGGCACCTATTCATTTTTTTCTCGTAAAAAAACAACTCATAATTGAACCTTTTTATCTCGAAGTACCTACAAGTATAAACGTAACGGTAACCGAGCTTGATTTAAAATTAAACTTAATCTTCTGTAACGACGAGATAATATATTTTATTAAATCGATCTCGTATTTCACCGAAAGTGATCTAGTTCACGATAATTAACCCTCTCTGCGTTAAAGATCCAACCTGAAAAGTCGCCACACGACCATAAAACTGCCAACAATTTCTTTCTAAGTAAAAGGCCGATATAATTTATCAGGGAGATAATGCTTTAGATTACGGGCTAATTGAATATTACGGATGCTATAAATCATCGACAAACTGTTAACTAACGGCATTAATCCGCTTGTTCATTTTCTAAATGCCCACAAATTATAATAGATCTTGATAAAAGTGGGTATACCTTTCATAAATCAGCTGCACAACACCTAGCCTAACCTTTAGGGTGCTGAA